ATAATTATTTATTGATCATAAAACTGAGTCTATTTGATCAAAACGCTATACTACGCATTAAATACCATTAAAAAGCAAAATTTCACAAAAATTCAGAATTTAAGATTGAATATAGCACTCCCCTTCTAATTGAATTACCCGCTTAATAGCAAAGATTTGGCTGGAACCGATGGTATCCCTTTAAGCGGGGTTGACTGTATATATAAGAGTGTGTTGAATAACTTTAAAATGAGGAAATTCAATGTCAATAGTTTTTATTATAACAGAAGTCTATTTCTCCCCTTAATATAGATATTCTACCAAGTATTATATTGATGTGTACTAATGTTACCCTAAAAGGGGAAACAATTAGAGGCTTAATAGGGGTCCCTGGCAGGATACATTAGTACACGGTAATATAATACCTCGTACATTATAAATATTATGTTTCAATATTAAGGGGAGTTGTTGTTGTTAATTTACGTCGCACTAGAGCTGCACAATGGGCTATTGGCGACGGTCTATTAAGGGGAGAAATAGGCTTTTGTTATAATAAAGAATATTGACGTCTTTTTATTTAAAAATAGTGCTATATTGGAAATACTTTATTTTACTAGTATATTAAAGTGTAGAATTAGCCACTGCTATGTTATGTTTTCTGAATTTGTTGCACTAATTCAAACTAATTTACTCCTATACAACTCAGCCACTTCTATGTTACGTTTTCTGAATTTGTTGCACTAAGTTGCATAGGTGTAAATTAGTGCAGTGTACTAGCATGTGATGGAGTGGTATGGAATAAACTGTTCAGACAGCCAAGGCTAACAACTGGCTGTGGTGCAAAAATTTAACATCCTGAACCTTTCTTATAAAATTTCAACTGCTTTTACCTTTGTATATATTTTATTTGTTAATTGGCTAAAAAGTTTTAAGAAATTTACATTTTTTATAGAGGAGCATTATAATTTTTTTTAATGTCTATAAAATGATTAAGATTTTTTTTGTTTGCAAAATAAAATAATTTAAATGTTACATTTTAAGTTGCTGGTTTTCTGTATAAAAATTATTAAATATATATTTACCTATAACTCATAAATAGTTGCATAAATTGCAATTTTTATCACAATAAAAGCAAGGTTTTTTTAATTATACTAATTAGTTTGAAACTACATTTAGTATAAACTAAAAATTCTAATTTTTTTTATCTTTTATTTAAATTTCGAAAGCTTTTCTACTAGTCACCTTGCGTGTACAATTCAATTTTCCTTGTAATTTATGGAATTAGATTGATTGTACATTAAATACAAAGTAAAATTTCTAATTAAACTCTTTAATCTTATATTTTTCTCCATTCGGCACTGAAAACCTTTATATTAGAATAAATATTTTATTTCATATTTAGACAAATTGTTGAGTATTACGCTAAAATGCAACAGTAGTTTATTTATCGTTATTAGAATATAGTTTTTTATTCTTATAAATGAATAAATTTTAGGGAATCGTGATAAGGCGTTAAGACGAGAACTATTTGAATTTTCTAATAAAGGCAGTATATTAATTAAAAATTATTTGTTAAGAAAAAAAAACTAGTTTTGCTTTAAAAAACCAATTCAATAATCCTAAAGAAACGCGACTAACGAAAATATCTTTTTTCTCTATCTCTTTCAAAAGCTGCGATTATTTGCAAATCTGTAATATCGAAATAAAGCTGGTTAAAAAATTTTGTGCTCCAACATTTGTGATATTATGCCAAGTATTGCACTCTTTTCATCATGTGTCTTTGCTTGTCTTTTCGGAAAGAATAAATCAACTCTATGTTATGTCCCCATTCAAAACAAATGATTGAAAAAGAGGCACAATACTTGAGTCATTATTCTGTCTCCTTGGCCATCACTATGTTCAAAGGGGAAATGTCAGATGATTTAAATAATAAAAAGTAGGAAATAATTATAGAACATGTTACTCTCACCAAATCAGATAGGGTTCATAGAATAAGGGTTTTAGGAATCAGTAAAATTATAACTTTTTTCTAGGAAGGGAAATTTATGAAGTTACAATTAAAATGCATATATTTAATACATTATTTGGACTGATTACAAAAACAATCCATTTAAGTTCTAAGTACACACGAGGATAATAGTTGGGCATATTTTTGACAAATATCGGTATTAAGCCACTTTACAAGACATATTAAGAACACAATTATTTCATAGTTTGAGCATAAGTAATACACGGAGCACTACAAAGAAAAACAAATAAATAATTATTTATTTTTGACCCTCCCTGAAAATGAAATGAAACACAAATAAAGTTAAGAAGATTTTAATACGTTAACAAAATTCAATGTATCATACAGTTAAATCAAAGAAAGCAAAATATTTACAGTTTTACAATATAGTTGTAAATGAGAAACATGCTTAAAAAAGACTCATCATAACACTTTTAAGCACAAACACTGAAATACAAAAAGAAACATGATACACCTATTTTTGTTGTTGTTGAAAAAGGAGAGTTTTTTTGTGAAAATAAAAATGGATCATCACATTTAAATAGCTGAACAAAATACACCACTATTTTAAGTAAATTTGATACGTCTATACTAAAAATACCCAAAGTTTTGCCTTCAATGAATTGATGAGAGAATGAATAAAATAATTGATGGTTTACACACAGCGTCTTCCGCACAAAATGTTTGGGGACTAAAGGCTTCTTCTAGTGGAATATTAAGAATTATTATGTAGTTAGCAATGTCTGAAGAGGCTTTAACTGGCCATTGCGGTGTTTTCACTTTGTTGTTGACCTCTGCAAGATTCCAAATGAGAAGTGGCGATGCGTTCAATGTCATCGAGGCTCAGATGACGTAACTGGTCAGATAGATTCTGGAAGAAAATTAAATTTTAGTTTGTCTTTTCATAGTTCCCCACTTAATTACAGAAATAAACTTCCTCGACAGTCAATGAAATTAAAGGCCTCTCAAGTCATACAGTATATCAATTCATTAACCACTTCCTGGACCAATTTATTTTTTGTTACTTCATTAATGAGAAAAACATAATACACAAGTTTTAAGTTGAATTTTTAAATTTTTTTATGTATAAAAAAACATTTAATTTTCCACCAGTTTACTATCCAGTGTTATCTCGGACAAATGAAAAAAGTTAAATATGAGTTTTTATAGGATAGTTTTTAAAACAAGGAACACAAAGTGATAATTTCCAAACACTAGTGAAGTAATACGCCTTTTTTGTTTATTTTTTTTTCCTGTATGTAAATTCAGTAACCATCGTAGATAATGAAATCACACAAAGTATACATAGGGCGCATAGCCAATTCGTTCAACAAAAAATAAGCACCTTTTTAAGTACTTTTTAAGCAATCAAAAATATTTCTAAGCACTGTATACATTAACAAAATGCAAAATAATTTTCTGACAAAGAACTCTTTTCTTGATTATATTAGCCATTATAAAATGATCAAAAGATATTTATGGTTCCATATCAGAGGGTGGAAAATGAAGTCTGGAATTGAGCAGATGCAGCAGAGTTGCACATGAGAAGGCAATAATCTCACTGAACCCAGCTCAGCAGATGCTCATACAGACTTGCAAAGTATTTCACCAAACATGCAAAATGATTGGCGCCTGCATACGCTATGGACCAATGTATGCCGAAATAGATTGTGGTTTAATGAATTGTGAGAACATTGAATAGAATGCGAAAAACGCACTTTTCGAAAAGGGAAAATTAAACACTTTTTAAAACCACCCTAAAGAGCTCTTAAAAAACGAAAATCAAAAATAATCACCTTTAAGCACTTTTTAAAAACGCTATGCACCATGATACAGTCCCACAATCCGACAGCCGAATTCCCAAACAAAATTTGGCATATTTCCAAACACAGCAAGTAACGTTTTTTGTTGCTTCTCAGTCGAGTAAAAACTTGATAAAACAAAACAAACTGACAACTTCTACTACGCCCGAGTTTTCTCGGGATAATAAATATTTGCAATATGTACATACCAGAGTTAACTCGGGGTAATACGGGAAGCGATTAAGTATTAAAACTTAGTGTTTGAAAATAGATGTAACAATATGCTGTTGTTAAAAACATAATTTTACTAAGCAATGATAAAAACTGCAAAAGAGGAGGTAATTTTAAAAATAAATTATTACAAGCTGCAAAAATAGATATTGTGTTAAGAAAAAAGTATTTTTGATAAGAACCATGTTGCAATGAAATAACCATACTCATTATTATCTTGAATTTTCTTGCTTATTTTTAGAGAATCATTTGAAACTATCAGAGCTGCATCAAATATGGATGCAGCCACTTTTTATGAGTTAATACTATGCCCACCCTCACATCACCAGACTTTCTCATGTGCTTTGAGATTGATTCATTACTTTTAGTTGAGGTTTAAATAAAACATACAATTGATATTTTTCACACAGTATCTTTCAAAAACAATTAATGTTTCATAATTGAGTAGAAACAATAATTAAGATAATACAACCCACAAGCATTACTTGACTTATTGCAGGGTTGCCACAGAACAAAATAGTTGCTTTTAGTGGCATGAAAATATTTGCCTACATAAGAACAAACTTTTTTCAATAAGATGACTTAATTATCATATACCATGATCCATTCAGATTTTTTTCTTTTCTTTCCCCAAACCAATTGTGCATCCTGAAGATTCCATTATTCGTACCTGGAGTGTTGTTGATTAGATGCCTCAAGAATATTGGCATGTTAGATTTTTTTAATTTTTGTTATACGTGCTTTATGATGACAATTTGTTTTATAATTTCAGATAATACATTATTATTACAGACAAGATGTTTTTTTTATTATTTTAATCGTATGTTATAGATTAATTCAGATGATCTTAAAATATCCTGCCTTGTTTGGGGTTTTAATATTTATGGTAACTCATTTCTCAACCATGGTTTCCAGTTGGTAATTTTCAAGTGCTTCTATTTGATTTGATTAATAAGTTTTTCTTGCATTTTATCAATTTCTTTTTTCCTCATAATTAAGTTCGAAATATATTGCATTTTTTAATCATTGGTTTTTGTTTTATATGAGTTAGATTTTATTCCAATTTTTTTTAAATTTAAGAGAGTTTTTTCTTATTTGTTACTCTTTTTCATTGTAATTTGGGTTAAATAAATGAAGACAAAATAAGAACCTACTTTACGAAATTCTTCCAAGACTTTTTCAACATCGTCAGGAATGAAGTGTTTTTCCAGCAATTTTTGTAATAGTTCATAAAAATCGGCTTGAGATGTGCTTTCATCGGGAGAACTTTCCCTCACAAACAAATGGAGTTTGTTACCCTCCTCAATATTATAGTCACACAAAGATTCAGAATCTGTAAGAATTCAATGATTATTGCATAAAAGAAAGATATAAACCATTTAAAGAATCACCACAAAAGTTACCCTTTTTCAACCAGAAATATAAAATGATTTTTTGGAGAATTTATAATTGCAGCATTTATTTCCAAGCTATTCAAACATATCATATCAAGTGAAAACAACAATTGGGAAGAATAACAAATTAAACGAATTTATTAAACTAAAATAAAGGAAGTTTTACAATATTTTACGCAAATGAGTACAGTAGAATCTAGTTTTATAAAGGACTATAAAAATAGCAATCAAATTTTATTAATTAAACAAATCATATATTAAAATCCATTTTAAATTTACCAAGAATCTGTCCTTGTCGACATTTTGTGAAAGATCTTATTTTTGTAAAATTGTGAATTTTTTTAAGAGTTCTGCTTTTATGAATTTGTGCAAATAGGGTCCTGTTGTTGGGATGATAGCAAACAACACTTTAAAGGAGTTTTTAAATTGTAAATGTAAACAAGATTATACTTAACACTCTAAAATTTTAATTAAAAAAAATCGTATTTAAAATTAAATTTTTTTTTTATTTATTGCTACTTAATTAGGTATGCAACAAATATGGCCGAATATTGAAAACAAAATCACTTAAATGATACTTTCGATTGATTGAAAACAAAATCACTTAAATTTTTAATACTTTCAATTGAAATTTTTTAAACAACACAACTAATAGATTACTTTTAATGTAGTAAATTTAAACAGTTATTAAATAAAATAAAAAAAATTTTTAAACTTTTAAATTGATAATTTAATTTTAAATTAAATTTATGAAGAGATATGTATTTACTAAAAGAAATATTTAATAATAATAAGACTGTAGAAATAAGAGAATTTGATAGGCTTTAACTAAAATTAGCATTACAATTTAAGCATAGTAGTAATTAAAACACTAAGTTAATTTATTTGGCCTATTCATTATAAAAGTCTCATTCTTGTTCAGTGTAAACAAAATTCATTCTTTCAACAGAAGAAGACATGATTAATACCCATGATTGAACTCTTTATTCCCTTCTTTTTTAAAATTTATAAATGGAACAGCTTCATAATTTGCTTCTCTTCATAAAAGGAAAGTCACAAATATTAACTGCAATTGAGCTCATCAGAAAATTGTAAAATACTAAAAAAGTTCTTCCATTTCTCAATGTTGACTGATAATTGCATTATCTGTTTATATTTATGAAACCTTTAATTCGATATGGATAAAATGTATTGGAGTTAATTTAGAATATTTTACGAACCTTTCATAATCAGTTATACAACATAGTTCTTATGTGAAATTGCCAAAGTGTTGACGGCAAAAGCAATTTTTGCAATGCATCGTAATAAAATTTCCTTACACCTGAAACTTTTAAGGTAATTTTCACAAACTCTTCATCCCAATTGAACAAAAATATTAAGGTTAAAGTAAAACATTTTAAAAGTCTCAGCTTACTTTCCTAGACTAGTTTGTGATTTATGAATGATTACTTTGAATTCAAAATGCATATTTTAATTAATTCTTCACCCCATTTAAAAACGAATAAAATATTCTGAATTAAATATGAATTGCAGTTTAAAATCATTTTATGGCATCTTTGAGGACTTATATTAATCTCAGCTTTTATTAATCTCAGAACTTATATTAGAACTTATATATCAGAACTTATATTAATCTCAGCTTTTGATTAGACACTTGCAAACTAATTTTTCAGACTGAACACTGTTATTCATGAACTAAAGTTATTCGTGAACAAGTAATTGGAAATGGTCATTTGATAACTGATATATCTTATTCGATAAGTTCCAAGGAGAGAGACGAACCAATGAGAAGAAAGAGGTGTCAAGATCAGAGATTCCCTCTGCAGAAACGTTACCTTCCTTCCTCGGTGAGCAAATTGAACCAATTTGTCATAGTTATGATAATCCCACCTTTTTTAGGGGAAAAAAAAACCTCTATGTCAATGGATAATGACAGTATTTAGTTGCAGAATCCAGACCTCACCGATTCAGAGAGACTTTATTATTTGGCGTTTGTTGCCAGTCTTCTGTTACCTAATAGCTAGCATGTCATACATCTATGTTGTTGTTAGTTTATTATATATAATTAAGTTATCATGATTCTTCCTTCTTCCTATTGGGATACCTCATCAAACAGTTTAACACTATGGGCAGAACAAGTGGATTAAAAAAAAAAAATCTGGATAATTGACCTAAGATATAGAACAGGGCAGGAATAATCATATTTCAACCACTTCTAACTCTAAACAGTGAGGCATCAGTAATTTTTTGAGATCATTCAATGGAAATAAAAACATCAAGGCACCTTAAGTTAAAAAGTAATCTTTAAAACAGGGTTGCAAAAAACCTACCTACCCTAAAGTGGGTTTTACTAAAACTGATTTCTTTTTTATCCTCTGTTATATTAAAGAGCTATTCTATTGAAATACACTGGTTATCATAAATTAAGGAAAAATCACAAAAATAGCGATAACTCTTTCAAAAGTAAGCCAAACCGTGCAAAATTTGCATATGTTGTCCACTAAGAGNACCAGTGTATATATGCAGTCTAACCTAAAATATGAACCTATGGTAAAAAAAAACTAACAACAATCTGAAAAGAAAAATTATTTGTCGAATTCATGAAGAAAAATTTATATGTTTCATACAAAAAACAAAATTTGACTATAAATCATACTACAATAAAAGTTACTTCATAAGGATTTTAATTCAAAATAAACACCAGCAGAGAGGAAATGCATTATAAATCGATCAGGTTATCAGTGTTATAATTCTTCAATGTCTAGGTATTTCAACGCCTTTTGTACACCCAGTCTATTTCTCAATTTTGACCAAACCAGTCCACAAGTAGAAAAAACTCATTCCAGTGATGCAGAGCTAGCTGGATATTTGCTTAGGGCAACCATAAAGTTGCAAAAACCTGTCATATCTCTATCATTAACACACGTTTCAATCTATTTCCACCACTGTAATGAACTAAATTATTTTGATTACATCAGCATTAAACATGCTTGGTGGAAATATTTCTGGGTCTTTTAACTTGTAGCTGATGAGGGGAATCAACCATTTTGGGTGTTTCAAACCACTCCTCAGCTTTTTGTAACATATCAGAGGTTTTTCCTGTATATTTAGGATCCACAATGTATAATGTTCATCCTTTTATCAATTTGTTTTTTATAAGGGCAAAGATTTTCACTATTAAACCTCAACAGCAGTAGATATATTGGTTTTTTTCTGCCCGCATCAGATTTAATACTTCGCACAGTCCTAATAAATGTTTTTGCACGTGCAATGCTTCTTTATATATTGCAACCTTGTCCAAATGCTTGTAGGAATTTCTGCATACTTATGGTAATTCTTAATATGTATATCAATACAATGAATTCCAACGGGTAGCATTAGACCAATCTTCTCTTTTCAAACAGACTGATGAGAATTGCGAAAGAACTTCTGCCACATGTTTGTAATATCATCAGCGAGGAGATCAATATAGTGCTTACAATGTTCTATATAATTATCATTGTGGTGATACATCATTGTATTTCTTTTTCTGCTAATTCAGCACAATATTCTGATGTTTTATGTTACTTTTACAATCAACAGCATTGAATAAAAATGAAGGAACACATGTTGCTAGTACTGCATCCCTAATTACATCCATATAATAATAATGTAACATTAGTAATACTTCGCGTTTCTTTCTTAATTTCTGCTTCAATATTATCATCTAACAGTTTCCGTCCTAAATCGGTGCGAGTAGGGCCAGAGTAACCTGGTTTCAAAGCTGTCACCATTTCTTTAAATTCCACAGTCGCGGCAGCATCGAAAGCAATATTTGCATAAAAGAGTTTGGCAACTTTTAAATCCAAATTCTTTTGACTATCTGTTGTGCTTATAATTCATCATGCGTTGTCCCTTAACTCCACTAAATTCACCCCTTTCAATTTCAGGAGAATACCCTGTGGCAGAATCTGCGACAAAACTCTCAAGCATTAATATCTTTCTGCAAGATACATTTAATAATAACAAACATATATATTCAGGGTATCTGCTACATTTCAGATTTTAAAAGTCATGACTAATTCCAAGAAATTTTTTGACTTAACGAAGTCACTATTTTCTCGAACAAAAACATAACAATAAATTTAAAAAAGCATTATGATGACATTAATTGCAATGATAGGTATAAACAAAACTGTTACATTCTGCATTTTCATGTTTATAGATTTTATATTTAAAAAAAATAGTGTAAAGAAAGAGTTGAAGCAATAAAATAGCGGAAAAAATACAAAAGCAAATACTTAGTTATTTTTTCTGCAGAATTATATTATAAAGATACTTTTTTTGTTCATCCGAAAGAAAAGAAATACTCCTGATTTTTCTGTTCTCATTTTTGAATTTAAAAAAAAATTCGACAATAACTGGCTTGCTTCAGCTAGAATTTGAAATTGATAAAATAAATAAATAACAAAAATTCTGAAATCACAGAAGTTTTAATGATAATTCGCTTTAAAAATGATGGCATTCTTTCAAAAAATGAAAGGAAGAACATAATTTTTAAAGAACATGATAAAAACACTTTATATTGTAATAAAATATGACTGTGAGCGGGGATTTTGTTACAAATTCAGATATTCGCCAAAAAACACCAAAAAATTGGAGGAGGTAATTCCATTTTAAAAGAAAAATTTGGACGACTTAAATCCATGACTTTTTAAAAAAAAATAGTTAAAGTCATGACAAATTTTGTTCAATACCAGAATTCATGACTTTCCAGGTGTGAGGATACCCTGTATATTACTAAACATGTAATAATTTTTATTCTAATGTTATGGATCATATTCTCGCATTTTGTTAAATTATTTCCTTTGCATTTTTTAAGTAATCACCACAATAAAAAAAAAAATTAAATAATGAAATCCCTAGTAGTAACTGCCATAAAAAAAAATGACGATGAAATCACGCGAATCATACTAGTTTTATTTTAAGATTAAGCCGCTGTAATAAATAATATTGTATAAAAAATAACGGATTTAAAAACTATGGAAAAATCAATAGCAATAATTGCCAAAAATTCTATAGAAATACTACCTAAAAAAGTAAATACTCAAATGCGCAATTCGAATTTTTCATACTGTTTTAAATATATCGGGATATTTTAAATTCACATATCAATAGCTGCTTAAAAAATACAATCGAAACATTAAATCAATTACATTACATTACCATCGGCGTAAATAGAGCGCATCAAAAAATGATTATCTAAATGCATGATTCAAATATTACAAGTAAATTTCTGTAGAAAAGAGAAGAAAAAGAAAATCTTACTGCAACAATGTTGTTGCTGTGATTCTGTCAAGGGGCAGGTGGAGTATGATATTCCAATTGCAGCTAACAAATTATTTACAGTTTCCAGAGATCTTTTTAAACATTCGTTTAGATGAGCTCCTTCAATTTCTGTGTTACAGTGATTGCATGAAAACACACTACACTAAATTAAACACAATGATCAAATAAAATTTAGTAACAAGTTCTGGTGCAGTAGAAAACCATCAAGTTTGGCAAAAACGCCCACAGCATTTTGAACACGCCAATTCCACATTGAACAGTTGACTTGTGACTGCGACACTGTCTTCCGCACGCTGTTTCTTCTCCGTCTCGATAACACGACATATACACTCGACTGCTAAAAGTAAGCACAGGAGCGACCACGACCATGAACTTAATACAGCTTTAAGAAAGTAAGGGGATTTCTTAAAACAGCTCTCCCGGCTATTCATAAAACAGCAATGAATCAACAAGTGGTATCCGTTCATCGAATTCTATCTCAGATATAATTCTAGTGGGGTAGTACTGTAGTGTGTCTACTACTACAAAAATACAATTCCAAATTACTAGTCTAAAAGGCGTGTCAATTCTATGGTGGGGTACCTCAACATAGATGAAGGTTGACAGATGAAATGTGCAATAATTGGACAGATGATTCACAAAACTTGTTCCTTTCCAATAACAGATAAATTCATACTACCCCTTTATACTAAACTAACAGAAATGAGGTTTCACCCCCCTTTTCCCCACTATGGAAAACAGATACATGTGTGGAGAATTGACTTTGTAGGATTTGATTCTGTATGATTAGTCATTGTCTTTGACAAGCCTTCCTCTCATTATGGAAAACAGGTGTTTGGAGACTAGAGAGTCACCTTCTTGGATAGATTTGATCATATAGCCATTGATTAGTCAGTGCTTTAGAATCACTTTCGACGCAAAAAAAATTCCTCAAATATTTTTAAAGATTAAAATATAAATAAAAAGTAATCCGGTGTTAAAATAGGTTTCAAGTGTGTGATGTATGTAATACATATAACATTTTGTATCGTGATGCCAGAAGAAACTTTTTTCAGACTTTTGCACCAATTTATTCGTATTAATTACACATTAATTACCTATATGTTAAGTCAATTTATAAAATTAAACTTAATTATTAATAAAAACTTTTTTTAAAGTAAGGTACTCATCCCTGCCCACTCTTATGAAGAAAAAAAAAAGCAATAAAACATGAAAAACCCAGAAAAATCCACCAGGGTTAGGTTTTTCAAAAAGAAATATCATTAAACTGAGATGACACAAGAAAAACTATTTAAATTACCCAAAAGCGTTTTTCCCTTGAAAACAAGTCTTTGTTGATCCACAGGAATCCTCAGCTGTTGAGCGACAATTTCTTTAACAGTATTCACAGAAGCAGTAGCAGACACCTAGGAATCACGGATTTAAACTGTAATTAACACTTGTAAAAAAGTATAACTAGAAATCAATCAATATACAGAAGCTTTATGCATCTTATGAACAGATATTCTAATGAACTTGACAGAAATTTTAAAATATAACTGAAACTCAATGTTTTCTTACTTCAATATCACACTCGCCACCTTTTAATATTTTTACTGAAATCAACATTTTTGGTAATAATTTACGTTATCTACAAGTTTAGGCTTATGAGTGTTGAGATTTATAAATCAGGAAATGCGAAGGGATGATAAAATAAAGGAAATTAACCCAGTTAAAAATTATGGTACGAGATGAAAAATGAATAGTGGAAATCTTAAAGTGTTGGAATATTCTAAATTGAAAGCAAAAATTACAATTTTCCAAGAACAATTTGGTGACAAAAAGTAAATTAAAGCGGCTTGATGCCACTTTACAAAACAGAAACTCTCTGGTGCGAACTAACAAAAGCTGAGATCACGTGACTAGCAGTCCGGTGTGGAAGTCCTTTAATAGTCTTTTCTTGTAAGCTATACGCTAATTAATTTATTTAAACAAACTGTTTGGAAATATGATCCCTTTCAATTTTCGAAACAATGCAACATGAAGATATGTACAATAAATGTTCCCCTTTTCATGTTACACTTGTGTTATTCAAATTTAGGAACGGGCTTAGCTGCGGTATTTTCATGCTTTTTTAATTAAAATTTTCAGTTAATATGTTTCCATTCAAGTAAGTTATTTTTGTATTTCTATTGGAAAATAATTTACTTATATTGTTGAATAGTTTATTACTTAATATTCTAAATTCTTCAAAGATTGTATTCTTTTATATCGTTTTATTATTACTAATTTATAATATTTATTCTTGTGACTCATTGATCTTAAATTGAAATTTTTATTTTGTGTGAAAGTGGAGCTAGTAGGCAGGATACCATTGAACTGTGTTGTTCTCAATAAAAATTTAGTTTTCAAAAGAAAATTTTTGTGGTATCTATTTCAATGTAAATGCCAATTTTTGGTGATTATATTGGAATTCTGACATTACATGAAATATGATATGAATCTGTTGCACTTGGTCAACAGTCCACTTCACATCATTAGCATTATTGTACTTGGCAGAGAAGCTTCCCATCTTCCTCTCTAAAGCTGCTCTAAAGGAACCCCAATCAGCTGTTCTGGGGTTCCTCCTTATGACCTTCCGTCTAGAGAGGCCTTTAATAGAAAAAGTAATTAGTTGGTCATCTGAAGCAATAACTGCCTCAGATACCTTCCAATCAGTAACGTAATCTGTGGAAATAGAGTTACATAAAGTAAGGTCAATGACTTCCCTTCTGTAACTTGTAACAAAGGTAGGTTCATTGTTTTTATTAAGGATATACAAATTAAAATATAAGATATATTCCATTAGTACATCTCCCCACTTTTTACAATCACTGTTGCCCCACACTGTGTGGTGAGCATTTGCATCGCAGCCGAAGATGAATCTACAGTGGCAATTATAGCCTTAGTAATATCAGCCAATGGGTCTTTCTTCTCATAGGGGAGATAGGTAGAAACAATGACAAAGTCAGAAATTGTCTCATTGTCATAGAATTTTTGCTTAACAGCAACTAAATCCCTGTTGAAAAAGTTGACAAGATTAAGGGCATTTAGATTACACCTAGCCACTATGCAGGCCCTGAGAAGGTCACAACGGGTTTCATAAAAAATATTAAAATCTTTAACGCTGAGACCCATAATTCTACCCTTGCGGGTCCAAGGCTCTTGTATAAGAGCAATATCTAGTTCTCCATCATTTAACCTTTTAGCCATAAGGCTAGAGGCAGAAATGCTATGATGGAGATTAATTTGACCAATCTTGATTGTTGCCACAATTGGTTAGCAATATGAGTAAAACCAGAATGGCACCTACCAATCCTGGTTAGCTTTAGAAGAAAGATCTCCCTCTAACAGCTCTATTGCTTCATCAATATCAAGCATAAAAGCTGGTGAATCAGGTTGTAAAGTAACGTCCGACCCTAGCTCTGAAAATATTAAGAGCCCCAATTGAACTTACCTTGGATTAGGGGAATTAGCCTTCCAAGGTTCATCCCTCTGGTCTTCAGGTTCGACAGAGAGGGCGTCCGATGTTGTTGGAGCCTCTGCTGCCTTTTTCTTGTTAGGATCGTGGATAATCTTAAAGATGCCACAATCCACACCAGTGAGTGCACTATAATTGACCCTCACAATGTCTTCCACGTCTTCAGGCTCAGCCTCAAAGATCCACCTAAAAATGCCTGGCCCCGCAGCATTCTGTAGAACCCTCCAGCTCATAGACTACAACAGTGGGTTCAGTCTCTGAAGATGCCACAAGAAGGTGCCCTGATCAGAGAATTGCTCTCTGGTCTTAAGGGCCACCTCCACAGGTTTGGGTAACTCATCAGCGCCTATAAATGTAAGCATGAGGTCGTCTAAGGATCTCATTAAAGTAACCTCTAATCCACTCTATTGTGTACTCATTATATTATAAAACTAACGCTCCTCTTAGTAGGTTGCTGTTGTAGATCTGAGCAGGTGCTTGACTAAGTGCTTGGTTAGTCATAAGCAGGTTTATTTACCTATAGTACCTACTATTCAAGAATACTGTTATTTCATTCATGTTCAATTCTTTTAGCAAAGTGGTGATACATCACCAGTGTCAGTAACTGAAACTGATGTTATGCCCTTCAAAACTGTTAATACATTTTTCAGTTATTTTGTATTTTCAATTTAAACTAATATAGTAATATTTAAAAACAATTTTTTTTTGAAAATAGATGTCTTTTTTATCATCCTGTGATGCAGAAATTATAAAAATTTTTAAAAAAAATATTGATTTTTAAAAATTTAAAAAATAAAATATAAAAATTTTTAAAAAAAATATTTAATTTTTAAACAAATTTAGTATTTTTTTTTAAAAAATTATTATTTTTTAATATTGCATTATTTATCCTTACGCAAAAATATTATTTATCAGTATTAAAAACATATTTATATTTAAAGGATTAGGTATTCACTTTTGTTGTTCAATGAATTATGGAGGTTCAAAAATTATAAACCTTTTCCTATTATATTATATTATCTTCTTTTGATAAGTTAAAGTAAATTGTATAAAAAATATCAAATATTTATTGATACATGTAATTATCATGTGTACAATCAGGGGTCTGTCCACGTTGAATTTACTACCGTTTAGCGGTACCTTCACAAATTCAATTTTAGGAAAAACGGTAGTTTCACAAATTCAACTTTAGGAAAAACGGTAGTTTCACAAAGTACTTTTTCTTTAAATTCTATTTTTGTATCCTTAAGAAACGATAAATCTATATTTTTACTATGTTTTTGTGTTGATTTTTTAATATCATTTTTAATTTTTCACATATTATGTCTAAATTTTCACAAAATTGGTACCTCTCAGAAAAACCTAGACAGACCCCTGACAATGGTTACACCTATAGAATTTTTACCTTTTACCAAAGTTCAAGGTTTTGGACAGTTTTACCCAGTTTAAGACTGTAAAACCCACGTGTCCTGTCCAAAACCAGTTAAGGACGTCCAAAACCCCAACCCTGGATCTCAGGCATTCTTTCGCCACCGGGAATGGCGTCAGTCTGCGCTAAGATCGCTTTGAGGATGTTGTTGGAGTCTCCCAGAAAAAGCTTGTCCGAAGGAAAATCCTTCCTGACAATAACAATCTTGGTCAACTTGACAGAACAAGCAAAAGAAACTCCAGATTGGAGGTTCCCAGTTAGGTCCCCTTCCCCAGCTCGGCTATCCCCACTAGCGGGAACCACTTCCCTGGATTGAGCTCTCCTTGCAGGAGTAACATCCTCTCTCGGCTGGCACACTGGGTGAGGGCGTTGCATCAGAGGACCTAGGCCTCTTAGTTCTGCCACTCGCTTCAGTGGCCCTCATTTTTCTTAACCTCCTTCTCTGGCTCTTGGACATTCCATTGGCGCCAGACACACTGTCCCCCCGACTGTCTCTGGAGACCAGAGACTCATGCAGAGGAAGGGCCCGTGCCTTTGGACACCTCACCAGCTCTCGGAGGAAGCAGCCGTATTATCACTGGGCTCACCCGCGGGCTTATCGTGTGTTACTGGAGGCTGTAGTGAACTTTTAGAACAGGAACCTCTGCCTAATTCCTGAACGCATCCCTTGTTAACCGTCGCGATGGATGAGGCCATATCACAAGCTTTAGAGAAAGAAAAACATTAAATCGGGTAAAGGGTTAGGGATTATTGTTACATCAGTTTCTTTCATGTATCTCTGTATAATATATATTTTTTCTATTTTAAAATGCTAAAATATTCTTTTTAAAATATTTTCAGTGGTCCTCCAAATTTCAACTGGCCATCCACAAATTTTGTACCTCAGACATGGCCTCCTCGAATAACTGTACCTCCTCCAAATATGATGCCACCATCATTTCAGAATCCAGGAATTGGACAGGGAACATACGGACCACCTTTTCCTTTCCAAAATGCTTCTTTTATTATGCCTCCACTTAATGTGCCCCCTCCTCCAATATCATCTCCTTTACCAAATTCATCTCCTCCTTCTACACAACATAGAGCAGGTAAGATATTACCCTACTCTAGGACTTCTATTGGCCTTATATAGAATTGTCACCTATTTTGTATTCATTATTCAGCCAATATAGAACATTCTAGGACAAATATTACAGGGTTGCCACAGGCGACTAAAATGCAACTATTTTTGGCATGAGGCACGACTATGGCCTGAAAAGGCTAAAAAACGCAACTATTTTCAAGAAAAGGAAACTATTGGGAGACTTTTCTGTACTCCTAGCAATTTTTTATTATTTTTTTTAAAAGCATACATTGGGTGGAAAATCTGCACCCCACAAGATAGTTTCTGAACACACTGAAATTTTTTTTTTCCTAAAAAATAAAAAATGTTGAATTTCAAATTTGAGTCTTCACTTTTTAATTCATTCAATCTGTCTATTTGTTCAATAAGTCTATTTCATTTCTCGATCGCCTTTTCAATGATTATTGCTACGAAATTCCGTATGATTTTTAAAAAAAATTATAATAATAATTTTTAGTGTGATATTACAATATGTGAATTTCGAATTTGAGTAATCACTTTTCATGCATATATATACGAGGGTTTTTTTTTAATTAAGGTTTCTTTTGTTGTGTACACTAATAGATGACGCTTGCTTTGCAACGAGTACTTGCAGCGTGTCTTGGCATTCATTGGGAACAACTGTGCTCAGTTACAGCTGTGTGTGTATCTGTGCGGTCAGTTCTGTGTCTTTAAAATGTTCAAATTTAACAAATCACCCGTCGCATATGAGGTACGGTCAGTTATGCCTTTTTAGTCGGCAAAAGACCTGTTTGCTACATACATTCACTGATAGATTTCTGAAGCTTACGAAGCTTCCTATTGGCATGCTGACAAAAATTTCGCTTTTCCATGACAGTGACTTTCTCTACAGCTCAGTCCCGAGCGTTATTAGCTCTTTCGGCGGGGAAGTTTTGGAACACCCTTCATCAGCCAAGACCTTGCGCTAAGTGATTTTCATCTTTTCCGATGTTCTAAACATCCTTTTGCCGGCATGCAGTACATCGATTACGAAGATGTGAAAACGGCTGTAACCTCTTGGATATCGGAACAGGCGGCAAGTTACTATGAAGATCGTATTCTAAATCTAGTTGTAAGGTATGATAAGTTCTTAAGCAAAATTGACAACTATTTTGGAAAAAAAAAGAGAAACGTATGTACAGGGTGAGCCAGTCAAACCTGCATTTTTGAAAAAGGCGGGAGAGCCGTGAAAGTGGGTGGAGCGAGTTACCAAGGTTACCATTGTGTCCCCCTCAACTAAGCATTTCAGTCGCAATGGAGCAGTGGTCTAAACAACAATGTTTGTTCGATGTGAAAGCCTTTTACCAAAGTGGTAGTTATGCAGCCGCTCAGCGTCGTTTCCGGACGAATTTTCAAATTAATTGAAATAGGTCAGTGTCGTCTGTTAATTCAATCAAATTGTGGGTGAAAAACTTTGAAGCAATTGGTGAAACGAGAAGCAGAAAGGGTGGTTCCGGTTAGAAATCGAGAGAATTCCTCAGCATATGCTCCGTGATGTGATGGTCAGTTTCAGAAATCGTCTACAAGAATAATGTCTCGATTGGAAAGGACACTATCTTACTGGCGTTATTTCTAAACAGTGAATGTTGTTTCTTAAATGCTTTCTAATGTAGATTGAGATAGTAACAATAAAATTTTGAAATATCCATCTATTTATTTTTTACAGTCATTACAAAAATGCAGGTTTGACTGACTCACCCTGTAGAATCAAAGAATAAATTTTGCTTCATGAAAATATTTGTTCATTTGGTTTTTATTTTCAAACGTCCCTTATTTAAAAAAAAATAGTCCTCGAATATATATATATATATATATATATAGTATATGAATTTTTGTTCTTTTTTAAGCTACTATTTTCATGTTTTAGGCTACTGAGAGCAACTATTTTGTTCATTTTTTTCTGTGGCAACCCTGAATATAAGAAAATCTGGACATACCAATATGGGTCCCTCAGTGTATGTTCTTATAGGTGAAATCAGTCTTTTTCCCCAACAGGTGGTGTGTCTGAATCTTCCTAATAAAAAAAAGAATTGTTTTTCTTTTTTCAGTCAGGTAGACGAATCATGTGAAGGCAGCATGGCTTATGAAAATTTAATTACTCATTTATTATTCTAGGAAAAATAAAATCATTACGTTGTTCAATAAATCATGCTCTTATAATCCATTAAAGAAATCATAAATAAAATTCGGTAAGATTTTGGTATTTCCTTCGTTGTGAAAAGTTGTAATTGTTTTGTTTTCCCACATTGTGTTAGTTTCTTTAATTTTTGATAATGAATTTTTATTTAATTTTTTCATGTGTTTCTTAACGTTTATTTCATTTTTTGATCCTTGGAGACCAGTGTTTAAAAAAACTGAGCTATTGTTTATATTTGTGCTTTCGGTTTTAATTATTAAGTAAACCTGCTAAAATTATTTTATTGTTCTACATAATATTTTTTTTTTCATTCGGTCTATCAATAAATATTTAATCTTAAATATTGTATACTGTAAATTATTATGGAAACTTTAAGGAAAAGATGAAGTATAATGAAAGGCTAAGAAACAAGTCTTCTGAAATTTGATTCTAGAGCAATGGTTCCTAGGGAGGGAAAACATTCTACTTGTTTAAATCCTAATTGTGTAGTATTCTTCTGTCAGGTGCTTTGATAAAAGTAAAAAAAAAAAATGTAATTGCATACAGAGCATTAATTGATCAGAAATACCTTGTAAGTAAAAACAACATTTTTGTAATTGACGGGTCTCAAATAATCTGTGATAAATAATGCAATAATTGAGACAACGAAGTTCGGTTAGCATTCAAACCTTATTTTTAAATATAGAATAAACATGAAAAAATATTTTGTATTATAAAATCTTTATAAAATATGGTTAATGAAAATATTTATGAAATGTTTATAAATAATTAATATGTTACACAATTATATATACAGTTAAAAATTGTAGTTTTTAGTGTAATATGGTTTTTATATTTTATTGATCATATAACTCCCTAAAATTCCCTGTTCCTATAATATTTGAGATATTACACAATCATCAGCATACGATTTTAGTGAAAAATCCATTGACTTTTTGGAAGATCTATTCATAGCTGTGTATAATTGTTGTGCTTAACAAATTGTAAATGATAATTTATTAAAACTTGTTTAGTATGCTTTAAAATAATCGTTATTTATAGGTGCTGGAAATTCATCTATGCAGCTATCTTCAGTTGATGCATACTGGTAAATATTTCATTTATCATGAGGAATATATAATATTTATATTTCTTTATTAATATTCCATTTTAAAGTAAAAGAGAAAAATGTCGCTAAGAGAAAGTCAAATCTGAATTTCATACCGAAATTGTTTTGTGAATACTTTTTCTTCAGCTGTTTCACATACAATGTTATGAAGTTCATGACGTCACTTGCTTTAAATCCTCACCTGTATTGAGTCAATCAGAAAATTTGCAATTTAAGTCTTCTTAAATTCTATAAATATTGGATGTTTCATTTCTTATTAAATAGATCTTCTCGTCACTCACTTAGCAAAACTTGAAATTGTTTTCATTTATTTACCCAGAAAAAGGGTAAACGCCCAGTTACTCACTAAGTAGGTCACCTGACTCACATCTATACACTCACTGTATATCAACATGATTATAAGAGCCTTTAATATTCTAGAATCTAGCTTATATTATTGACATAAAATCTCCATGTATCATACAAGTTTTATGAAGTGATTAACAAAACAATTTTTTGCTTTAACTATGTTCAATTGTATGAATGCAAATTGAGTTTTTCATTAAAATGAAATATTTTTAGTGATTATTGTAATAAATAATTTTTAAATTTATTTTCTATTTTCCCTTCTAATATTTTAGGAATTTAGAGCCTAAAGTGGGTAGTAAAAATAAAAATTGTCTCATCGAACAATTAGAAGATGGAGAAATTGAAGAAGAACCTGAAGACGTGCAAAAACTTGGGGAACATTCTAAGGACTATCCCCATTTTAAGAAATACTCAAACGATAGTAGATTAAGAGAATGTTCAAAATACTCTGAATTCAATGAGTATTCTGAACATTCATTAGATCCTAGATATAAAGGACACTCAAAAGATCCTAGATTTAAAAAGCATTCAAAGGATCCCAGATTCAAGGAGCATGAAGATCTCAGATTGAAGGAACATTCTAGAGATCATAATATTAAGGAACATTCGAAAGATCATAGACATCAGAAACATTCAAAAGATTCAAGACTAAAAGAGCACATAACAGATCCAAGACTGAAAGATCCAAGGCTAAAAGAGCATTTAAAGGATCCAAGGGTAGAAGAATACTTGAAAGATCCCAGACTAAAAAAGCATTTGAAAGATCCAAGACAAAGAGAACATTTGAGTGTTCCAAAACAAATAGAGAATAGGCAAAATCCTAAACTAAAAGATCCTAATACAAAAGAGGAGTCAAAGAGTTTGAAAGAGCATTCAAAAGATTCCAGACTTAAAAAGGATTCAAAACATACACAGCAGCTAAAAGATTCCAAATTTGGAAAACAGTCAGAAGATACTAAACATGTAAAGCAGTTTGAAAGTTCAGATGTTGAGCTATTTGAACCGAAACATTATGAGCATTTAATAGATCCAAAACATTACGAACAACTAAAAGATCCAAGAGTTTATAAGCAGTTAAAGGATTTAATAAATGAGCAGTTGAAAAGTCCAAAATTTCAATTTAAAAATTGCAGTATTGACCATACTAAAGATGACCAAAAACATTCTTTAGATTTAAAACAGAAAGATCTAACGATAGAGCAGTCCAAAGATCCAAGGCTTGAAGAACATCGTGAAATTCCAAGAAGTACTGAGCTTTCTAATGATCACAGATTCAAATATCAGCCAAGCAGTCAAAGAGAGCATTTGCAAGATCTAAGATATAGTGATCCTTTATTTGAAGATAAATCAATTGAATTAATTATTAAAGGAAAATCAAGTGCATCTGAGGAAAAAGCAAAAGATTCAACACAATCAAAATCACTTTTTAAAACATCAGTGAATCTGTTTCTTGATAAACAATCATCAGATCCAAAGCTTGGGGAAGATGTTAAGATAACACTTGATAGGACTCAGATCACATTTCCAATTTCAAATGTGTTTGAAGACATGAATGAAAGTACATTAAAAATTCTCTCTTTAGAATCTCAAAATATAGCTTGCAAAAATGAAATCACAACGTCCACTTGTTCTGATCAGCTTCATACACATTCAGCAAATGAAAATGACCCCTCACGTAAACTAACCTCGATAGAAACAAATCATAGTTCTTTTCCTGGTAGTGATTCTAGATTTGAAAATGATCCACTGTGTATTGTTAAAAAAGAAAGCACTGAAGAAAATTATTCCGAAATAGATCCCTCAAAATTTGATTTAGTTCAGAGTAAGTCTGTAAGTGAACAATGTTCTTCTCTTGAAAATGATTATTCTACTCTAGAAAATGATCAAATTTATATTGTTGAGGAAGAAAGTGCAGATTATAACAAACCAGACGCTAATTCATTGACATTTAACTTAATGAAAAGCCGTTGCCATTCTGTAGGAGAAAACTCCGTTCATGAAAATGATCAAATGTATATTGTTGTGGAAGATAGTATCAGAACAGATAATATGAAACCAGAAACCCATCATTTCCCTAGTTTAGAAAAAGAAATGTTTGTTGTTGAGGATGTCAAAACAACAGTAACCAGTACAAAACTGAATGCTAATTTGTCCCATTACTGTTCTGCAAGTGATGAGAAAAGAAAAAGTGAGCCAGGATATAGACCAAAAAATATTAAAGCAGATTATTATAAAATGTCTCCCGGTAAATTAGATCGTGATTCATCCAAATTTAATCCCAGCCGAAATAAATCTTCTTTAAGTAAAGAGGAAGGAAAAACTGAAAATTTAGTATGTGGTGGTGCGGAACACAGGACATATCATTCTACGGAGGTTTCTAAAAAACTGGATTCAGAAAGAAATCCTCATTCTGGACCAAAATCTATGAATAAAGGGAAAGAAAAACACGTTTCAACCGAAGAAAGACTTGAAATATTTCATCCTGCATCAGATTTTACAAAACAGTATTCATCAAAATCTATTTCATATCAAAATAAATCTCAACATCATTCTAGAGAGAAAACTGCTGCTGCAGAGCGCTCAACTTCAGCCTCTACAAAGTTAAATGATGATACATCCAAATTTAGTGAAACCCATTGTAAATCTCATTCTGTATCTAGTTCCAAATGTGATAGTGAAGAAACTAAGCATTTTAAGAAAGAAGAAAAATCTCCTCATTGTGGATCAAGGAGTTCTGGTTTAGAAGTCAACCCATCTCGGGGGGATCGGCGAAGTGCTTCGAGAGAAGTGTATCAAAGACATACTCACGAAGAAAAATCTCCACATTGTGAATCAAGGAGTTCTAGTTTAGAAGTCAACCCATCTCGGGGGGATCGGAGAAGTGCTTTGAGAGAAGTGTATCAAAGACATACTCACGAAGAAAAATCTCCACATTGTGAATTAAGGAGTTCTAGTTTAGAAGTCAACTCATCTCGGAGAGATCGAAGAAGTGCTTCAAGAGAAGTGTTTCAAAGACATACTCGAGAAGAAAAATCACTTCATCACGAATCAAGAAGTGCTAAAAGAGACAGGAGTTCTAGTTTTGAAGTTAACCCATCTCGGAGGGATCGAAGAAGTGCTTCAAGGCACTCTAAAGGTAAAAGTCCTTGTAGGTCAAGATCTAAAAACCATTATAGTGGAAAATCATTATCTGGAACAATAAGAAGTGACTCTAAAGAAAGGTCAAGATCCCGCAGTCTTTTAAAAGGGGAATCCCCACGTCTTCTGTCTGATGCGAGATCAAATGAAGTTCATCAGAATGCAGGCAATAATGGAATGATGGATGATGCTCGTCATAAAAGTGTAGAAAAAGATCGAGATCTGAGAAGTTCCTCTGTTTGTAGCAAAAGAAGCAGTTTTGTGTCTCATCATCAGAGGTATGCGAATTTTATAAATTATTGTTTATTAAAGTTTTATGCAAATTTCTCTTGGAGTGAAAGCCTGCTCTTAAATTTTAATTTAATGAACAATTTTTTTTTTAGTAATTTCATTGTTTTTAGAAGTGTTCATAATATTTGATCCTGGAAACTATCTTCTGCATCTTCATAAATTGTCTGTAAGCCTTATCACACTGTTGCTAAAAATAGAAAAAATTGCTTTTTTTTAATGGCTTTTGATTTATTTACATTATAAAGTTAAATTTATGGTAGTCATAGTCAAAAGCATAGATATAGAAAGTAAGTTACTTATTTAAAGAAATATTAAAGAACTATCCTGGCGACTATATTTTCCAGATTACGGCTTTTGAAGGTCCTCGTGGCAGAATTGTGGTGACATTGTCACAGAATGTTAGAGTTTTTGCAGAAAGATTTTTCATTTTGAAAGGGAAAAAATTGTGTTGCGACTCTTATTCACACAATTTAAATATCGTATACTGTGATTCTTATTTACAAGATTTAAAAATCCAATATAATCCACCTGTATTTACACGTTTTTAAAACATTATGTAGCGATTAGTATTCACGCGAGTTTAGAATCAAATGTCGTGATTCCATCCAATAAAGAGTTCAGAGATTTAAAAGCCGCATATTGGGATTCATATTCTCTCAATTTGAATTCAAATATTGCAATACTTACTCATATGATTTTAAAATCGTGCAAGTGATTCATATTCATACACTTTTAAAATTAAGCATCGGGATTTATCACATGGTTTAATATATATATATATATAGACACACAGGGCAGGAGATAGCCCCCCCCCCTCTCATGAGATGCTTCCGCTGTCACTGTGTTTAATGATAGCTGATTAATTATGATTTATGACTTAATAATTACTTCCACGCATTAACCGTTTCATTTTATTCACTTGTGATTCCATCAAAATAAAATTTATGGTTAGGTTGTACTTCTTTGTCAAGTTGCAGGAACAACCTTTTGATAAAATGATTCAATATTTCTCTCTGACTCAATATTAGTGGCTTAAGCTTAAATATTCTACTTAATAAAGGCTGTCCTTTCTTTTTTCCCAACTGATTTTGGATTTCATGGGGGTAGCTTCAATGTAAAAAAATAAGATCTCAATAGTTCACTCAGAAGGACGGTTACATGCATTATGAATGAGTAGATCATTAGAACAAGATTTTTGGCCCTGTATAGAAGCTGTAGTGTATCTACCACTGCAAATATATAATTCTAATTCACTGGTATATAATTCTATGAGGGGGTATCTTTTGGATGTAGTGGGTCTGCCACTACAAATATATAATTCCAATTCACTAGTATATAAGACTTGACTCGATTCTATGGTGGGGATACCTTTTCATAGATGATAGTTGACATTGCTGATAACGAAACTTCCCACATGGGTGACCCGAACGTGATGTGAACATGCCTGCCTCGACAGAAACTCCCACTTCGATTGAAACACGCCTACTTTGATGGATGATCCACATTGAAAAGTTGACTTGTGACATTATCCACCTCCTCGCTCTGTTCCTTCTGAGACTATTACACACAGCATTTGCTCTCGACTGCTAAAGGCAGCGGAGAAGCGACATGACCTTAAACTTAATTCAGATCTCAAGGTCAGCACTCAAAAAGTACGGTGATCTTAATGCAGCCCTCAGGGCTTCTCACAAAACAGCAATGAATCAACTAGTGGTATCCATTCAATGAATTCTATCACAGATAAAATTCTGATGGGGGTGTACTGTACAGGCTGGCCACCCACCTGGAATTTTCAGGGAATTTTTTTTTATACTGGAAAAATCAGGGAAATTTGGATAAAAACCTGGAAAAATCAGTGAATTTTAAAGAAAAGCTAGAAATTTTTTCTTCGATGTTTTTTCAATTTCACTAATTTAAATTATTTACTAATTTCCTTAATTTAAATTATTTCATCCATTATATCCACTTTTTTTATACCAAACAGTTGAAATATCATCAACTTAACGATACTTTGCTTGTATCAAAATTTGCTCCCTTATAACCCTGTTGAACTAGAATGCCACATAAAATTCTCCCATGGTTGCTAAACGAATGTAGAAACCTTTGACCTCTATGGAGACTGTGGGACTGCAAAGATTGTGGTGGATGTGGAAGAAGGGGTTAGGATATTTGCTTCTGTTTTTAATTTCTGTTCGTGGGCTGAATCCATTTATAGTTCAAGTTTGTTCCGATGCTTTAGTGGTAAATTTTTTCTATTTTGACAAAATGATTCTAAATGTTTTTGTATTTTTAACTTTATAAAATTCTCCAAAAATGTGTCGGTTCTAATTTAATAATAATAGATTTTATATCACACTCTTTTTCTGAAAGCTTTTGTACTCCCATTCAAAGAAATCTGTAAATTATTTTTTCTCAGCAAACCAACCAATCACACATTTTTTTTTACAATCACTAACAGCAATGTTTGTCAACAAATTGTTGCATTAATACTATTTTTCTCTATTTTACCTTTTATAACATATTTTAAATTAAAAAAAAGTTTTTTTAAGAACTAACTATATATTAATATTTAATTTTACTGTTTTGTTGGTAAATATTTGATTTCTGATTCAAAATTAGAATTGTATAGTTATCACAATATGGAAAGTTTGTAAATGTTGCTTGCATTCCAGAGATCATATTTCCAAAACTATTCCTATTACCCTAAAAAGCTGACAAAGGCTAAGGAATGTATAGGAAACATATTATATGATGTATAAACATGAAATATAATTTTTTTTTATTCATATGTGCTTAGTAGGAAGAAGGAAAATGAAACCTGGTGTTTTAGTTTTGCACTGTACAAGATTCTAGTTGTTAAAACAAAAACAATTAACCATGCTAACCTAAAAACCCAGGTGTTTAGTTAGGAATTCTTTAAATATTTTAATTTCAAATAAGAAAAGAAAAAAACAAATAAGTATAAAATTTAAAGAATTGTATACTCTATAGGAAAAAAATAGATAAACCAAAAAATTAGGCAATTTTGCATTTGTGACATTTATTTTTGTATACTGAATCTCCTAAAATAATAATGCTAATTCAAAACAACATTATTTAAAAATTTGACTTGAGATATTGGTTTAATAAAATATGATATTAATGAATATTTCAGAATGGATTAATAATAGAAATATATTTGGATGGAATATGGAATATTTAAAAAACAAAGCAAAAGTTTATTTTAAAGAAATCAATCGTCAAAAAGTAACGAAAACTTTATCCCACAAAAGTCATTGTACATTGTTTTTTATTAAATTTTACAGAAACTTTTACAACACTCAATTGTGAATTTATGAATTTTTCCACAAATTTTGTAATTTTAATCTTTGATATGAAGTCCTCCTTTAAAGCATTTTATCATATATTACAGTGTAATAGCACACAATAAACTAATTTAACAATATTCATTACTGATTTATCTCTTACGGTGGCAAATAATCAACTTTAAAATTTGGTCTATTGTTTTATTACGACCACGAACCGTTTTTAAATGATAAAATAAAATATTACGGAATTAGCAAACAAAAGTTAAAATATAATTTTGCTATCATAAGTTTGGTACTAAATTACAAATAAATAAATGATAAATAATTAAATAAAAAAAATTAAAGCAATTGACGATAATTTTAATTCTAAAATCCGAAAAAATTTAAGTGTATGATGACTTTTGTGGGGTAAAATTTTTATTCCTATCTTAACAATTATTGCTATCTTAACAATGAACTTTTGCTTTGATTTACTAAATATTGAACTAAAATATTACATGCAGTTTTGCTAAGAATAGATTATACATCAAATACCCATTTTGAAATATTCATTTTAATTAATGAATTTTTATTGCCTATTTCAATAAAAGTTATAAAAAGTGAACAAACACTTTTGGGAACCACTGTAACTATAAAAATTTATTGATATATAATCACCTGGAACAGTTTTCCTTTGCTTAATGAAAATATACTAAACAATACTTATCCAAGGTTTTACTGGTTATTCTGTTTTTGCCATTTGATAGGTACACTTTGAGCAAAAACTACCTAAAATAACACATTAAAAACATTTTTATTCAATAAAAGCAATATATTCTACAAGCTAAATCTATTATTTATATCCAAGGTTTAAATATGTATCAATTTCTTGCATTTCTAGAAAAATTATAATAGAATTAGTTTTAAGTTATCTGGAATCCATATTTATTGTCCTAACATTATGCTTTTGTTGAATAAGGTCTAGAAAAGATAGGCGTGAAATCCAAGAAGATCAACCTGCTCTCAGTACTAGACCTAGTAAAAACATCACATCTTCTCCTTCTGGAATGTTTTATGCACAAAACAAGGTAATTTTGTTCAAATATTTTTTAGTAAAAAATTTTAAATTATCACATAAACAGGGTTGCCGCCGGAGACTAAAAGGCAACTATTTTTGCCTGAAAAGGCTAAAAAAGCAACTATTTGCAGGAAAAGAAGAATATTGGGAGACTTTTCTAAACTCCCAGCAATGTTTTTTTTTTTTTTTTTTTGAAAATCTGCACCCCACAAGATAGTTTCCGAACACACTGAACTTTTTTCTTCTTAAAATATAAAAAATGTGGAAAATTTTGAATTGCAAATTTTGTTTTTCAATGATTATTGCTACAAAATTCCGCATGAAGTAAAAAAAAAATTTAAATTTTTTTTATTTTATTAGGATATTACAATGCATGAATTTCAAATTTGAGTAATCACTTTTCATATATATATATATATATATAAACATTTACGTTTCTATAAAAATTATCATATTTACCACCAACTTGACTGAATGGATCATGGTATATGACAATTAAGTCATTAACAAAATTATAGTCATATTTCTGATGATTTTTTTTTTCTTATTTAGGCAACTATTTTCCTAGTTTTTGGCTACTATTTTCATGTTTTAGGCTACTAAAAGCATCTATTTTGTTCATTTTTTTCTGTGGCAACTCTACATAAAGAGACTACAACTGGGAAGGTAGTCTTGCATATATGTTTAAGATTAATTACAAGAATTGGGAACTTTAGAATTTCAGTTGGTACAATTTATTGTAAAATTTCTGCGGCACTGGTGACAAGAGTATGAGGAATATTTTAAAAGCAATTTTTAAAAAGAGCTCCTTAATTTCATTTAGAAATCAAACTGGATTTGATGTTTATTCAATGTCTGTACCAGTGATAGGATTTTTGTGAACCCTTTTAGTGTATACATTTTTATTTCTGCTGATAAGGATTCCAAAAATATTTTTTAAGGGCAGTCATAATGTCTTTATGTATTTTGATGAGGATTTTAAAAATATTTATTAAGGGTGGCCGTTATAGAACGCCTTGCATTTTAACCAGGGTTGCAGAGCTGTAGTCATTGAGTTGCAATCAGAGTTAGTTTGGGTAAAAGGAGCTGAAGTCACTGAAAACGCATTGACTCCGAGTTTTTTGTTGGACAGTTTGAAATGAAATGAAAGTAAATTGAGAAAAAAAACAAATAACTTATGACAAATTGAGTTATTATTTTTATTTATGGGCTATATACATTAATAGATATAAAGCTATTTTCTATTTCATTGCTTTACACAGTTTGCCAAAAGTGTGTCCAGCAATATTTTACATAATTAGAGTTTAATTTATATTGCATCCTTTTAGAATAAACTATTTAAAAATGTTTTAGACAGAAATTTCTTCTTAATCTTGCTGCCCCTTTCACAGTTATAAAAGAAATGTTTTTAGAAATTCTTGCATATTTATCTTAAGAATATTTTGCTTTATTACAGGATTCCAATGAAGTTGTAGCGACTAATGCCTTGTTAGCACTGCACGAAAGATTCAAATTTGAGTTAGTGGATCGTGCTGCTCGTGCCAGAGCTCTGAAACCAAAATATGAACCTCCTGTTCGTAAGGTGAAACTTCGAAAAATGAAAATAAAAGGTAAATTTTTAGGTGTTGGGAATGTTGGTCTTTTCTGGCTTTAATACTGGTGAAGTAAATAAAAAAAAAGTAACAAGTAAAAAACTTTTTTAGAATAAACAGACGTCATTTATGCGCAATTCTAAGCAAAACTTTTTTTAATGATTAAGCAAAATTTTTTTAATGATTTAAAACGAGATTAAACGTGTTAAAAGAGATTTAATGATTAAAAAAATTAATATTTGTTTACAGGTCCACCTAAGAGTAGTACAGCCTATTCTGTATAGGTGATACAGGAGTAAGTATGCATAATAAATAAAAAAAAAATCCCTTTAAATGAGAAGTAGAAAAAATATTCTGTACAACAAAATATTTTTTAAGTATCAGTTATAATTTCTAAATCATTTAATAAAAAAATGCATTAACAATGATCATAGGTTAAAAGAGGAGTTTTCTTTTTCAAACTAATAAAAGAAAAAGCTGAACAAAACTGATATTAAAAACTGTCAAAAGTTAAAGCTATTGTGTATTGTATTCACTTAATAGTTTTGTAGGTTGCTCGTTTAGAAAAGGAGATAAACCTCATCCTTCCCTTTTTGTTTACATCCTTAGGAATTGTTTTTCTTTTAATAATCAGTAAAGGCTACAGAACCGGAAATGATTATGCTCTGGAAATAATCCGGATTTCAGGATTTTTTTCACTGACCGCGATCCGGCAGTTTCCGAAAATCCAAGGTCCAGAAGTTTCAAAAAATCGCCAGTCACATTTGCGTATAAAAATTCTTTTATATTTTATTTAAAAATATTAGAACTAGAATTTATGCTTGGCATCTCTTTCATTTGTAAAGATTTTTTCTGGTAGAATAATAAATGTGATTAAAGATAAAAATAAACTTATACATAATTATTTATTTAAATTATGCATATAATTTATTTAGAATTTCATGTTTTGAAACTATCAACGATTTAAATTTATAAAGACATAAATTTTTTGAAATGCGTCATTAATGATTTTACTCAAGAAATATTCAGGATTTTTTTGTTGGGCTCACCATCACCCATGTAGAACAAACCACAGGAATTTTTCATGAGTTTTTATCAACATAGATTTTTTATTTGTTTTGTTCATCAATGTTAATCATTTGATTATTTGTGATTTCCTCACATTATCTAATTATCATGCGCAGTGCGTCTGAATAATTTTGGATCAGATCTTCACGTTCTGGGACTCATTCGAAGGGGGGACCTCAAATATGCTAATTATTTAGCGCAGAGGATATTTTAAGTTGAAAATTCAGGCTTCTCCGAATAAACACCTTTTATTCAACAGATTCTGACCCCCAAAATATAAGGAGTAGTCTTACTCTGGTAAATAAGTTTCCCATAGTTTGGTTTAGAGAGCGTTGGACCTCTTGATGTTAATTTTACTTTTTATGTATTTCATCCTATTTCTGGAATTTTTTAAGCAAATAAAAAAGGTTTACACCCAATTATAAAATTCATTTATCTAAAGATAATTCCTTAGAAGAAGTTAATGTCAGTAAATATGTACTATTTTTTATTATTTTATAACAGTCGCCGAAAATTCTCGTCGTAAAGCAGTTGTTTGATGAATTCGAGATATATGGCGAAATAAACCAAAAAGTAAAATTTACGTTAAGGGATCCACACTTTGGGTAACTAATTAGCATATTTGAGATCACCTCTTGAAACCATTAAGAACGAATCCTAGAATGTGAAAATCCGATGATTAGATCAAAAGTTATTCAGGATGTTCCTTTTTTTTTTAGCGTGTTGTACATCTTGGTTATTTTAATTACTAATTAGTAGGCAAAGATTGCTCTACTGTCCTTCAAATTTTAAGATTTTATCTCTTCATGAAGAAAAATGCCCATATCATTATCTGGACAATTAATTTTTCCTCTTCTTTAGGGTTGCTCTCTTTTATTGAGAACCTATTCCTCCAGTTCTTACCATTTTCTGGTTCTCCAGGCTCTTTTATTTCTAGGCATTGGTTTTTCTTTTCTTTATCAACTGGTGCAGTTTTTGGCAGATTTCGGCTCACTAAAATCTTGACAGTATGGCTCTTATTTTTTCTGGGAGCTACATTTTGATAAAGAATTTATAATTAACAGAAACCGATAGCAAGAATAATAACAGGAGTAAAAAATAATAAAATGCTCACTGAAAGAAGAAAAAAAAGTTGTCAAGAAGGAATAGAGGAACTCAAGTTCAGCTGGGTAGAATTATTGCTCATCAACTAACGCATTATGTCTAAATTTAGGAAGTGAGGAGAAGAAACGATTCCTAAGGAAAGGTCTTCTGTTTTTACTTTATTATGGGAAGAATCCATAGGGTTATTTTTTGAAAGAAGATTATTTCAATGTGCCACAAGTAGGCAGAGTTTGACAAAGGCAGGGGCAGCTGCCCCGGGCCCCTCATCGATTATAAAGTTTATTTTAGGTTTTCTTCTTTAATGAACTTTTTTGGAACAAAATATCAGTACAGTGTAAAATCTATCAATTTTATGTTAGCTTCTTTGTTAATATATTGTAAGAATACAAAAAATCTATGTTTTGTAAATCCGTGGCTTTCTGGTTCCGAATTCAGCTAAATTTTCGCAGTTTCGATGGACACGTTTGGCCGATCAAAAGCCTGTAGTTTTACATATCATGATATGCAATATGTTTACAAAAATACAGGCTTCTGATTTGCTTAAGTGAGCCATCCTCATTGCGAAAATTTAGTTGAATTCCGCCTTTAGTCAGCAAAGAATCTAATTTTTTGCAGCTAAATGACAAAGTTAACAAGAGGAAAACTGTATTTGGCATGATGGACATAGAATTGTCAGAAAATTAATTAAATGGACAGAACGATATTTCGTCTGACCATTGGAGGGGAAGGAATTGCTATTTTAGGTTCTAGTCAATTCTCTTGTTACTTATGTATAATGAGGTGAAAAATTTAAATACCTGCATAAAGTTCAATTCCTCATTACTGTAGTAGTGCAATAGAGGGGGACCCCCAAAGAAGTTTTTCCCCCAGGCCCCAATTAGGCAAAGTCAGGTCCTTGCGGGCTGGAAAAAATTTATCTTTCTTCGTAAGAATACTATTTTGATCTAGCTGTTTTTCTTTTCATTGCAGAGCCAACAAACAATGGTAGCAGCTCAAGCAGTGAAGATCTGAGCTCAAGTGATGAAGAAGATACTACTTTCGAAGAATTGGAAAGAAAAAGAAAACATCCAGATAGATTACATCCTGAATTATGGTTTAATGATCCAAAAGAAGTAATTCACTGTTATTGTTTTATAGTATACTGTTTGTAATAATTCAAGCATACTCACCATTTATTTTAATTGAAGCATGGCTATCATTCATTTTAATTGAAGCATATCATTGTTCATTTTTTCTCACATGTATGTTGACTGTTCATGTTTATTCAAGATATGTCGAGTATAGTCCCGGTGCCTCCAACACAGCTGCGAGTAATTCAGATTAACAAACAAATGAGTTAAATATCATTGATGCAGGTTAATTTGGAATCAGCGTGCATAATAAATAATCCCTTTGAATGGTCTGAAGATAATGTGAAGTATAACAAAATATTTTTGTTGTTGTTGTTGCTAATTCCCATCTGGTCTGACGGGGTCAGACCAGATCAATGAATCCGTTGATATTAAGAAAATCCGAAACCAGAATGGGAGAGGAATGAATGTCATTCCAGTCCAGCCCTAAACAGTTCAAGATGTACTTAAGTGATGCCTGGTTTTGTTGGCATTTAGGGCAAAGAGGAAAGATCTTTTGATTTGCAGAAAATGTGAGACTTTTCAAGTGTCCACTGGCCAGTCGAGATAAGCAGCTGTTGGTTTGCCTGTCACCAGGAAGAGATAGAGAGAGTCCTGGTCTTTTTGCTTTATACAAAATATTTTTAAATGCATCAAATAACGTAATTTCTAAATTATTTTTTTGGGGGGAGGGGGGAGAGAATAGCCTAAAATACGTTAACAAAGCTGTCACCTGAAAAAAGTTTTATTTTTCAGCAAAAAAGAAGCAACAAAATTTTATAAAAGAAAGTTGTTCTTACCTGTTGGCACCGCGCCAAAAAATAAAGCTGTCTTGTTTTACTTAAGAAGATCAAATAATTAACAGCAAAAAACTATTTATGTGCTCAGCGGCGCCCCTAAAAACCTTGTGTTGGGAGGATGAGAGTTTGAGAGAAAAATGTTGGAGAATCTCACATTTTAGGGAAGTGATTATAAAAAATGATTCAACCATATTAGCTTCTATTATAAAAAAATAATGCAGCCATATTTAGCGGAAGAATTAACGCTGCGACTGATTACATAAATCTGTAAAACATTGTAATAAGAAAAATAAAATTAAAAATTTTAAGCTAAAAATTCATTAAAAAAAGATTAAGAAATTTATTACAGTTAACAATTTGAAGAAAAATGAATAATAACGAAACAACTAATAATAACTGATCACGAAGCGTGCACCAAAAAAATTCTCAAGAAGAATTAACGAAGTGGAAACATGCTTCACTTTCTCAATCTTTTGGGGTGGAATTTTAGTGGGCAGAATGGCCTCTCGTTCAATGGAAATAACACAATATGACTCAGCTTAGATAAAGAGAAGAAAATGTTTAAAAGAAGGATGTATCCCACCTCTTCCGTTTGTCATTTCTACTTTACCTGTTTAGGAAAAATCCATTGGTTATTTTTAAAGGGGTTGAGGGGAAAAAAGGGGAATACTTCCTTATCTGTTTGCTCCAATTACAATTGCCAAAATGCTAAATGAATTTCTAGATTGTGATCTTTCTTTAAGCTGGGGGTGGATACAAGATGCGTACCTTTTAAATTGGTCTCCTTATGCGATCTTTTATAATTATTATTATTTAAATTTTTTATTTTCTGGCAGTCCGCTGTCGAAAGTTTGCTAAGAATTGGCAATTGTTCTGCAGCTGATCGCTATACGGGCGAATATTTCGTCAGCTTCATTATTACTGTTTTTAATAGTCTTTCTCTCAGAAAATTATTTAATCTTAAAATAATTTTCCTTGATAAATATTTTTGCTACTAAAAATTATTTCGTCGGAAGCACCGCACGAGGAAGGAAAAAAAACTCTTTTGGATGGCACCGCAGCGCTTTTGCATAAAAATATGGTAATAGTAAACAGTTTTCTTTAACGGTAATAGCAAACAATTCTTTTTTTCACTTCTAATTTTGTTATGCATTAAGTTGGTGAGTTTATTTTTGTGATGTGGGACCAGAGAGATTCCATAAATACTTCTTGAGTTGTGAATAAAAGAGAATTTCATCATTTGAGCAATATTTTTGTTTTAGTTAAGAATCAGAAATTCTAACCTACAGTTCAAACTGGATCGTTTTTGGTACTAATTCAGGTGACTATCACAAATAAAAAGGGTCTAAACTGGACCCACGCAAACGAAAGGAGTCTGTTTGCAAACGCAAGCATGAAGCACATCCCTCACAAAAGTGCCAAAGTGAAGACAATTGAACCCTACAGAAGAGCGATTATGCAAAAGCGTGGTTTTCACATTGTTCTATTCTTCTTTTTCACAAATCTTTCAAACACAATGTGCTTCGGCGCACCTTCGTTCTGTAGCGCATGAAAGCGCCAATCATTTTACATGGTTGATTTTATGCTTGCGGATAGGCTTGTGCATATACTGACCTGGATTCTGTGGGAATTATTCTTGCTCTATCATGTGCAACTCTGCTGCATTTTGCAAGAGATTTTCAATTTCCGGCTTCATTTTCCTCCCTCTGGAATCGAACCAAAAAATCTCTCTATCTTTTTATGGTGGCTAATGTTATCAAGAAATGGATTTGTCAGAAACTAGTTATTTTTTCATGATCATGTTAAGTCTTTGAAAAGTATTTTACATTTTGTTAATGTATATAGTGCTTAAAAATATTTTTTGAGTGTTTGAAATGTACTTAAAAGGTGCTTATTTTTTGTTGAAAGATTTGGCTGTTACCTTAAAAGTTATAAATCATGTTGGCTCAGGGGATAGAGCGTTCGCCTTCCAATGAGGTGAACCGGGTTTCGATCCCGGTTATGGCTGGTCGATACGAATTTCACATCCGGCTTGCAACAACCACAATGCTGACATGAAGTATCCTGAGTGGTAGACGGATCATGGGTTAGAGTCCCCTTGCCTTCAGGCTAACTGTGGGAGGTTCTCGTGGTCTTCCTCTTTGTGTAATGCAAATGTGGGATAGTTCCATCAAAAAGTCCCCCACGAAGGCAAATTTCTCCCAAAACTTGATCCAGGAGTTCCCTTGTCTTCTGGTTTGGGTTCGAAATTACAAGGCTACGGAGTTGAACATTAGTAGTTGTAAATCCAAAATTTGGGTCGGCTGTTCAACGACGGTTATAAAATAAAATATAAAATAAAAGCATGTAATTTATTTCAGATGAATGATGGACCTCTTTGCCGGTGTAGTGCAAAAGCAAGCCGAGCTGGTATAAGGCATGGTATTTATGTCGTAGAGGAACCCATACCTCCATGTAATCCATACAGTAATAATACTGATAAATTGTGGCATTACAAAATAACAATGACGCCTCATACTAATTTCATGGCAAGTTTTTTTCTTATTTATCAATTCTTTAACATTTTGTAAGCAACTCACTTCTTGCTCACACTATTATATATACTGATTCTAAAAATGTTTTATTTTGTTCTTATTAAATTTGAAATTTTTATTATTTGAAATGAGTCATATATTAGGGTTCAAAAGCTGTTGATGTGCACATTACATTTGCAGACGTCTGTCCAGGGCAAATTTACTACCGTTTAGCGGTACCTCCACAAATTCAGCTTTAGAAAAAACGGTAGTTTCACAAAATACTTTATAAAAAGCAAGTTCTAAGATTCGCTGCCTCTTAAAATTTTGTTTTTGAATCCCCATAAAAAATTATAAATCCCAGAGTTTTTTAAATTGAAACAATGAGGTTCGCTCTCTATAAACTATACTGGAAGTCAAAATTCGAACATCATTTTAAACATTCATTATCCTTAACATTATTGTAAATTTATTCTAACAGACCTTTATTTTTTTTTTATAAAAATATCTATTCCTTAGGAAACTTTTTTCTGCATGTTCTAGTCAAAAATATGAAAGTTCTCCTAATGAAAATAACTTTTAGTTCTAGTACTGTTAAATGCAAGTTGAAATTTTACTATGGTCAATGTATTTTTAAATTTAAATACAATTTTTAGCTCGAAATTTACAATAGCAAAAATATTTTTAATATGTGGGGAAAAATATATGGAAATTTACCAGTCATGAATGATTTTTATTTTTACCATATTTTTTTGTTGCTTTTTTGTTTTTTAATGTAACTTTTATTCTTCACAAATTATGTCTACATTTTCACAAAATAGGTACCTTTCAAAAAAACCTAGACAGACCCAAAATCTGTAATCTGTTAAAGTGTGTAGTCAATTGTTTTCCACAGTTCACCTAGTGCACATCAATGGTTTGTTTCTCTCTTTTTATTAATTAATTTGTTGATTGTTTGATCATAGAATTGAATATTCAGATACTGAAAAAGAAATAAATGAGATTTAGTTTATTTCTTTAATTGCAATGCTATTTTAAACCATTTAATTCTTCGCATTTATAGTTTTTAAAATGATTGATGCTTTATTCTAATTAGTAATGTCTCGATTATAGTAATTTCATTTTATCATTTTATAGCAGACGTTAAAGAGTATTTAGTTAATTGAAGTGTGTTGAAGCATTGCTGTTCCAGCAAAGATCTTATTTTTTCTTTTTAGTGTGCCTATTAAAAGATGTACAGATTAATTTGAGAGATGAAATAATTTTCTGTCCTTTAAATGTGCAGGGTTGGACTAACTTTTGATATTCTTAAAAAAACACTTAGAGAATCAGTTTAGAAGTGTTTAGATCGTGCGATTTCTCATACACGTCAAGTTTAGTTTGAGGGATTGACAATAAACTACAAATGGAAAAAAAAAATTTTGGACATCCTGTGCCAGATAATGTAGTAATAAATTTGTAACTTATGTTGGTAAGTGGTAGCTTGAGGCATGTCAAATAAAAACTAGAATATCTTTCTTTAATGTAGCTAACTATTTATCAACAAGCAAAAAGGTTATTTGTTAAACATTTAAAATCTTTAAAACTAGTTGATATTTCTTCTAAAGGTCACCTGGAAAACAAAGTATTGAGGTTCACTGAAGCTGCAACCTCAACTACTCAGGGATGATTGTATTCCGAGTTTTCCGTATCATCTATCCAGGTCTAGAAACTAGGAGCAGGACGTGTGATTTTTTTTTGCCGTATCTCAAGACCGTTGATTCACAGACTTTCGCGGAAAAAAAACTTATAATCCGACAAAATTGTTGCCGCAATCTAAAGTTTAAAGTAAGAATTAAATTGCACAATCTAAAATTTAAATTATCAAACTTATGTCATATCATGTTAACGAGACGTTTCGACGCTTGTAATTTTTTCATCAATTTTTGATTTTGTTAAACGGACTCATTTTTAATAATTGATATTATACCAGAATTGTGTGATTCATATTCACGCGATTTTAATGTCAAACATCGGTTTTCGTATTTTTCTGATTTAAAAATTACTCACTATGAATCGTATTTATGTGATTTAAAGATCCAATATAGCGATTCATATTCACGTGAGTTTAAAGTCCATTGTGTCTATTCATGATCAAAGGATCTAAAAATTGTGATTTGCATTGACGCGATTTTAAAACCCAATATCGCTATTTGTATTTTCACACTCTTAAAATCCAATATCGCGATTCTTGATTGATATTCTACATTGGTAGGCAATTCAATAAAAAATTTTAGTTCAAAAATTTTTTTAAGTTCATAAATTAATATCTTGTTATCGAGTTTTTGCACATAAAATTTTCAGGGTTTTACACTTTGTGTCACAATCACTCCTGACTGCTCACTCCTATCAGTAGCTCATCAGTCGTGTTCGTCCGCCAGAGTCGCTCCGCTCAGGAACTACGCTCCTTCATCCTCTTACCTCCTACTTCAATGGTTTCTTTGATCGGTGTTTTTGTGTCTCTGTACTTTGTTTATTTTTCTGCTAGCTGATGCAAATTTAAACGTCTCTACGACTTATAACTATTATTTTGATTATTATGTGCTATAATTGCAGAAAATTTCGTAAGCTTGGCTTAAATATTTATGGAAATATGGACATTAAGATAAAAAATGAATTTTTTATCTTACTGTTTTTTACTTTAACTTAAAAAGTATTCATTAACATTAAACGAGACTTTTGGCATGAATTTAAAATTAATTTAAAAAAATATTGCTTTAAAGTTTGAAAAAAAATTGCGGGAGATATGAGTCAAAAGTTATTTTATTAAAGTAGTTATTTTATACTGTGCATGCGCTGAAAAATTAAAAATTATTTTTCTTTAGTTTGTAGTGAATGGTATTTAGCAACTTATATAAAAAGTCTGATTTTAGCATCTCATAAATTTCAAAAGTTTCCAAGTAGTTTTCTTAATTTTTAAAGGAAAGCTCAAAATTATGAGAACATTTCCACTAATTTCATTTAGTACTATTAAATCGCATTTATTAACAAACGATAATACCCTTCTAAATGATGGTCTAGACAACAAAGTATTAGGAAAGCTGCGAAAGAAAAGATACTTTTATGGGGGAGGATCCCCAATAATGCCATTTTTGAAAAATCTCATTTAAAGCAATAATTTTGTAATAAATTTGAAATTAATCCAAAAGTTTTGTCTAATTGTATTGAATATTTGTAAAGTTGTATAAAAAAAAAACGTATGACTGTAAAATTCGTTTTTTATATGTTCATGTTTCCACCATGGGTGCAAGTCTTCCGTCCCCAGGACGGATTTCCGTCTTTCGAAAATGTCCGCGGACGGAAACAAGACTAACTCGAAGACGGAAATCGGAATTTTTTTTCTGTCCATAAAAATATTTTTTAGGTCTACGTTATTGGTCTATTTTCTTATGTCCTGTTGTTATTTGAGTCGCTCAGAAGCCAATGCGGTTAAGTCCAAAACACAAAAATTTAGAAAATTAATGTTTTTTGATACATTAGTTTTTAAAATTCTTGGTTTAATAATTTAATTAGAAAAGTGTATAAAGTCTTTTTTCGAGGTGTAAACTCTGCAAAAAAACAAGATATGTACAGGATGTCTAAATAAAAACGTAAGTATTTATTGAAATAATGATAGCATCTTAAAAATTTTAGGACTTATACCTTTTGGCAGCTGAAAAAGATAAGAAATTCATGTAAAAAAATATTGATAAAAAGTGGACTTATTCACAATGGCTTCTGAAATTATTATACAATATATTCAGAAGCTATTAAAAAAGGGCTGTCTAACCTAGAAAAAAGTAACCAACGAGTAAATCCTTTAATAACTAAGAAGATTATTATTTATTTCATCAAAATTTCCAAAAATCAGAAAATATCAAAAAATGGACTTAACCGCATTGGCTTCTGATCGGCTCATTTTATCAAAAGACAGATGAATAAATATTTTTTGTACAGTATTTAATCTTGATGTATTATGGTAAAGCTTTCTTAGATAGTTTGCATATGTCGAGGGGGTACTGTGTATGTTAGGTATTTGAGTCAAAAAATTTTCAGTCTTGGCCTTTTTTCCAACTTGCACCCATGGTTTCCACAAATATTTAAGCTACGAAATTTTGTGCAATTGTTGCATATAGTAACCAAAATGATAGTTACACGTTGTTTTGCATCTCAAAAAGCTTCTTAAAATATGTATGAGAAATATCAAAGAATAACTAAAAATGAATTCTCTCTTTCAGACCAAATGTCCCACAAAGATAGTTCATGATGAAAAAAAATATATATTTGAAGGTTTCTCAATGTTTTCTCACTACCCGTTGCCATCTCTTCCCAGCTGTAAAGTGATTCGTTTCAATTACGAATACACAATACTTTATGTTGAAGAGCCAAAGCCACAAAATTTCACTGTTGCCGGACTCGAACTATTTAATAAGTTCCTTCTCGAGGAGATTTTAGAATTAGTTGATCTTAACTGGAAAGCCCACGACGATCCCGATGGATGCCCACGATTTCATTTCATGCCTCGTTTTTCAAGAGAACTCGACGGTGAGTTATTGATCACAATCAATTTCATGCAAACATTTGTTAAAATATAGTCCTGATTTTTTTTCAAAAAAAAAAAAAAAAAAAACAATTACGAAAGTCAGTTTAGGGTATCTGCACACCTGGAAAGTTATGAAAAATTCAGGAAAGTCATGAATTTCGATATTGAACAAAATTTGTCATGAATTTAATTTTTTTTTTAAGAAAATTCATGGAAAGTCAGGAATTTCAGTATTGAACAAAATTTTTCGTGAAATGTTATGATTTTAACTATTTTTTTTTAAAAAAAGTCAGGGGTTTAGGTTGCTGAAAAATCTAGTTTTTAAAATGGAATTAAATCCCCACACCAATTTCATGGAGTTCCGAATATCTGAATTTGTAACAAAATCCCCACTCACAGTCATATTTTATTAAAATATAAAATGTTTTTATCATGTTCTTTAAAAATTATGGTGTTCCTTCAAGCAATGAAAGAAAAAAACATCATTTCTAGAGCGAATTATCTTTTTAACTTCTGTGTTTTCAGAATTCATATTATTATTTCTAATTTTATCAATTTAAAATTCTAGCTGAAGCCAGCCAAAGTGTTTAAATACAACGATACAGAGTTTAACAGTTTTGGAAATACCTATCATTTCAATTAATGTTATAATAATGCTTTTTTAAATTTTATGTTGTGTTTTTGTCGGAGAAAATAGTAACCAATGACTAATTCTTGGAATTAGTCATGAAAAGTCAGGGATTTGAAAATCTAAACTGTAGCAGTTACCTTGGCAGTTTAAACTTTTTGTAAAAATCTATTCATAATTTTGTCAATAATTCAGGGATGAGATTTTTTCGCTTTTGTCTCTCGAATTTCTGCCTTTTTATCAAAAGTTTAGGTTTCTTTTTATAAATATTCCGCTTTTTCTGAAAATGCAGTTGTTGAAGTAAAATTATATTTTTCAAGGATAAACAGAAAATTCAAAGTACGTAGGTGCTAATCCTTCTGCAATTTTACTTATTTTGGCTATTTTCTCCGCTTTTACGCTCAGAAAAAAAAATTTCTTATTTTTACCCGCCTGCAAATAGCTCCTATTTTCGTAATTCATGTTAAGAATAGGAGCTAACTTATTAAGTTTCAGATATTGCAGACATCTGTTATAAATGAAGAATTCATAGAAAACTGTACAACTGTGTTTATTGAAGAAGATAATACTTTCAATGTAAAGAATTAAAACTACACTCAACAAAACTAAACATAACTCTTCAAGAGCTGCCCATCTATTTGCTTACGTTTTCCAGCAATTCTGACGTCGCTGCTTCCCATTTGCTGATGCAAAAGCGAATGAAATAATAATAATTTTAAAAAAAGAAATAGCAGTGGATTTGCGTTGAAGATATTTATTTGCTCATTCATTTAATCTTGTAAATTTACATTTATTATGGCTTAACAAAAACAATACAAGCAAGCCTTTTAGGAATCCCAAATACAGAATCTGCTGATATCTCGATTCTTATTTACACAATTTTAATAACAAACATCAATTTTCGTTTTTACCTGATTTTAAAGTTAGGAATTGTGAGTCTTATTCACGCTATTTAAATATCGTACATTGCAATTCTTATTTACAAGATTTAAAAATCCAATATCATGATTGAAATTTACTGGATTGGTTTTTAAAATCACAATTTTATTATCAAACATCGATTTTCGTATTTACCTGATTTAGAAATTATGCATTGCAATTCTTATTCTCGCGATTGAATATCGTACATTGCTATTCTTATTTACGATATTTAAAAATCAAATATCGCAATTTTTATTTGCACTTTTTTAAAACCCTATGTAGCGAGAGTTGAAAAACCAACTAATTGAGTTGAAATTATCACTTATAAATAAAACTGAAAGTAGCAAATAATAACTCCTTGTCTAATTTTTGTTGAATTTTTTTTCTTCAAAACAAGGACATTTTAATGTCCCCTTTAAAAAAAGAAAAAACAAGCAAGTTGCCCATTATATGCTTGCATAATATTTGAATGGCCCCTTGTGGAAAATTAATTTTGAAATGCTTGATGGATGCACCCTTTAGGATACAAATATTTAGTTTGGCTTGTTTAAAAAAAAATCATGGAAAGTCTTGTTTGAATCATCTTTTTGCATTTTATTCAATAGCATGATTTAAACAGTGCAATTCATCATCCTATGCAAATACAGCTATTTAGTCAGAGTCCTATTGCCCTTAATACATGTCATGCAATTCAATCTTTTCAGATAATAGCAAAGAGCTGTTGTCACTGAATGCTGTTCTGGACTATTTGTTGTCATGCAATAAAATTCTAATTGATGAGAAAAAATTAAATGTGGTGATGAAGTATTCGGAGAGAAAGTGGCAAGATTTAGCTGATGAAGTGAAGGGTATGATAGTTACATGCCCTGGCATGAAGCCCTCTTCTGTGAGGGTAGATCAACTGGATAGAGAAGATCACGGGAAGGAGAAAACAAATTTTCCAGTCATTGTCCATTTTGGTGTGAGGCCTCCTCAGTTAAGCTATGCCGGAAACCCTCTGTAAGTACTTTATTCTGTTCTTCCGGATTAGGTTTGAGTTCGACTGCTCCATGATGGTTATATAAAATGAAAATTTACGTCATGCGTACATGAATGGTTTCCGTATCGTGAAAGTCCAAAAATTTGTTTCTTCATTGTATCCACTAAATTTGTTAATTGTTTGATTGCATTTATTGCAATAGTATAGATTCTTTATATATTCAGGGTATCTGCGCGCCTGGAAAGTCATGAATTTCGGTTTTGAACAAAATTTGTCATGATTTTTATTATTTTTTTTAAAATATGGAAATTCATGGATTTAGGTTGACGAAAAATCTAATTTTTAAAATGGAATCCCCTCCCCCCNAAAAATCATGTATTTAGGTCTCCGAAAAATCTAATTTTTAAAATGGAATTTAACCCCGCCCCACACATTTCATTGTGTTCCGAATATCTGAATTTGTAACAAAATCCCCACTCAAAGTCATATTTTATTAAAATATAAAATGTTTTTATCATGTTCTTTAAAAATGATGGCATTCTTTCAAAAAATGAAAGGATAAACATCATTTTTAAAGCGAATTATCATTTAAACTTCTGCAATTTCAGAATTTTTGTTATTATTTATTTATTTTATCAATTTCAAATTCTAGCTGAAGCCAGCTATTGGCGATTTTTTTTTATTCTGAAATGAGAACAGAAAAATCCGGAGTATTTCTTTCCTTTCCGATGAACGAGAAAAGTATCTTTAGAATAAAATTCTGCAGAAAAAAATTTTTTTTTTGCTTTTGTATTTTTTTTAGCTATTTTATTGCTTCAACTATTTCTTTGCTCTGTTTTTTAAATTTAAAATCTATAAATATGAGGATGCAGAGTTTAACAGTTTTGGTTATACCTATCATTTCAATTAATGTTCTTTTATTGCTTTTTTAAATTTAGTGTTGTGTCTTTGTCGGTAGTCACGGAAAGTCATGAATTTGAAAATTTAAAATGTAACAGATACCCTGTATATTGAAAAATGAATAACATCTTTATTAATTTTGTTTATTGCAATAATATTTTAAACCGTTTGATTCTTAGATTATGTGCAGATCATCTTTAGAAATGTCGGTTATTATACAGATTGTTTCGTTAGATAATTTGTATAATAACTGACATTTAACAGTAGCATATTTTAAGTTTTAAAAAGTTATCTGAAATATCTATAGTCTCAAGACATGACACAAGGTTACATGCAATAGCCGAAAGAAAAAAACGGCTTTAATGATTTTTTTTTTTTTTTGATATTATAATTTAAGCTCCCTAAATGTTGCATGCATGTGAGGAAAATGTATTTTCAAAAATATTTTTCAGTTAGCACACTAACCATAGTTAATGTGCATCATGATGCATAGCATTTTTAAAAAGTGCTTAAAGGTTCTTATTTCATGGGGTGTTTTTAAAAAGGTTTTTAATTTTTATTCTGAAAAATAAGGGCCCTTAAAAGTACAGTACAGAACCCGTTATCCGGAAATCAGAAAACCAAAAAACCGGAACAAAATTCGATAAATTTTCCCTCCATTTAAAAAAAAAAAAAAAAAAAAAAACATTTTCCCTCATAAGATTTCAGGATTTTTCTTTCTTTTTTGAAAGATGTTTACCTTACCATCATTTTGGAAATAATCATTAGTGAATTACTTCATTGTTTTTTCTTCTTTTTAAGTTTATTTCCAAAAAAATTTTTTTAGCTGGGTTTAACAATAAAAAAATGGTCCCGATCATTCCGGATAATAGGTTCTCTACTGTACTTAATTTTGGTTCAAGGCTTTTAAAGTCCTTGATTTTTTTGCATCACTATGGTTGATAGGAGTAATTTTTCAGTTCAATTTCTTAAAACAAAGTGTCGTTCTTTTATCACTTAGAATTAGACCATGCATCGAGGGTAAAGCATTTTAAGGAGACACATTAATGTGGGGGCTACACGCAAGGGGAAGAAAGCATGTCCTTTCATTAATATATTGGTTCTTTAATTAATATATTCTGCCCTTTGCCTAGAATAATTCTCTATGAGGAGAATGAAGCATTCTAAAAGAAAAAATTGTGTGGACTAGGGGGATACTGCAGACGGAAGAGATAGTGCTTTGTTTGGGGGAGGGGGGCACTTTAAAGGTACCTAAGTAGAAGGGCCACACTAACCTTCAAAATTGACAGAATTTAAGAAATTCAGTTCTACTGGTAACAAATCTGCTTATTGGAATTAAATAAAATGCTAGGAATAGAAGTGTCCGAATTTTTTTTAAAACTAGAATCCCTAACTAAAACTATTTCCTAAAATCGTGAAAAATTGAATAAATTTGTATATTTCAATGTGTAATAAGTAACTGCAAATTTAGAGAAAGCATAACATTATTTAAAATTCCTGTTTGTACTAAAAATTAAACAAATTTGTAAAAAACAGGATTTGAAGAATTCCAGTCCATCTAGGTTTTTCATCAAATACTTGGGGTTTATTGGGTGTTTGATGAAAACCTCAAGTTTTCAATTTTCAAAAATACTTTCTATGTTTTTTCCTGAGTACTACATAAGAAAGCATGATTTGCTTCTAACAAGAAAGTTAAATATTTGGTTACTATTTATAATTTGTTTTGCAATGTAGATTTTTTTTTAAAGTTTTCGATTGTTACGCTATTATTTTTATTTCTTAAGGATAAACAGATTGCTGCATAAAAATTTAAATCTACTCAACAAAAAAGATCCTTAGATTTTAACAATCATTTTATTCAGTTACCATTATAACTTAATATACTGTTTTTAATTTTTTGTTCAATTTTTAGTTGCTTGAAAAATTGCAAATCTTAATTTCTGCACTTAATTTTACAATTCTATTTCAGTAAAACCATTAAAAATGGAATACGGATTAGATAATGCTTTAACTTTTATAATTTGAGTGATATTAACTTTTAACAATCTGAAAGTATTTTTAAAAAACTCCGACCCAGGTTTGCAAAAATTGCCTGGTAATTCTTTGGCGGTCCCTGTTAATTAATACAATTATATCAGTACTTACATTATAATAAAATAGTTTTTTATTATTTTTTATTGATCGATTTTGTAAGGATAGTAAATAATTTGTGCTGTCACTGGTGGCATATGTATATTTGATGATTAACAATCGTACTATTTTTAAAGTCCTTAATTTTTCGAAAAAGTACTTCAATTTTTCAAAAAGAAGTCCTTAAAGTGCTTAATTTTTGCTTTGTTGAAAGAGTGGGAACCCTGTATAATCGAGAAAAAGAGTTCTTTGACAGAACCTAGTTATTTTATCATGGTCATTGAAAACTATTTTGCATTTTGTTGATGTATATAGTGCTTAAAAATATTTTTTGAGTGCTTAAAAAGTACTTTAAAAGTGTTTATTTTTTGTTGAATGCACCCTGTCATACATTTTCTCTCGATGCACATAGAATGGAAGAAATCAAGCTTTCCTTTTTAAAAAAATTTTTTTTTTTTACGAAATAATGTTGGAAATGAACTATGATCATTTTTTATCAAAATGTTTGCATTTACAACAAAACTATGCAAAATTTGAAAAACTCTGAAAATAATTCAATTTTAATTATTATTTAATTTGAATTCTTTGTTTCTTGATCAACCATTTTTAGCTCCAATATTTTTTTCTATAACTAGATTTATAGATAGATATTTAGATTAGATAGCCTAGATAGATATTTCTGAAATAATTTTTGTTTATTTAGTCTTACCAGCTTAACAATTTTGATTGAAATCAAACGCATATAAGGTTTTTTTAAGTCGATCTGTTAATGTATGTGTTTTTTTTAACAGCTGCATCTTGTAGGCTCTTGTTTTTTTTTTTTTTTTTTTTTTTTTTTTTTTTTTTTTTTTTTTTTTTTTTTTTTNTTTTTTTTTTTTTTTTTTTTTTGTTAATGGCTGTATCTTTGCTGGCAGGAGTAGTTGAGCTATCGATTATTTTATTTTAGCCATCGATCATTTAATTATTTTATTTTACACAAAATTTTTTGACTATTTTTTTCAGTGGCATTTTGTATATTATTTAGAAATGAGGTTTGTAGATTGCTAAGATTTGCTTATGAACAATTTTATATGCTTTTTTTGAGTTAATTCAAGACAAATTTAATATTAGGGGTGGCACTTTTTGCGAAATTCTAGTGCTTAATTTGTTTTTATTCCTTCTCCTTTTATAATTTTTAATTTTTCTTTTAGATATCAAAAAGCATGGCGTGACTATGTAAAATATAGGCATCTCTTAGCCAATAAACCAAAAGTGCGTTACGAGGATCGGCGAAAATTAGTTTCTAAAGAAACAAAGCTTCAAGAAATGAGAATGGAAAAGTAAGCCATTTTTTTTATGTAAAATTATGCTAATTTGATGAATGTAACAAATATATGTACTTTTTCTGCAACTGATGTGTATATATCGTTATACATATTTTTAACTCCATGTTTAAAAGTTCAACTTAGAATTTATTACAGAAGATTGCATATAATTATTGTTAGTTTTGTCTATGGGGGTAATTTTTTTAAAATTTTTTTTAGTTGCCTAATTAATCGATCAATTTTAGAAAAATTTGTTGAATTGTTACTATTTAAATTTTCTTTTAAATAAAACTTATTAAGATTATTAGAAAAATATTTTGATAAAAAGAGAAAGCAAAATCAAGTATATAAAGCAGTTAAATGCTACAATTTCAAAGGAAAGTTGCAGCAAAAATTCCATAAGAAAATTGAAACCAATAAAAAATTAAAGAAGAGAATAATTAAAAATGACAACCGAAGCTGGTGTCACCAGCTCCGGAAGTCATAAAAACCTTTTCTATCGAAAGAGCGCGGCAAATGTCTAAAAATTGTTCTCTCAGTGCTACCCTAAAGGTTTTTTGTAAAAAGTTCAGGAAGAGAGGATGAACTTTCAATTATGTTTTTATTAATTTAACAATTAATTAATTTAATGCTTTTAATTATGTTAAAATCCTTTAATGGAAACAATTTTTCAAATTTTCACAAATATTATGAAATCTTATCTGAAATAAGGTTTTGAAAGTTAATAACCAAATCTAAATTGTCTAATTTTTTTATTTATTTTTTTCGGAATTTTTACTCATTTTAGCTTTTACAAGATCGAAACAAAGAATCATGAAGTGTAAATCAATAAAAGAAATGTTAATAATAAGATCTTGAAACTTTTATACATCATTATTCTTACGGGAGAAAACAAAAGTTTCATTGGCTTAATATTATAATGTTTATTAAAATCTTCTGCAAAATTAGAAATAAAATTTATATTTAATTTTTCACTTTTAAGCGAGTTTCTATTACTTCCCTATCCTATCCTTGTGAAAAAGTAAGTAAGTTGAGAAGTTAATCTGTGTTTATTGGAAGGCATTATTTAGCCCATACGGCAAAATTGTTGTGTTTAGAAGCATGTAGTAGTTTTCTTTTTGTAAGTCTTAAATCGATTTCTTCTACTGTATCTGAAATATTAATTTTAACGCTTTTAAAATTATGTACTCTAAAATGATTTAGTTCTAGGTTATTGATAATTTTATTGCTGTTTATATCTGAACGATTTAGATTAATTCTAATATTTAGAGAGTTACTGGTTTGTCCAACATATTTCATATTAGAAAAACCACAGATTAACATATAAGTAACATTTTTTATTTTACAAACAGATTTTGAGCTATCGTTATTTGGAATTATGTGTTTTTTTGTCAAACTTATATTACTTATTATACAAATTGTTTTTGTTCCGCGGTGGACTGATTGTTAAAACACGTCTCCCAGCAGATCACCGAAGTCAAGCATCACTGGCTGCGGTCAGTGTGGGGGACCACTTGGATCATTCTGCGTAGGGACCATGGGTGTGCTGTATGGGTCCTCGTTAAACTGTCCTACCATAAAGTGCGAAACTTCGCGTGGAGGTCGTCGGGCTACCGAAGTGGGGAGTGCCATCCCCTCCTCAGAGGATTAAAATTGTGATGGCATGTCTTCGGATCATCCTGAGGGATGTTTCCCAAACAGTCAGCAATAGCCCATTGTGCCCTTTACTTTTTATCGTGTTTGCCTTTATTATGCTCTCTCTCTCTATATGTATATATATCTGTGTGTGTGTGTGCGAGCGTGCGTGCGTGCGTGCGAGCGAGAGAGTGTTCAAAATGTAGAATAAAACAAAGAAAAATTATAGACATATGAAAAATGTATGTATNATTATAAAAATGTAATTAGACATTGCTAGACATCGCTACTAGTAGCTACATAAAAGTTCCCTCTGCCTAATGATTAAAAACGAGTAATTAAAAGACATTACTAGATATAATTACTAGTAGTTACGTAAAAGTTCCTTTTGTCTAGTTATTAAAAAAGTAATTAAATATACATTACTAGACAGTGTTGCTAGTAGTTACGTAAGTGTTACCTTTGCCTAATGATTAAAAAAGAGTAATTAAATAGACATTACTAGACATAGTTACTAGTAGTTATGTAAAAGTTCTCTTTGCCTAGTTATTATAAAGAAGTGATGATTCAGACATTGGTAGATATAGTTGCATAAAGGTCCTTTTTGCCTAACTGTTAAAAAAAGTAATTCAGTAGGCATGACTAGACATAGTGACTAGTAGTTACGTAAAAGTTCCTTTTGCCTAATTATTGAAAAAAGTAATGAAATAGGCATGACTAGACATAGTTACAAAAAAATTTCTTTTGCCTAGTTATTTAAAAAGTAATTAAGTAGACACGATTTATTTAAAAGATGTTTCGTACAAACCGAAATTTTTTCAAATCACTTATGCCACCGATCACAAAAATTCTTCCCTGAAAATTGACCACCCCATGTAATGATCTGGGCTCATTCATGGGTGATAAGACGCTCCATTTTTCGTCCTCGAAGTCATATGAATAACCATTTTTAATGGGAACCATTCTTCCATCTTCCGTCACATCTCGTATACTGCATCCGCCTGATGAAAAAAAAATATGTTGTCGCTTCAATTTTATAACTTTAATTCAACTTTATTAAGTTATTTCAAAATTTAAAATGCATTGAAATTAACAAAAGGAAAGAAAAGAAAAACTAAGAGGTCCAGTCTTCGTTTCACCGATTCCCCGAATTCCTTCTCATAATGTATTTTTCTCATTACATAAATGCCGAAGTTTCCGACAAAAACCAAGAAAATTTTTTTTACAAAATGTAAAATTATTCCAGTTTCATGTAAGAACATTTTCTCAATACGTAATAACATTTTTTCAAACGAAATTTTCCAACACGGGCGTAGATCGGTAGGTGACGTATTTTTGTCTACAAGATTAACAGTTAATAATTCCGTAGTTAATTATCAAATGTTAAATTATTTTATTTCATCGTGCTCGTTCGTCGTTTTATCAACTTTTTTTGATATCCATTATAATTTATTATTTTTTTAAAACTCTTATAGTTTTTTGCGAAGCAAAATAAAATGTAATAAAAAGAAAATGGTGAGAAAAAATTCACGAAAAAAGCATCTAAATTCGCATTGACATTTGAACTAATTTGAATTTAAAAAAAAAATTGCTATGTCCGTAATCAAATGGGCCTCTTCCAGCGTATCAGATATCATGTAATTTCATTTCTGCGATCAGTAAGATTAACCCATATGGTAGTTTTCATTACAACTTTAACAGTCAATAATTCTTGAACTAATTATCGAATAATATAGTTTTTTACTTTATTGTACTCTGTACATTTCTCTACATATCTTCATAACTTTAAATTTCGAAGTCTAAAAGTCTTTTAGTAACAAGACAACACATAACGTAAAACACCTAAAACAACTGTGGTAGCAGCTCTTACAATTTTTTAATATAGGAAGACTAGAAGGTTTCATCCCCACCCCCTGCTCGATGAGGGTCATTCAAATGAAACCTGGTCAGTGCGTCTAATTTTGCATTAGACGTAATGGGACGCCACGTAACTGCGTGTATGACGGCACCATCTATTGGTAGAGAGACTGACGAATGCGCAACGTTTGACGTTCATAGAGACAGCGTGGTTACACTCCGAAGAGAAGGTGGTCATACAAGTTATCTCCCACTTCGGAACATGCAGGTTAATAAGCTGGAACAACGAGGAGCAAGTAGGCAGGAACAACATCCACCGTGCAGTCCAGACCTTTCACCGTGTGACTTTCCAGTTTTTTCACCTCTAAAACAAGTTATTCGCTGACATCGATTCACAACAGACCACGACGTGTGAGACTGGGTCCAGGCCTGGATCCGACAGCAGCCTACTAGCTTCTTCAAAGATAGAATTGACCGGCTAGCGTCGAATGGGATAAATGTGTGCCAAGAGTTATGGCGACTATTTTTGAGTAGGTGTACTGTGTATAACTACATTTGTGAGTTAATAAAATCGTTACCGTTACTTTACACTAGTGACCATGTCTCATATATATATTCAGTCAAACCCCGCTATAGTGAGCCTTCAAGGGACTGAAATTTTGGTTCACTATAACCGGGAGTTCCAAATATATTTTTTTTCTTTGGTTGGGTTTAACAATAAGAAAACGGTTTTCTGTAGCGATTCAGAAAACCGGAAAAATCAGTTATCCGGAATAGCGATGGTCCCCATCGTTCCGGATAATCGGTTCCCTACTGTATATATATATATATCTGTGTGTGTGTGTCAGTCACACAGACTAAGAATCAAAATTCTAATTCCTGGAATAAAAGTTTTTTTTTAATTAACAAAATTTTTAAAGCTTAATTTTAGAATAATGCACATTTGACACTATATATATTTATTTGTAGTATACATTGATTTGAATTTTATTCTTTATTTAAAAAAAATTTTTTTTTTTCTTTCAGTGATTTAAAGAGAGATGTGACTGTTGTTATCAGTAGCAAAGGCTTTTATCGAACAGGATTAATGAGTGATGTTATCCAAGTAAAATTTATTATTGAATTAACATCGACTGATTTAAATTTTATTGTATGCATATTTGCTGAAATTATACTTTTTTGCTGCATGAGAGAATTTTAGTTAAAACATTTTTCTGCAAAAAATAAAATTATTATTTAAATGTGTTCTCAGAAAAATTATTTTTAATCTACTTAAAAAAAAAAATAGATTTGATTTCATTCTAGAAATAATTCTAAGCCCAGTAGTTCAGTTTGGGTGATTATCTAGACTCTTTTATCCTTTCCTGATAAATATTAGATACTTTTTTATTATGTACAGTTGTTGTATTTAAGAGAATATATTTTAGGGGATTCATATTTATGAAACTCACTTTTCAAGCACTCAACCAGTTCCAGTTTGATATGAAGTTATAATCCTGGTTTTAGTATACTGCTTTTATTCATGGATACATTTCATTTGATATAATGGAAGTCATTTCATTTTTCTTTTTGTGTAATTTATATTTTGCTACTTATTATTTTATCAGTTTTAATTAAGACTTTTTTAAGTATAATGATTAAAAAGCATACTAATATATGACTTTTTTTTCCAGCATGCTATGTTAATGCCTGTCTTAGTGTGTCATTTACGATTTCATCATTCTTTGAGCAATTTAGAAGACAGAATTAAATATAAGTTTAAAGATAGATTTTTGCTGCAGGTAATAATTACAAATAATAATAGTAATTTTTTTTATTATACATACAACTTTTGATAAATTACTTTTAAAATTAAAGGGAAAAAATGTACTATTATTTTTTAAAACTTTCGATAGTTTATTTTATATTTATTGTATTCATAAATTCTTTATTCTTTAGTAATTTATAAGACAGATATAGTTTTAATGCAGATAAATCAAATGATTAAAACTGGTTCTTTAAATCATGATCACTTAATATGTTTTAAATGCCGTCGATTTAAATTATTGAAGTTTGTTAAGAAACTAGGATAATTTGTGGTATTTTAAAAGATATTAGTAAAAGCAAATTTTAAAGAGATTTTGCTCTGTAATAAGTTTATTATATGATAATATATACAAGTCTCATCATATGCAGAACAAACAAATAAGAAACTACAAAAACATAAAAAAGATAAGTGAGGGTAGATTATCTGTATATTCCCATTGTAATTTTCCTGCTGTATATGAATATAAACTTATTGGGTTTATTTTCTGGTATGTGTTTTATATTTGATTTAGTCTTAACACCTGAACAACCAATCCTTTGAATACAATTTACCATGAACTATGCAGTGCATCTACCACTACAAAAATATAATTCCAATTCACTAGTATATAAGACATGTTAACTTGATTCTATGTCGCGTTACCTTTTCATAGACGAAGGTAGACATTGTCGTTAACAACTATTCCCCACATGGGTGACCCGGACGTGACGGGAAAACACCTAACTTGACAGAAACACCCACTGCAATTTGAACTCGCATACTTCGATGGATGGTTCAGATTGATCAGTTGATTCGCTACTCGTGACTGCGACATTGCCCTCCTCGTGCCGTTGCTACTCGATCACACGTAACGTGTACACTCAACTGCCAACGTGGGAGCGACCGTGAACTTAATGCAGCTCTCACAATCAGCACTCAAAAGTCTGGTGATCTTAAGACAGCACTTCCGACTTCTCAAAAAACTGCAGTGATTTGACTAGTGGTATCCATTCATCGAATTCTATCGCAACTATAATTCTGGTGGGTGAGTATTGTAGTGTATATCTACCACTACAGAAATATAATTCCAATTCATGTAAGACATGTTAACTCAATTCTATGCCGGGGTAGCTTTTCATGGATGAAGGTTGACATTGTCATTAACAACTCTATTGATGCAGAAAGGGTAAAATAATAAATATATGAAAAGTAGCCTTTCTGTTGTGAGTCGATTACATGAACATACAAATTTTAACTTTGTATTATAATTCTTTAAATATTTAGTAACTTTGAAATATTCAAATTGTTTGATTTAATGTCTACCTAGGTTAGTAAAAAGGCAAACATTTAATTTTTTTTTATTTAAAAAATCATGATTTTTTTTCTACATTAAGATTATAAGTGTTGTATAATACTATTATTGAATCCTAATACGAACATTGCATTTGGCATTTGATTAGAAATTATTATAATTTAACTTTATGAATTTTTACTTATATTAACCTTTTTTTCTAATTATGTTGAAATAATTTTTGTAATTGACTTATTAAAGTATTCCCTCAAATTGAGTTTGTTTTTTAAGAGAGAGGTGACTGTAAAGAATAATTATAAAGAAGGCATGTTATTTACAGCTGGCTCTTACTCATCCTTCATACAGAGAGAATTTTGGGACCAATCCTGATCATGCGAGAAACTCACTGACAAACTGTGGATTACGGCAACCTCAGTATGGAGACAGAAGAATACACTACATGAATACACGAAAAAGGGGTGGGTTACTCCTGTGTCTATCAATATTTTTGATTATATGCTATTTGAAATCATGCAATTACTAACTTTACCAAAAATCTAGATTTTTATTATTGCATAATTTTTTTTTAAAAAAAAGTTTGCATGAATATTGTATTTGACAGTTATAAAAAAATAATGATAAAGGAGAAAATCTGTAATAGTTTTCTTTATAGTTATTAAAGATTAGCATACCAACACTTCATATATACCTATTTCCACCATAGCTGGTCAAATGACTGTGCTTTATGTTTCTTGATTCAATGCATGAAATATGGATGTTAGGAAGGAAATAAACTAAAAGAACTTTATTGTAATTGAACAAAATTGTATATTCCCAATTTTTATGTATTACAAACACAAAGAATAAGAATTTTTAATTCAATGCTCAACTCATTTTGTACTTATAAAGGGTATTTCCATTGTATATTTTCCACAAACATATTTCTTCTACTTATTCTTATTTCTATAATTCTTATGATTATAAGAGTATATAAGAATTATAATTCTCATAATTATAAGAATATATAAGGATTATACTTCTTATAATTATTTCTTCTAAGAAGTTGTGCTGTCTTGATTGTTTCAACATTTTTCTGGGCAAAAACTAACAGTTAGTTGGAAATGAAGTAAAGCTATTGAATTAAAAGATAAGCTACATACAAAAAGATTTTTCTTGTCACTTTTTCTGACACAAAAAATGCCAATCTAAAATTTTAGCTACCTTCTTGAAATTTGAATTCACACTTATTCTGCTTGAACCCATTATGCAACAGTCTTAGCAGAAATGTGCAACTCATAGAATACAATACGTTGAACACACATGACATTGTAATTTCTGATCCAATAACCTTATAACGCAATAAATTTTTCTCCCGGTCAAATGACCGGTTGTGGTAGAAATAGGTATACGACAAGTATTATTCGAAACAAACAAAATTTTTTTAAAAAAATTATAATAATGGAATATTAACTATATCTAATTGTTAGAAAAAGTCATGAAGTCAAATGTGCAAAAATGATAAGATAAGTACGTTTTCAATGCAAAAGTTCTTAAACGATCATTTGACTTGTTATGGTATGTTTAGCGTTAAAGACAAACAATAACAACCAAAAATTATTCAATTTCAGTCCCTTTAATGTTCACTATGGTGGGGTTTGACTGTAAATGAAATATTTGTTAAAATAATTAGGTATCAGAACTTTAAACAACAGAATGTTTCAGTTAACCGAATAAAAATATATTAATTTTGATGATATTGTTTTTTATTTAAATCTATACGTATAATCAATTATTTTGTAATAAATTTAATAGCTAATTTTTTATTTTAAGGTATCAACACTTTAATTAACATAATGTCAAGGTTTGGTTGTCAGAAAGAATCTGCATCTTCAATCAATCACAATGAAAGACTCGAGTTCCTGGGAGATGCAGTTGTAGAGTTTTTATCGAGTATACACCTCTTCTACATGTTTCCTGAACTTGAAGAGGGTGGTCTTGCTACTTACCGAGCTGCAATAGTACAAAATCAACACCTGGCAGTCTTGGCCAAAGTATGATATCAATTTGTGTCTCTTTTATGGTTATTATATTTTACAATCTCTCCTTGTATATCCAGGGTATCTGCCTACCTGATCATGGATTCGGAAGTCATGGATTTCGGTTTTAAACAAAATTTGTCATGGAATGTCATGATTTTAACTATTTTTTTTTTTTTTTTTTAAAAATCATGAAAAGTCATGGGTTTAGGTTTTGCCAAAAAATCTAATTTTTGAAGTGGAATTCTCCCTCTCCCAATTTCACAGAAGTTCCAACCATCTAAATTTGTAGCCCCAGTTATAGTCATATTCTATTAAAATATAAAATGTTCTTTAAAAATTATGGTGTTCTTTCAAAGATTGAAAGAAGGAACATTTCTGTAGTGAATTATCTTTTAAACTTCCTTCATTTCAAAATCTTTTTACTATTCATTTTTTTTCCATCAATTTAAAATTCTAGATTAGGGCAATTCCATGAAAAAGGGGAAAAGCATCGTATAATTCAAATAAGAATAATGTTATTATTTTGGATTTTTTTCTGAATTAGAAAGGTTTGAAGTTTGATAATTTATAATTTTTTTTTTTTTTGAGAATTCAGTTTTTTACTGTTGGTAGCCCATTGAACACTGGCATGTGCTTGTTCTGATTTGGGTGAAGAACATGGCAGGGCTGATTGTGCTCCGGAAAAAATCCGGATTTCCGGATTTTTCGCTAACAGTGATCCGGAAGTTTCCGGAGATCGAAGGTCCAGACGTTTCAAAAAATCATTGATCACAGAAGTTTCCGGAAATTAAATTTTCAAAGGTGGAACTTAAAAACACAGTTTATTTTGTTTGTAAGGGAGAGCCAGATACATTTTTTATCAGTAANGTAAAAAAAAACATGTGATACAAAAGTAAGAATATTATTTTTTCTTTCTTAGAGGCTAGCACTAAATAAGTAGCAATAGTTTTCCTTTTAAATATTATTTATTTATTGTTTTGTGCACTATTCAATATATGTAACGTAAGTTACTGACTTGCATGTAATATAAGTTACCAATGTGAAATGAGTTCATTTCTTTTGAAAATTGGCATATAAACTAAATAAGATGTATCCAGTAACAATAACAAAGTTTAAATAAATAAACACTGTCTTAGGATATTAATTTTATTGAAAATCTTTGCATTAAGTCATTTTATTGGGTGTTGGCATTCATATGTTTTCAAAGTTGGACGAAATCTCTCTACAAGCTAATGGTGGCAAGAAGAAAGTACAAGCACGTTATCTTCTTCATTCAGTTCGAGAAATGTACCAAATGTTTATGGAAAAAAAATCCAGAATGCAAAATTGGAAAACTAAGTCTTTTGAGCTCCGTCCAAAGCATATCTTGCTTAGTAACAAACCTCCTAGAAATGTTTGTCTTTGTAAATATCATGAAAACTTCGGATAAGCTACTGAAGCCTTCAGAAAATTCCATAATGTTCCATCTTATGCAATTCTTCAGAAAATTACTTTTATGTTCAGAAAAAATAGATGAGTGCTGGTCTGGAGAATGTGTGCCGGTGCATATCAAAAATGTTCACATCTGGTCAGATGGGCCAAGGAGTCAGTTCAAGAATCGATATATAACTCCGGTCTTACCTGTTTTTGAGATTCATCATGGAAAAATATTGATGTGAAATTATTTTGCCATGTCACACGGCAAGAGTCCTGTTGATGGGACAGGTGGATCTATTAAAGGAAGTGTAAGAAATGTATTGAAAAGAAAACATATTGTCATCAATGCTTCTGAGTTTGGGGCAGCAACACAAGAGCATTGAACAAAAATAAATATGGTAGAAATCACACCAGAAGATATTAAGAAGCGTCAGTAGATGTTAATCTGTCTAATCTTTTCTCAAAAGCTCCGCAGATTAAAAACATTAAGCAGATCCACCATTTAAAAGTTCAAGAAGGTATACCAGAAGGGTTTCTTAAGTGAAAGGTGTTGAAAAACAAAATGATGAATCCAAAATAAAAGCTGGAGATTGGTATATGGTTAGATACGAGGAAATGTTATATCCTAGTGTGGTAATGTCTGTTGAAGAGCAAGAATTTAAAGTCAATGTAATGGCTGCTGTGGGAATCTATTGGAAATGACCAAGAAAAAGAAATGAAATATTCTACCAGAAAGAAAGCATGGTGAAAAGAATTGAGCTCCTATACTAGTTAATAACATAGGACATTATAAATGTGCATAGTAATGTCTGAATCAAGTGTGTTAATCAAAAGTTTTTTGAGTTTACTTCATGTACACTTTTTCTCCCTTGCACTATACTGTTTAAATGTGTTAATTTGCATTTGTACATTATTGGTGTAAAAGTTTGATGCAAAGGGAATTTCGTAACGTAAGTTACCCATTTAAAAAATTATATTTAATTTAACTTTTGAAATAAAATCTTAACTCTAGGCATAATAAATATTTAAGCATGTCAGCAAAATGATACATATAATCTTAATCAATTAACATTTGCATAAGAACAGAATTTTGCCTTCAAGCATATTGCAAATTTATGCCATTCCTTTTTCAGTAACGTAAGTTACCACACTAGTTTTGGGTTTTTACACTGCTTAAATTGAAAAATATTAATTATTCTAATTAGGTTCCTTTTGGTTTTGATTGTAATTTTAAGAAATCACTTTATTTTAGATTGTGCATTAGTATTATTTGTTTGCTTCTAAGTTCTCAGTGCAATAAAGTTTCTGTGAATGTAACGTAAGTTACCATGGAATAGCCCTTTAGGCTTTTTATATTACAATTACTTTAAAGAAGAAATTTAAAATCGATAAATATGAAGATGCACAGTATAACAGTTTTAGTTATACCTATCATTCATTATTCTAATGCTTTTTTAAATTTATTGTTGTGTTTTTGTGAAGAAAATAGTAACTTAGTCATAGTAGGTAAGTCATTAAAAATTCTTGGAATTATTCATTAGAAAATCATGGATTTGAAAATCTAAAATGTAGCAGATACCCTGTATATCCTACATTTATCACTAAGTTAGGATACAGCATGATACTTTAAAGCTAAGCTCTCAAAATTTTGAATGAGTGGGGTTCTATACACAACAACAAATGAATTTTTCTAATTATAAAATGATTAAGATTTTTTTCAGCTGATATTTTTACCAGTTTTAACTGCCGCAAGTGACAATATTTATTTAGGGAAATAAAATGCAAAATTTTACTATTTGATTTTATAAACCTTTTTTATCACACATTGAATTTTTATCACATCGCTGTTTCAATGGTTTATTTTGGTTGCAGTGAGTACTCTATTGGTTCAGGAGGTATTTTATAGATTTATACATGTTGAAAAATGCCCTTGAAATGTGTTGATAGTGAACTGACACAACATTATAATAGTTTGTTCATTGGTTGAAGGGAAACTATTAGCTTCATTTTTTTAAAGCAATTAATACTGCTGTGGCCAGTTTGTTTATGAAAAAATATGACCCATTTGATTTTTGATGTCATTTATTGAATGATTTCACATAATTGTAGATTGTAAATCTTACCACATGCACTGAGTGATTGATTTAAAATATATTTATTTTTAAATTTTTATCTCTGAAATGCAGAAATTACATCATGTGCAAACTGCTTCAATCTTGGTTTTGAAAGTAAAATTTCAAAGTAACACCAAGGATTCATAATGACAGCTGAAAATGTTACAACTTTCTAACTTAACGTTATTTGTTAAAAATCTATCGTCTTGTGTCAAACCTTTTTATGCAAGCCAGCTTTTCTGTTTTAATTTTTTAGATATTACTTTTTTTTATTCCTATGGAGCTCTTGTTGCTATGCATTCTGTGTGTGACTGTCCGTAAATTTTATTTAGTGCTGTTCTTCCATAGAATTCTTTGTTAAAAAAATTAGACGTTATTTGTTTAAAATCTATCGTCTTGTGTCAAACCTTTTTATGCGAGTCAGCTTTTCTGTTTTAATTTTTTAGCTATTACTTTTTTTTTATTCGTATGGAGCTCTTGTTGCTATGCATTCTGTGTGTGACTGTTCGTAAATTTTATTTAGTGCTGTTCTTCCATAGAATTCTTTGAAGCTTGGTTTGCAAAGGATTAATCTCAATCATTTGTTTTATATCTGATGTCCATATTTTCTACATCTAGTTAGGATCTTCTTCGTTGCATTTAAAGAATGTCCACTGCGCGTTTTTCAGGGTTTCCGTGCTTCTTAAAAATTGCTTAATTTTTGTTTTGGAAAACATTGGCCCTTAAAAGTACTTCATTTTGGTACAAGGTTTTTAAAAGTGCTTAATTTTTCAGCATCACTGTACTTGATAGGAATGATTTTTCAGTTTTGCAAAAAAGTTTAAAGCGAAAAATTCTTTTTATGACCTAGAATGTGACCATGCCTCAAAAGTAGAGCATTTTTGAGAGACTAGAAAGTATGTGTGTGAGGGGGCAAGGGGAAGAAGAAGTCTTTTCATTAATATATTCTTCCTTTTGCCCAGGGTTAAAGAGAATAGAAGGGCTAGTTCACTCCGCTCTTAGAACTGAAGCTACGATTTCCCTCCTCATGACGTCACTGTGTCCACAGATCTCGGAGATCGCAAGCAAAGATATGATAACTTTGCATCTTTCTCTTTGTAAAAATAAGTTAGACTTTTTCTGGTTATTAGCCTTCAAACTTTACGTAATTAACACATTATTTCCGTTCATAAACATAGTTCAAAAAAAACTTTCTTGGTTATTATATTAAAAAAATACCATTTTAAACTTATAAAAATGTTTTGCTAGTTGGTGAAAATGACACGATAAATACTTTATTTTAAAAAGTTCAGTTTTAACTTTAACTATTAAGAAAAATGAAGGCATATATCGACACTTTTTTTATCTACATATTCTTTTATAAAGATAAGTTAAGTTAAATTTAGAATCCCTGATTTTAAAATATGTCGTTAATAGCAATTTGTTCATACTTAATCATTAGGAAACATCAACCTTAAACGCTAATTACTGAAACAAAATAATAATTTAGGTTCATAATGACATTAGAAATTTTACAATTGTTTATAGACATTTAAATTTACGATGATATAATTTATAGATATTTAAATTGAAGAGAATATAATTTTTAAAAAAAATCATAAATATTTAGAATAACTACATTAAAAAATATGTTATGAAATTAGGAGAATTTCAACTATATACTATATATTTTATTTATACTTTTTACTTACATTTTAATTTTCTTTGACTTTATCTATTTTTTAATTCTTTTCACCTGCCTTTCTTTATGAAGTAACGAGGCGGTTTCTATTTAGATAATGAATTTTTATAAAAGTTCTTTACGACAGAATAAACGTATTGCTGTTTTATATTAACTGTGTCATTTCGGAATCCATTCTTTACATAGTTGTTCATTTACTTTAGGGAACACATTTTTCCTTTTGTTTTCCTATCAAAATTTTTTCATGTTGCAATCACGCAAACTGGCATTTCGATAATAGTTTTAAATTTTTGTAAATTCTCTGCAAAAACTGAGGAAAGTCATTATAGAAAATAACAAATGTCTTAGAATATGTCGGAAAAAGAAATGCTCCAATATTAGTTAGAGCTAGTAAGGCCGAAAGCTCCGTTCTTGAAGTAAAAGTACGAGCTTTGCGCCAAAAGTGACATCACTAGAGAAAATCGGAGGATTGGCGCAGCGAGAGCTACTTCAAAGGAGTGACCAGCCCTTCTATTCTCTTTAGCCCTGCTTTTGCCTATGAAGAGAGAAAAACATTCTAAAAGAGTGTCTGCACATGAAAAAGATCTTAGCTTTTTTGGGGGAAGGGGACCAGTTCTAAGACGCCTAAGTAGAAGACCCACATTGACCTTCAAAATCGACAGAATTCAAGAAATTCAGTTGTACTGGTAATGCACAGACTTATAGGAGCAAAGTAAAGCCTTAAGATAAGAAGTATCAGGAAAAAAAATTTGAACTGGAATCCAGAGCAAAAAATCAGCAGATCGTTACATAAAAATTTAAATCTACTCAATTAAAATATTTTAATAATAATTTATTATTTTTCAACTAACATTGCAACTTAATATATTGTTTTTTTTTCTTCTTTTTTAAAAATTCAATTCGATTTTTGATTGCTTTAAAATTAGTTCATGTTTCTCATGAAATTGTTCAGTTCTATTATGTAAAGTTAATTCTTAATAACAGTTTCAGCTGGAAATAATATTTGTATAATTTTACTCAAAAATGTTCTTTACAAATCAATTGCATTCTGTTCTAACATTTAGAAAAATTGTTTTTTATTGAATTTTGCATACTAGCGAGCAGCAATCGATTTCGGAGACCTTCCGGTCCATTGAGGGAACTTTCTCAAAACTTCTTATTGTTAAAACTGATCCGTTAAAAATACTTTTTTGTTAAAACGGAATCAATGACATATTCATTATTTTTATACTAAAACTTCTTAAAAACACGTTATTTTTGTTTCCTTTTTTTTTTTCAAAAAAAGGTCTTCTTTTAAACATATCCACGTAAAAGGAGGCTGGCATAAAGAATACGATTTCACAGCAATTTTAGTGCCTGAAAATTGTGATTAGATTTTTCACGAATTTCCAGAAATGGACTTACGAAAAAATTGGAATAACCCTTGCATAAGTAGTTCTATGTTAATATTGTTCATCTGAATTATCCCTTTTCAAAATATGAAGTCTGTTATTCTCTGCGACGCATTTCTAAATTTTTCTTTAAAATTTTTATCAATATGCATTTTTGAAAAATAAGAAATTTCTATATACCATAGAACTTATATTTTTTTGTGTCACTCGAGTACTTCAATAGCCTCAACAAAATTAAAATCGTTCATTTATAAGGTATATTTAAACTCAAGCCTAAACAACCTGTTGCAATTTCCCTTTTTACTTCCATGAAATTCAAGCCGATGAGAAATTATCAGCAGTGTTTCATTTGCACACTCCTCTGCTGTAGGCTAAACTTCATTAGCAATTTTAAAATATATTTTTCATTTACATTAATCCTAGGGGGTAAAAAAAATTTTTTTCAGACTGTTTCATCAGGTTTCTGTAAAAGACTAATTAAATTTATAGATTGAATGTCATTGTTGGAATTGCTATTGTATTTGTATACCTATGCAGATTCATCTATCAAATTTAAGTCTATTTTTAAGTATAATTTCTCTGTCAATCTGTTTCATTCCAGAAACTTCAGTTAGAAAAATATATGCTTTATGCTCATGGTTCTGACTTATGCCATGATTTGGAACTTCGGCATGCTATGGCTAATTGCTTTGAAGCTTTAATGGGTAATGCTATATGTTTTTTAAAATATGGAAATGGTTTTAAAAATTTATTATTGTTCTTGCATAAAAATGATTTATTTCAAATTTTTAAAGGTATTTAACTCTATTTAGGAGCTTTGTTTCTCGACAACGGTATTGAAGTAGCAGATAGAGTTTTTTCAGAAACACTATTTCCTGAACCTGAATTACAGGATGTCTGGAAAAATTATCCTCTTCATCCTCTGCAGGTATTCTTTTAATTTTTGTCAAAAACATTTATTAGGCTTACTGTGGTTGGCAAATCAAACAATCATGAAATTTGATGTTGTTAGAAGAAAATCAAGGCATTTTTAGTCCACTTCAAAAACCTTCCAACAAACCTTTAAAAAAAAAAAAAAAAAATTTGCTTTCCCAAGTCTTCAGTTGCATGAATTACATACCTTCCAAGTTTCCTGTTTTTTAACGAAGACTCCTGTATTTCACGATTATCTCCTATTAACCTGTATATTCTCAAATTTCTCTGTATTTGTGGAAGATATTTTTTTAAAAAAATTATGATAAAATAACCATTGATGGCAAAAATGCTTCTCTTACTCCTCAACAGACGGTGCTAATGCTAGCACTGCACTATGTTGAGTGTTAATTGTTTAACTCGAGCCGTGATGACTCGGGGGGGGGGGGGAGAGCGTTCACCTTCCAATGAGGTAAACCCAAGTTCTAATCTCAGCGATGACTGGTCGATACGCATTCCGCATCCGGCTTGCACCGACCACAATGCTGCCGTGAAATATCCTCAGTGTAGACGGATCACGGGTTAGTCCCTTATCGTCAGGCTAACCGTGGGTGGTTTTCCTCTCCATGTGACTCAAATGCCATTAAAAAGTCCTCCACAAAGGCAAATCTCTCCTAATACTTGATCCTGGAGTTCCATTGTCCTCCGGATTGGGTTCAAAATTACAAGGCTGCGAAGTTGAACATCAGTAGATGTAAACCTGAAATTGAGTTGGTCAGTAAAATCTCCGTTATTTTGTTTCACCAATATTGGCAGGTATGGAATTAACTTTAATTTTTTCTCTCGATTTATCACATTTCTGAAGAATTTAATACATTTTTATAAAACAACAAAATGCCTGTGGAAATTATGTTTTAGGAACTCTTTAATTAAAACAAAAATGATGTATGGAATTTTAAAACATTAAAGTAAAAATTGTAGAGAGCTGGAAAGGAGAGTGGAGAATAAACAGAATGAGATCTTTTGTCATGAGCTGTTACGAAATTCCTTTTTTTTTTAAAAAAAAAAAGTCCATACTAGTATTACCAAATACTTTTTTTTCATGTTTAAAATGTCTTTATGTCAGGAAATAAAAATTACTTATTCGATTTCTTTTTCCTCAAAAAATTTCATTAATAAGTTAATCTTGGTGTTTTCTTATAAAATAAACAGAGTATTTTTATATAGCTTAATTGAAATGAAAAGTTTACATGCTCTAATTACTGTTCCAAAAATTTAGAAGTAAGTAATTTCATTTTAATTTCCTTTAAGGAACAAGAGCCTGAAGGGGATAGAAAATGGATATCTTCTGTGCCTCTTTTGCAGGTAAACTTAAAAATATTTTCGTATAAAAGGCTTTTATTTCATTCTATATCGTATTTTACAAAGTGTACAGGGTATCCGCTCACCTGGAAAGTCAAGAAAAATCATGTTCTCATCAATCAGCAATCACCCTCCCTCTAATTTCATGGTGTTTCAAATATCTGAATTTGTAACAGAATCCCCACTCACAGTCATGTTTTATGAAAAAAAATGTTTTTATCATGTTCTTTAAAAATGCTGGTGTTCTTTCAAAAAATAAAAAGGAAAAACATAATTTCTAAAGCGATTTATCTTTTAAAATTCTGTGATTTCAGAATTTTTCTTATTTATTTTTTTTATCAATTTAAAATTCTAATTGAAGCAAGTCAGTCATTGGTGAATATTTTTTATTCCCAAATGAGAACAGAAAAATCAGGAGCTCTTTCCTTTCCGATGAACAAGAAAAGTAACTTTAAATTATAATTCTGCAAAAAAAAAATATATTTTTTTGCTTTTGTATTTTTTTCAGCTATTTTATTGCTTTAACTCTTTCTTTACTCTGTTTCTTAAATTTATAATGTATAAATACGAAGATGCAGAGTATAACTGTTTTGGTTATACTATCATTTCAATTCATGTTATTATAATGCTTTTTAAATTTATTGTTCTGTTTTTCTCGGGAGAAAATAGTAACTTCATTAAGTCATGAAAAGTTCTTGGAATTAGTCATGGAAAGTCATGAATTTGAAAATCTGAAATGTAGCAGATACGTTGGGTGTACCATAACCGCCTCTTGTAATAATAAAGGAAGACAAAAAAGTATGCAGATTACGGATCCCAAATTAATATTTAAGTGAAGAAAAAAAAACATAAAATCTAACTATTTATAATCAAGGAATGGAATATTAAAGTCCTTCAAAACTATTTAACTACCCAAAGAAATTAATAGTGAGTGAAAGAACATTATTGGAGTAACCATTAAATTTCATCAGGCAATCAAATTGGTTTTAGATCACCTCTCTCAATAGCAATTTCTTTGATTTTAACATTTTTTTCCTTGGTTAAAATATTGAGATTCTTTACGTCCATATTTATTCTATTTAATTTTTGATAAGTATTCTAAACATAAATTGTGGAATATTCTATTTAATACAGCTGTTGTTCATATAATGAAATATAATGTTTTCAAATAATTTTTTTTAGCTACACACAGTAGTTTTGTTTGATATAAAATATTAAAGTGTTTCTCAAACAACTACAGTATTTCTTGAATAATGTTTGTGTATTAACTGTGATACCTAAACTGTTTTTTATTTTCTTTATGAAATTGTAATTATAATAATGCCTAAATATATTATTTACATTAATATCTTTGTTATAGAACGATAATTTGGTTCCTCTTTAAGTTTTGAGTTACATTCTTTTGTAGAAACTACATGAATTTGAAGATAAAATAGGAATTGAATTCACCCACATTCGACTTCTCGCAAGAGCTTTAACTCACAGAAGCCTGGGTTACAACAATCTTACATTGTAAGTTTTGATAAATCATGTATTTAATGTGTTACTTCAATAACTGAATGATAATTATATCTTAATTGTCTAACAATAGGGGCTCAAACCAGAGACTTGAGTTTCTTGGGGACACTGTGTTACAACTTGTTGCATCAGAATATTTGTACAAGTTTTTTCCTCATCATCATGAGGGTCACCTATCTGTAAGAAATTTCTTTTCATCATTAAAATGTACACAAATTGGAGTGATTTAAATGCTATTCACTATTAAAGTATTTCCCTGATCCCCTAATATTAGAGCTCTTTTCCTTTAAAAAAAATGAATTTTGTTTAATTTGTTTTTATTTATTTGGTTTTCAGCTTCTGAGGAGTTCTCTGGTCAATAACCGTACACAAGCTGTTGTTTGTATTGATCTAGGTATGGTGGAGTATGCTATCTATCCTTACAACAAACTTGAATTGAAGCCAAAAGATAAAGCTGATTTGCTGGAAGGTACTTCTTCATTCTATGCATTCAATGATTAGACGCACTTCTTAATTATCGGCAAATATTTTTTTTATTATTGTCCTCACATGGTGCGTAGCATTTTTAAAAAGTGCTTATTTTTTATTCAATTTCCCTTTTCCAAAATGAGATATTTTTCTTTACCATGTAGATTTTCACGTGGTATTATGCTTTTCTCATTGTTCTATTGAACGTTTTTACAATTAATTCGACCACAATCTATTTCAGCGTACTGTCGGTCCATAGCGTACGAAAGAGCCAATCATTTTACATGTTCGATGAAATACTTGTGAGTTCGCATGTGCGTCTACTGACCTGAGTTCAGTGAAATTCTTGTACTCTCATGCGCAACTCTGATGCATTTTGCAAGATATTCTCAATTTTAGGCTTTTTTTCCTACCCTTTGATGTTGAATCGAAAAATTTCTTGATCATTTTATAATGGCTAATATCATCAAGAAAATAATTCTTTGACAGAAACTAATATATTATGATGGATCATGCAAAGTCTTTGAAAATTATTTTTCATTTTGTTAATGTATATAGTGCTTAAAAATATTTTTTTAGTTCTTAAAAGGTGCCTATTTTTGTTGAAAGGTTTGACTACGCACCCTGTCTCATTATCTGTTTTTTTAACACAAATAAAACATCATAGTTGGGGAAAGAATATTTATTCATGAAAAATTTGAAATGAATGCAATTTATATTTTAGCACGTTTAGCTGAGCTTCAATTTCATGCAAGATTGTCCCATGCATTTCATAAAATCTTTTCTATGAGGCCAGGCAGTTGGATTACCATCCAACAGACTCTCACTGATCTGTGGAATTCCTCACTCAACTTTTCAGAGCTTTATTCTGCATGCATTCTTTATTTCATAGAAAATGCATCATTTGTGATCAGAGATGATTGTGCTACGGATTTTTCTGGAAATCCAAGATCTAGAAGTTTTTAGAAATCATCGATCACATTTATTATAAAAACTCTTGTGTATTTTATTTAAAAATATTAGAGCTAGAATTTATGCTCTTTCATTCGTAAATATTTTTTCTGGTAGAATAATGAACGTTATTAAAAATAAAAGTGAACTTATACATAATTATTCCTTCAAATCATGCTGCTTATAATTTATTTTGAATTTCATGTTTTGAAAATATCAATGACTTAAATTTATAAAGACATTAATTTTTTGAAATGCGTCATTAATGATTTTACCCAAGAAATTTTCAGGATTTTTGAGTTGGGCTCACAGTCAGCCCTGTTCAGAAACCTTCAATCTTCGTTATATTTCGCGGTTTGAAAATATTTTAGCGTTCACGAGGGCCTTTTTGTCATGGTGAAAGATTGCCTTTTTTATCTATCATGAAAATTTTCCAATTGACTATTTAAACACTGCACACAAAATAAGCAAATAACTGCGTAGTATTAAACTGCGAAGCAAATAAACATAGTACATAAAGCCACAGAAACGCATCCTCAACTAAGACATGCGAGAACGCGACTGAAACCGGTTTGCACTTATTTACGTTCGTGCATCAATGGGTTAACATTGTGATGAAATGCGTTGGAAATAAATACAAAGAAGAAGTATATAAAAAAAAATCTCCTGAATATAAACCCATTACATGTATGTTTAAATATAAAAGTATTACCTATAAAATAGTGCAAAACATGTCATTATTAAAACACTACAGTGCGTTTAATAATGTGTGTGCATGCTTATATTGTGTATCACAAAGTCAGATTTTTTTTGCAAGAGAGAAATATTTCTGCTGTACTGCAATGAATTTAATGACTCATTCAATCATTTGGTTATTGTTTAATTATTCCTAAGTGCAATAGTAATTTAAATATAACAAATTAACTATTCAAATAAGTTTCAATTGGCATAATGTAATTATTACAACCTATTCTTTCTTCCTTACAACTTTATGGAATCTCAGTATTTTTATTTAGCACCAGTGAAACTGCAGTATATCCTAAGTAATACTTGGTGCATAGCGTTTTTAAAAAGTGCTTAAAGGTACTTATTTTTGATTTTTGTTATTTAATAACCCTTAAAGGGGCTTTTATCATGGGATGTTTTTAAAAAAACGCTTAATTTTTCCGTTTCGGATAATTTTTGGAGATTTTTTCTTTACTATGTTGATTTTCGGTACGTATTGTGCAAAAGAGAGCTTTTCACATTGTTCTATTCAAAGTTTTTACAATTCATTTTGGCTTATTGTCTTTTCTTAGCATATGAAAGCGCCAATCATTTTACATGTTTGATTAAATGCTTGCGAGTACGTATGTGCGTCTACTGTGCTGGGTTCAGTTAGATTATTGCCTTCTCATAAGCAACTTTACTGCATCTTGATAAATATTCTCAATTTCAGACTTCATTTTCCACCCTCTGATATCAAACCAAAAAATATTTTTATCATTTTATAATGGCTGTTATAATCAAGAAAAAGAGTTCTTTGTCAGGAACTAGTTATTTTCTCATGATCATCTAAAGTCTTTGAAAATTAGTTTGCATTTTGTTAATGTATAATAGTGCTTAAAAATATTTTTTGAGTGCTTAAAAGGAGCTTATTTTTTGTTGAAAGATTTAGCTATGCACCCTGTAATAAGAAGTAAACTGTTTCAACTAAATTAATATGATTGTTAAATAGCTTCATAAATTAAGAATTACTGTGACTGTGCTTTACATTAATCCACAAAGATTTAATAGAAATTTATTATAATTTTTTTTTCATTAGAATATGGTTTTATTTTACCTGCACTTCCTGACACCTTAGCGTAATTAAATTTATTTTTAACCGCTTTCCTGGTTATCCCGAGTTAACTCGGCTTCTATAATTCTCGGCTATTTATAATTCGGAGAAAACTCGGGCATAGTAGAATTTGTCAGTATGTTTTGTTTGATCACGTTTTTACTCGTCTGGAAGCAAAAAAATAATAATAATAAATAAATAAATAATCTGCTGTGATTGGAAGTTTTTCTGTTGGATTGTGTGACTACGCGCATGTTTTGTGCTATTGTATATACGATGGTTGCTGGAAAAAAAGGCATTAAAGAAGGGTAAAAAAAATGGCGTATCACTTCACTGAAATTTTGAAAATATCACTTTGTGTTGTCCCTTGTTTTAAAAACTATCATAGAAAGATTAATATTTAACTTTTTTCATTTGCCAGAGTTAGTAAACTAATGGTAAATTAAATGTTTCTTACACATAAAAGAATTTCAACTTATAACTTGTGCATTATGTTTTGTTTTAGTTCCTTGTATTTATTAATGAAATAAAAAAAAAATATTGATTTTTTGCATTTTTCTTTTCCATAAAAATTGGTAAGGGAGGCAGTTAAAAAGTTTCAATTTGGAGATACGAAGTCATAAACTGACACTACTAAAGAATTTCAAATTTATGTTTTGTTTCCATCGAATTAAGCTGTATAAAAAATACTGTGTCTTGTTAATAAAATATAATTTAGATATAAACTAAGAATAAAGTCATCTAAACATTTTAGAAAAATGGACATTAAATTTTGTTAACGTATGAAGAATCCTTGTCAATCTCAATTCAGGGATTTTTAAGTCACAGCTTGTCAACCAAACAGTCATAATTTAAACCCATGTTGGAAATTTTATGAGTTTTGAGTTTCCAATAAACGACTCTGAATTAATTTCTTAATGTGAAATTGATTCCCTAAAATAGGACTGAAAATACCTGGCTGGTTAGACGTCATTGAATAAAGGTAGTTCGATCATGCAATTAAGAAGTCACAATATTGTAATCAATAATAAGTCGTGGGGAGAAAAAAAATTTTTAAGCTATACATTTTTTTACATGCCCAGAAGAAGAATTCCCTTATTGTATCATTTTGTTTGCGATGACTTGTGCAAAAATCGTGTATAATAAAAAATTCAAACAAAAAATAATTTTTTAAAAGATTGAAGTGTCTTGAAGGGATGTTTGCTCCTGGTTAAAGGAGTGATCATTCTACCAAGTTATTCATGAAAGTTTTTATAATTTTTTTTTGTCCTGCAGAGGAATGTCTATAAGATGAGTCTCTACTGTAATTGTATTTGTATATTTTCTTTTACATAATTTACATTAATAATTCAAATTTTTTTTTTTAGCTTTCCTTGGAGCTTTATATGTAGATAAAGATTTGGGATATTGTAAAAAATTTTGCGAAGTTTGCTTCTTTCCTCGTCTTCAGGTAAGTCAGTCAACTGTTACACATGTTTCTTACCACTCTAGTTAAACTTAATATGTTTTCACTTTCAGCCTATATTCCAAAACTAGTTGCATTTGCTTACGGTTTTGTAATCTCATTTAATTAGATTCTGAATTACAAATGTGTTTTTGTAACTTATACTAATATTGATTAAATATAACTCATACCAATAATTTTGCAACTTGTACTAATATTGATTCACTTTTAAACAAGATTATTGCGAATAACATCTCTTTATTTATTTATATACTGCTATGATAATTACTTCCCATTTAAAAATAAAATTACTGTTTTAGTTCAAGCAGTTAGATAACAACTAATTGACAAATCTACAAATGAGTCAACTAAATATTACCCATGCATATTTGTGTTTGAAAAAAATATTCTTCATTTATAATTTTGAACAATATTGTGTATAAAGAAACTTTCCATCAACAAAAGTATGAAAATGTGATAATGATCCTACCATACAAGTTGTGTTCAATGTTTGGTTGAAATCTCTGAAACATGAGACAGAGTAGACAAAATATTGCCTTAAACAAATTACTGAGGTTTAAATATTGTGGTACACACAGGATAAATATCATAGAACAAAAATTACTGTGGTAAAGAAAAACGCCAAACATTTTCTATACACCAGTGTTTATCCTAGGTTCAAACCGGTAATAATTTAAAGATAACTGTACTGAATTATAGTTTAATTTCCTTTGCGTAAAAAAATTGTCTTTTAATATTATTGTAATGTTTTAGAATTACCTTTACCTCTTTGGATGAACAATTATCGATTTGATGCAATTACATCATTGATTTTTAGTTTAAGGACAGTTAAATTGAAAAAGGATTGGTTATTAGTTTCTGATTTGAAAGATTGTTTTGACTTTTTACAGAAATATGTTTTATATATATGTGAAAGGGTAGCAGTCATGGTGAGAGTTGTTGTTAGGCCACGCAGATAGGAGTTGGAAGGCAAAAAATATTTTATTAGCTTCACATAATATATTCAAGACATTTTCTATCAAAGGCGGAGCTCAAATTCGCACTCCAAAAGTGTGTGCTTAAGTTTTNCTTTCTGGTAGGGAAAATCTTGCAAAAAATCCGAAAAAGTCTCTATTCATGGAAAAGAGGGAAATCTTAGAAATTACTATTGGTTTATGAACTAGGTTGATTGATTCCCATGAAGCTTGAAAGGAAAAAAATGTCTTTATTTAAATTTATGCCTAATTGGGCCAAAAATAGATTTAGAAAGCAGAATGTGGATTTTAAAAGTGTGAGAAAGCACTTGAATAATTAATTAGTAATAAAATAGGAGTTATTTTATAACGAAGAAGCTAACATAAAAAGATTAATCGAAGATTTTTATGTTACATATATATATATGTTATTATTTGATAAACTGCATACGATTCTTTAATATTTAATTAAAAGATAGATATTTTGGAGTAATGTAGGCATTTTTTAAATATTTTTGTCATGATTTAAAATATGCATTTTATTTTGGAATTTATTTGACTTTTTTAATGAATTTTTTACCTTGAAATAAAAAGAAATTTTTACTAATTTGAAATAAAAATAAGTTTTTAATGTGAGATTTATATTGTAAAGCTTTAAAACCTTTTAGAGGTACTGTAACAAAATCCAGTTATATTGAAGAACAGTTTGTTTTATTAAAACACATTTATTTGACATCAACAAAGCAAGAATACTATGCGCTATCACTTTTGAATATTTTTTTAAATCTCACTTATTGTTGCTAATTTTCTCAAAACTGTAATAGTGAAAAAGTATAATTGTGTAATTGCAATTTTAAATTATTAATAATACACTGCTTTCAAAATATTAGAGGCATAGAAAATTTTTATTATCTAATAGCTGTTAATAATGAAATATATTTTTTTTAATTTTATGAACTGAATGACTTTTGAATTTAACAACATTCTCACACCTAAAAAATATGATAATTTGTTATTTTTTGTGATTATTCATAATATTTTTATTTTAAATTTAGTATATATTTTACTAGATTATAAATCGCTTCTGTTATTAGATTCTCTTTATTGAGTCACTAGAATTAGATTGTTTTTTCTTCATATTTGTAACTTATATTTTCAACTTTTCTTTTGTTTAATTGTATGAAAAGTGTTTGTTATAATCTTTGTAAATGTTTTTGTACCCTGTGTAAAAATTACCAAATAATCACATAGTCTTTTAACTTTAAAAAAAAAATCTGTTTAAAAAGCTTCAAAATTGTAAGCTATATATTTATTTTTACTAAGCTGTTTATTATTTATTTCAATATTGTAAATAAACTTTTTATTTTGCTTGATTATTTTCTATCCTACATAAATAGCTTTAACTGATATTATTATTATGTTCGTATTAATAAATTCATTCAGTGAATTTATTAATACGAACCCAAAGACATAAAGCAAAACTCATGTTTTACAATTTAACTAGCCTTAAACTAAAAACCAATAAAGCTATTATATCAAATCAATTATTTTCAGTACAATCCAGGCTATTTAAATTACCTCTTTTGTTATTCTGTGAAGCACTTGTCATTTCACTTTCTACCCTATTAGAACCTGTTTTGTCCAATGCTTTGAGGGTTAACATGGTGTGCAACGTTTTTACAAAAAGTGCTTAAAGGTGCTTATTTTTGATTTGGGTTTTTAAAAAGCCCTTTAAGATGCTTTTTCATCAGGTGTTTTTAAAATTTTCCCTCTTCGAAAATGAGTTGTTTTTTCTCTTGTCATTTTTTGCCACATATTATGCAAAAGCGTGCTTTTCGCACTGTTCTATTCTACCTTTTCATAATTCATTCAACCATAATCCATTTCAACATACCGTTAGTCCGTAGCGTATGAAAGCGACAGTCATTTTACAGGTTTGCTGAGCTGGGTTCGGTAAGACTATTGCACTCTCGCATGCAAGATATTCTCAGTTTCAAGCTTCATTTTCCACCCTCCAATAGCGAACCGAAAAACCTCTCGATCATTTCTTAATGGCTAATACGATCGAGAAGAGAGTTCTTTGTCGGATCGAGTTATTTTATCACGAACATGCAAAGTCTTTGAAAATTATTTTGCATTTTGTTAGTGCATAGAGTGCTTAAAAATATTTTTGAGTGCTTAGAAAGTACTTAAAAGGTGCTTATTTTTTGTTGAAAGATTTGGGTATGCACCCTGGTTTAACTTCCAAGTCTAAAAAATTTTATAATCAGCTATAAGAATCGACATTTATTTCTTTTTTAAAATATGTCTTTTTATTTTGTAGGATTTTATTATGAATCAAGATTGGAACGATCCAAAGTCTAAACTTCAACAGTGTTGTCTGACTTTGAGGTCAATGGATGGGGGTGAACCCGATATCCCGACATACAAGTGCGAAAACATCTTTGTTTTAAATAAAAATTTGTTAACAGAACTTTCCTTTTATGAATTTTTTGTTTTCTTTCCAGAGTGATTGAGTGTAAAGGTCCCACAAATACCAGAGTTTATTCAGTTGCTGTATACTTTCAAGGGAACCGTTTAGCTGTTGGAACTGGCCACAGGTATTTCTTTCTTCAGAGAGTGAATTCGTTTTATGAAAAAGTGTTGTTATTTAACTGTTTAAAACCATGTGTTGTTGTCAACATTAATTCAAAATTTTAATGCGATATTTAACTTGTATTCGTTGATATTTTCAAAACCTGAGTGAAATCAATTGACACTCGTAATAATATTGTATTTGGTAATTATTGCTGTTCTTATAATAGTGTGATTATTCATGTACATATTACACAGTCCAATCACATTAATGTGACCACCTGTCAAAAGCCAGAATAACCACCTTCAGCAGAGCGGACCTCTGCGAGACGTGCAGTAAAAGCCTCCTGGTAGCCCCTTAGTTCATCTGGGTGGTCAGTTACACATCTATTTACCGGAACACATCTACGTAGCCTTCGTTCGCCTCTGTCATCTATAGCCCGTGGTGCGCCCCATGTGCCACGCCACTGATTTTGCATAGTGCCATTTTGCCATGCACGGTATACTTTTAACACAGCGGCATGCGAACAGTTCACAAAAGTAGTCGTTTCCGAAATGCTTCCACCCCAAAAGCCAATAATCATGCCCTTTTGAATGTAGGATAAATAGCTATGTTTCTGCATTATGCCAACAATTGAAATGCTTTTCGATGCCCTAGGACATCCTTTATATGCACTCCACTATAATGTGCTGCCTGCATTCTGTAAATGGTTATTTCACGTTGGCGTCGAAAGTAGGTGGTGGTAACATTAATGTGACTGAACTGTGTATTATGTGAATTATCTAAATTAATGTGTAATACTAAGATTTTGATCCTATTGTGTATAATACCACTATTGTAACTTTTATTACTGATAATTATATTCTGATGATGTTAATAATTGTAATATTTGTACTTCAATGCGTGTATCACTGATACTCCCACATGCCTTCATTGTCTCTGTAACCGGCAATTCATTCTATGTTGTAGTAATAGAATCTTATTTTTCCTTGCAATCATTTCTATCTTAAACATGGTGCGTAGCATTTTTAAAAAGTGCTAATTTTTGATTTTATGTTTTTTAAAAGCCCTTAAAGGTGCTTTTTTCATTGGGTGTTTTTAAAAAGTGCTTAATATTTCCTTTTCGAAAAAAATCTTTTTTTCTTTACCATGTCAATTTTTGCCACATTTTATGCAAAAGCGTGCTTTTCACATTGTTCTATATTCATCGTTTTCACGATTCATTCCAGCACGATCATTTCGCCGTACCTTCAGTCCGTAGCATATGAAAATGCCAATCATTTTACAGGTTTGATGAAATACTTGCTGCTCTGCGTGTACGTACAGTAGAGAACCAATTAACCCGGATGCTCGGGACCATCGCTATCCCGGATGTCTGAATTCCCCGGTTTTCTGGATCGGCCAAAAGTGCCGTTAATCGATGTTTTATCAAACCCAAATTACAAGGAAAAAGTTAAACATATTTAAAAATAGGGGAAAAACGAAAAGATCTCCTAAATTAAAAAAAATGGTAGAAAAATAACATTTAACAGGATAAAAACATTTGCAAATTTAGACTAGAAAAACAAGCTTAAAAAATACAAAATTTGCATATTTATTTTTTGATAATAATTAAAATCCCCAAATTAACTAATATAAAACAAAACCAATAATTAAAAAACGCAATATATTTCATACTGGGGGGGATGAAAAGAAAACTTATTAATCTAAATAAAAACAACACTTGAAAATTATGGAATGGAAACGATATTTAAAAAAAGCACTAACATAACTATTAAAACCTCGAAGAGACAGGATAGTATAAGATAAACAGAATTTAAAAAAAAAAAAAAAAAACTTAATGATAAAATTTATGAATAAAAAGAATTAATTTATTGAGTACAAACAAGGCAGTGGAATCAGAAAAACAGAATCAAAATTTAAAAAAAAAAAACTACTATCTTCTTTATAAAATAATCACCTGCTTTTATTAACAAATAATTATATGCTTAAATTAATAAACAATCTTCTCCTTTTATNATATTTGTACTTCAATACGTGTATCACTGATACTCCCACATGCCTTCATTGTCTCTGTAACCAGCAATTCATTCTATGTTATAGTAATAGAATCTTATTTTTCCTTGCAATCATTTCTATCTTAAACATGCTGCGTAGCATTTTTAAAAAGTGCTTATTTTTGATTTTTGTTTTTTAAAAGCCCTTAAAGGTGCTTTTTTCATTGGGTGTTTTTAAAAAGTGCTTAATTTTTCCTTTTCGAAAAAAAATCTTTTTTTTCTTTACCATGTCAATTTTTGCCACATTTTATGCAAAAGTGTGCTTTTCACATTGTTCTATATTCATCGTTTTCACAATTCATTCAAGCACGATCATTTCGCCGTACCTTCGGTCCGTAGCATATGAAAATGCCAATCATTTTACAGGTTTGATGAAATACTTGCTGCTCTGCGTGTACGTATAGTAGAGAACGAATTAACCCTGATGCTCGGGACCATCGCTATCCCGGATGTCTGAATTTCCCGGTTTTCTGGATCGGCCAAAAGTGCCGTTAATCAATGTTTTATCAAACCCAAATTACAAGGAAAAAGTTAAACATATTTAAAAATAGGGGGAAAATGAAAAGATCTCCTAATTTAAAAAAAATGGTAGAAAAATAACATTTGAAAGGATAAAAACATTTGCAAATTTAGACAAGAAAAACAAGCTTAAAAAATACAAAATTTGCATATTTATTTTTGATAATAATTAAAATCCCCAAATTAACTAATATAAAACAAAACCAATAATTAAAAAACGCAATATATTTCATACCTAATTATACTGGGGGGGATGAAAAGAAAACTTATTAATCTAAATAAAAACAACACTTGAAAATTATGGAATGGAAACGATATTTTAAAAAAGCACTAACATAAGTATTAAAACCTCGAAGAGACAGGATAGTATAAGATAAACGGAATTTTAAAAAAAAAAAACTTAATGATAAAATTTATGAATAAAAAGAATTAATTTATTGAGTACAAATTTATCCTTAAAAAAAACAAGGCAGTGGAATCAAAATTTAAAAAAAAAAAATAAAATACTATCTTCTTTATAAAATAATCACCTGCTTTTATTAACAAATAATTATATGCTTAAATTAATAAACAATCGTCTCCTTTTATTTTATTTTTTTATAAAAAGACTATTTTTAAGGAAAGCAGATGTGATTGCACATCAAGAAAAACTTGCTAATGATATTGCATTTCTAAGAAATCAGAATTTATTCAACAAAAAAATATTGTTTTGTTAATTGATGTCAATTAAATGAATATAACTGGTGATTAAATAATGCATTATCGGAAATAATAAAACAAATTCACCATAATAAATAACAAAAGTGAGTAACTGAAATGGATGATTTAAAATAAATCTCACATTTCACCTTTAAAATCAATACTCTTAGCCAGATGTTTCAAGTTCCTTAACTCAAACATTCATTGCTATGCCTGTGCAATGCATTTTCCCCACCCCCTCCTAAATCAAAGAGAAAAGGAAATCAACTTGCCACTCCTTTAAGTTTGATTGATGGCAGCTCATCAGAAAAAGAAAATTAACACAGGAGAAAATAAAACATTTGTCCCTTCCCTGCCCCCTCTGGATCTAATGATCTTTAAGGTCAGAGAAAGAATCCTGTCAGTTCCTCTGGGCAAGTGAGGAGAAGAATTCCCCCTTTTCCCTCTACTCAACTTTAAGGATGAGTCAAATTTCTGTTGTTTTTTTTATTATCCTTATATACTTTAAAATAGCGGGAAAACCAAGCAAAATTCTTCCCGGTTATCTGGATACCGGATAAATGGTTCTCTACTGTATAATGAGCTGGGTTCGGTGAAATTATTGCAAGATATATTCTCCATTTCAAGCTTCATTTTCCACCCTCTGATAGCAAAGCAAAAAATTTCTTGATCAATATTTAATGGCTAGTATAATCAAGAAAAGAGTTCTTTGTCAAAAACTAGTTATTTTTTCATTATCATGTAAAGTCTTTGAAAATTATTTTGCATTTTGTAAAGGTATATAGTGCTTAAAAGATGCTTATTTTTTGTTGAAAGATTGGCTTTGCACCCTGTTAAATAAGTCTGGGTAGTGTTTGAAACACAAAATAATATCTTTCTCAGTCCTAATTTTAATTAGCACTTCTTTTTTTATAGATTGAACTTACAATCTTGCCTTAAAATTATCTGACTCTTTTTTTAAACAAAAACTATTTTTTAGTATTCAACAAGCTGAGATGGATGCTGCTGCAAACGCTCTGAGAAAATCAAAAGGTAAGCAAAATTTCAACTTCCTTTGACACCTATTCTATAGGTGAGTTATTTGTCTACATATTAATGTTCCTATTTATGAAAAAGAAGAAAACTTTTAGTATTAAATATATTTTTGGGCAATTTTATCCATAACAAGCCGTTTAGATATTCATATTTTTGTCACCTTCATGCTTATGTCACAATAACCCCCTTTGTTTCTTGCTTTAACTTTTATTTCAGTAATCTAAAATTACGATTAAATTTGAATAAAAGGTGTAACTTTGCACAAAATGAAATTTGCAGGGTTGCCGCAGGTGACTAAAATGCGATTTGCATTTATTTTTGACCTGAGACAACTATGGCAACTTTTTTTTGTATGAAAAGGTTAATAAAGCAACTATTTTCAGGAAAAGGAGACTATTGGGAGACTTTTCTGTGCTCCTAGCAATGTTTCTTTTAGCATACATTGGGTCGACAACCTGCCCCCCTCAGTAGCTTCTGAACGTAATGAATTTTTTTTTCTTAAAAAATACGAAAATATTGAATTGCAAATTTGAGTCATCACTTTTTAATGCACTCAATTTGCACAGATTCCATTGTGAATCTATTTTGTTTCTCAATCACCTTTTCAACACTTATTACTATGAAATTTTACATGATTTTAAAGATCCCAATTTTTAATACGATACTATGATGCATGAATTTTGAATTTTAGTAATCACTTTTCAATGTATATATATTTATTTATTTGCTAAATCAATTATTGATAAAAGGGAAAATTAATAGAAACAACGTTTTTTTTAACAAAAGATTATTTTTCTGAATTAATTCTAGCATTTAAAAGTATTTAACGTTCTGCAATTATACTAATTTTTTTACATAAAAATTTAATGCTACAACACTAACGTTTATTTAAAAAATTATCATATTGGCCATCAACTTGACTAAATGGAAAATGTTATATTACAATGAAATCATTTAATAAAATTTTAGTCATATTATTGAAAAATTTTTGTTCTTATTTAGGCAACTATTTTCATAATTTTAGGCGACTATTTTCATGCTTTAGGCTACTAGAAGCAACTCTTTTGTTCATTTTTTTTCTGTGGCAACCCTGAATTTGCATTAATTTTATAAATTTTTGAGTCGCAAATTTTCTGTAGGAAACTTTTGTATTTTTGTACAATGGTCAGAACTCTGCAATGAAATTTTTTGCATGTCTTTTTTCTCCGAAATTGTTTCCAATTGTAATTTTTATTTTTTTAAGAATTTTTTTGCATTTTTTAAATAGGGTATTTTAATGTCCTTCACATACCCTTCCTTCTCTATTGGCGGCAAAAGTAAGAAAATCACAAACTTGGATACTAAATATTTAAATAACTCCTATAAAAAATAATATGAAATATATATACTTGATTTACTGATTCAGTAAAGATCACTTCAGTGGCAGAAGCGCGGCGACATTGTCGCAGAACATTACAAAGTTCTTGCAGAAGGATTTTTCTTTTGAAAAGTTTTATAAAAAAATTTTTAAAAATATTTTTTTTTTCTAAAGAAATTTGAATTATGCATGTAGATAATTGCTTTTTTTTAACACTCACTTTAAGATGATAGTATTGTAAATCGATATAATGTTTCGATTGTATTTTGGGTAGTTATTGATATTGATTTTCACGTGGTTTTTAAAGATCCCGATATATTTCATACAATATGGAAAATTCGAATCCTGCATTTAAGTATTAACTTTATAAGGCAATGATTCTATCGATATTTTGGCTATTGCTCTCCATAGTTTTTGAATAAAAATTTTTTTTATTCGATGTTGTTTATTGCAACAACCTAATGTCGAAACGAAACACACATTTAAGTAACCCCTTTTCGAGGTGTTCGATATGCATGATTTCATCATCGATCTTTTTATTGGCAATTTCTACTACAGATTTCATTATTTTTTTATTCTGATGATTATTTGCGCCTTGAGAATAGTCACCTTTAAGAACCCCGTCAGCTGTTGAGGCAGCCAAGGCCTGCAAGGGGCTGTTGCGCTGACAAAGAAGAAGATGACTATTTACACAATGAGAAGAAGGAAGTAATGTGTGAGTCCCTCCCACAAAAAACGAAAATATCACCCATAATATTAGAATAAAAAATTATTACATGTTCAATTAAAAATTATAATAGTTTTTTGGTTGTAAACACACCGCTTTTGTTATTTTAAATTAGTATCATATATGTTTGTTGTTATTAAAAGTATTTAGCAGAGAGTTATTAGTGATAGAGAGTTTTGTCCCAGATAGCTCAAAAAAATTTTGCCGCAGGGACTATGTGTATGGTTTATTACTTACTTTATGATACATAATTTTCAATTTTTTGCAGATCTTTTCCCCCAACTGCGGCATCAAAAGAGAGCAATAGAAAGAAGTTTGAAGCATGGACGACGTCCCACGAAATGCAGAAAAAAATAATTGTCGACTTTTATTCTTATAATAAAAACTTGATATCAACTTGACCATGAAAACTAGATGACAAAAATTTTATCGCTGCTCAACATTTATGAAATTTTAATTACTGTTCACAGTGACTTAACGAAACATTCTGTACTTTTCGACAAAATCCTATTTAATAAGTTTGGTATTTGAGAAATCTTGGTTTTATAATATCTGAAGTGAACAGAAGTAACAGAGCCTTAAGGTTCAAAATTTCTAATTTAATTGTTTTATAGAATATTGTAACTCTGTTCCAGACTAGATTTGTTTCCTCTCTTAATCAAGAATTCTTTTTGAGTTTTCTCCTCTTATTGTTTAATGGAGTCAAGTTTATAATAATTTAAGCATTTTCCTCGACATAACAAATTGGGTCCCCACAGGTTTTTAGCAGAATAAATATTACAAGACATGTCACATGGGCAAAATTTATTAGAAGCTTTTCGACTAAAACTATTTAATTTTCCCATGTTTCAAAATGTAGCATTCAAAAGTTGCTTGTTTTTAAGATTTATGTTATTGACTTTCAAAACAATCTTGCAATATATCACAACAGTGTCTCACAAATGAATTTGCAAAGGTGGCCACAACAGATAAACTTGTCGACTACTTCAGAAGCTTGTCGAGTTCATATTGTATAGTTGTCATAATTCCCTTTCTAAGTTTTCAAGACATAACTAGAAAGTGTTTTTGTTGCCATTTGTTCTTGTTATGTTGTCGCATAATGTTCTTTTGTTGTAAATATTTGTTTTAATTGATTGTTTTTTAAATAAAGAAATAACTGTGCAAATGAAGCACCATTATTGAATGAGGTCTGATATCTATTGTATAAATTGAACATAAAAGTCCATCTTATGATTTAGTAAAATCTCTCAAGTGAATGTCTTAAGTTGTAAATGCACTTTATTTCAATAAGTTAATATAAAATAGGTGGATTGTATTAATTAAATTGTGTCAAAAGACTCATTAGGTTCATAAATTAATACTTATAAACATGTAATAATTAAAACAAAAAAATAGACAATTAAAAATAATGATTTACTCTCTCATCATAAATGTTTAAATGTTCATAAATAATTACTTACAAATATACAATTATTAAATAATTTAGACTGTAAATCAATCTTAATTGTTGTTGTTTTGTTTTTTTTTAATTTTGCCACCAACCTGGATTGAATGTATATTTGCAATATAAGTTTTTCTTTTGGGTTGAAAAAAATCATTTGCCAATACGTAATGAAATAGCCTCCAAAAGATTCTTTTAAGAGCCTGTTCATGGGCCCTCAATTAGAAATCTTTAAAAACAATATTTCAGACAAATAAAATTTTTGGGATTCCTTAAAGTTGAAAAAAATATATAATCTTTTTGTGAGTATTTTGCTCATTCAAGATGTTTGATACTGTGTAATTTAATTTTGTACCTTTCAAGAATTGGATCTGTATAAAAATTAAAACTGTATACGTCGTGTGCACTATAATGCACATGATGTGTACTGTATTTATGTTTAAAATGTTATGAATTTTATTTTTCTTTAGTTTTCTAAAACACTTAAAAAATACTGGCTTATGGATAGAAAATTGATTTTTATGGTTAAACTTAAAGCTAATATTTTTCAAAGAAAAATTAAAATATTTTTTTAAATTATATTTGAGAGTTTTGAATATGAAATATTTTTTCCTTCTTAATTTCATCCAAATGTTTTGTCGCCATCACAGGGATGTAGCCAGAATTCTTTTTTTTTTTCAAAGAGAGGATACAAAAATATGTGATATATATTTGTGTATATATATACACACCACCCTATGAATGAAGGAATACCAATTAAATGGTTTATTCCCAATTTAAGTCTAATTTAAACTGTACAATGATTACCTATTTGAATGTTTATTTATTTTTTACTTTAATTTTCATTTTTAATTTTTTTTTTATTTATTTTTTCTATTCATTAAATTTTTTTCCTATTATTCCATCCTAAAAATTAATTAAGAAAAGTTAATTAATTTTTCCTAATAAATTTTTATTAACCAGATTTTTTTCATACATGAATTTGCACTGAAATGTAATTTGCTTTATATTTTTCCTACCAAATATATTTTTTTATAATTATTTTGCATGATTCAAGCTGTTAGGACGGTTTTTTCTTCTTAGCGAATTTTTGTTAAATTAGTTTAACTATTTTTAATGCATTTTTTACTTTTACTCCACGTCGGTAAGTTTACTTTTTGCTTTCTTTTATCTCGAACTCATTTTCAACTGCATTTTTATCTTAGGATTCTTTATTTGGAAATGTAACATTTATCGAAAAGGATTATGTCCGGATGAAAAGCTTTACGTTTTCTCACTAAAAAATTTCATTTTATTATTATTCTGTAAGTATATGTATATTCATTTTCCTTTTAGATCGGTAAGTAAGTGGTTAAAATTATGAAATAATAATGCAAATAGAATTTATTCCACAAGAAAAATCAAGGATGTGAGGGGAGAGTGTTTTTTAAAAAAGTAATTGTTTGAATTGTATTCTCTTCATTTTTCAACATAAGTGAAAATAAAGAAATGTATATAGTGTATCGAGCTTAACTACTGAATTGCGCATTTATCGTTAAAGTAAATTTTAAGTTTTTTTTAAGCAAAAAAAGTTAACACCTCTGCAGTGCTATAATATTATGCAGTAAAGAGCGTTGTTGTGTTTATTCAATCGATAATTTAAGGTAAACATAGTTTTAAAGCTTCATTTTTATTAAAAATTTGTTTATGAGATCCAACAAAAATTATAAATTGCTTTTAAATCCGAAGATTAGATAAATATATTACATTCCCCGAAGAATTAACGTATAATTATTTGATTAATTAAATAATTTTAATTTGTTAAAAATCTGAAGAAAAAAAGGATTTCTTAATCGCTTAAAGATTTTAAAAAGAAATCGACGAAAAAGTTGTGATCGCCTTATTATTATAATCACTGGTTACCCATTGGTCAAATACTTTTTCTTTCTGGGTTGACTGTTAAACGCCACGACATTTCAAATCATGGGTTGCAAAAACTGTCTCCATGGATGTTCATATCCTTCCCCTATGTACGTGTTTCACAACAATACTTTTCCTTCTTCAGCATTCATATTTATATTGAAATCTACCGTCAATGCCAGCCATTATACGTTCATAATAAAAAAGAATATAAAAATACTTTATTATTATGTAAATACCTTAAAAATGCCTGCTAGTGAAAATAAAAACAGCAGCGGTCGCCATAGTAACGCATGCAATGACGACGCATGCGCACTGTTTACTATGACTCTTGAACACAGTTAAAAAGTGTGGACGCCATTAAATCCAAACCAAGACCCATTTTACCAATGGATAATAAAAATTTCTTACTACATGAATCTACGATTTATGAAGAAATAAAAAGGTTATGAAAAGCGAAGGCGTTAAATTTATTATAAAATAAAATTTTATCTTCTAGCTGTCAATAATGCTGTTTGATTCTAACTTGTTTCATTTTGTAAAATACTTGACAGATTCATATTTGATACATTAAGTTTCGCAAGCAAGAATCCCTCCAATTTATTATCCTAAAGAAAATCTGTGCTGCTTTCTCGCATGTTTCTGTAAAATGAAACAGGTGGTGGAATGTTCTAAAAAGAAATGATTTTGAAGCACTTAAAACTGATCATAAGTTTATAGACGAACAACAAATTATGCTTTTTATGAAACGAGTTGATATTTTTTAATTAAAGTATATATTATCATTTAAAAATACAAATAAGTATTACTTATAAAAAATTTGAAGGAGAAATTTCCGTCTCTATTATAATAAAATTAAACCTTTCAGGTCGGGTTGATTAAAGCACCAGTCATGATATTGTAAAAGGGTCCATGTTTGACATTTAAATAGAGAAATTGGGAGGGTGGGGAAAAAATCTCCTCTCTGTCCTTCAGACGATTTGCTTAGTGTTTAAACGAATTTTTATTTTTCGAGTTAGACCTCGCCTATTGTATCACCAATCTAATTTGCATATCCAGGGTATCTGCGCAACTGGAAAATCATGCATTTCGGTACTGAACAAAATTTGTCATGATTTTAACTATTTTTTTTAAAAAACAGAAGAAAAAAATCATGGATTTAGGTCGCCTAAAAATCTAATTTTTAAAATGGAATCTACCCCCATCCCCCAATTTCATGGTGTTCCGAGTATCTGAATTTGTAACAAAATCGCCACTCCCAGTCATATTTTATTTAAATATAAAATGTTTTTATCCTGTTCTTTAAAAACCACGGTGTTCTTTTCAAAAAATGAAACAAAAAGCATCATTTCTAGCGCGATTTATCATTTAAACTTCTGTGATTTCAAAATTTTTGTTATTATTTTTTATTTACTTTATCAATTTCAAATTCTAGCTGAAGCAAGCCAGTCATTGGCGAATTTTTTTAATTCCGAAATGAGAACAGAAAAATCAGGAGTATTACTTTCCTTTCCCGCGTACAAGAAAAGTATCTTTGGAATATAATTCTACAAAAAGAAAAAACCTTTTTTTCTTTTGTATTCTTTTCAGCTATTTTATTGCTTTTACTCTTTCTTTACTCTGTTTTTTAAATTTAAAAAGATTAGTTTATCAGTTTTGGTTATTCCTATCATTTAATGTTGTTATAGTGCTTTTTTAAATGTATTGTTGCGTTTTTGTGAGAGAAAATAGTACCATCCCATAAAAAATTCTTGGAATGAGTCATGAATTTGAAAATGTTGCTGATATCTGTGTCTAGAACACCCTATTTCATTTTCAAAAAATATGGAAATAATAGATTCAGGAGATTTGCTTTCAACTGCCGTTTCTCCCGTAGGTTCAAAAATCTTAGGGGTTTTCTGATTGTTTATAGCACGTGTGAAAAACCTAATTTGCATTTAAAAAGTTGTATTAAATTCTCTTATATACATAATTTGTCGGTCGTCACCGTTCATTCTTGGTATGCTCTCACGGTACAGCGAGGGTACTCGATAGGTCACTGCCTGCTAAGGGGTCACGCAGGTCCTTCTTTGACTGTCGCCCATTGTGCCACTTACTCTTTGTATATTTTGAATGAAATATTTTAGTTTCTTGGCCATCAAGGATTCTATATAATTCGGAAAACAATTATCACCCGAATTATTTGAAACAATGGTTTAATTAATTATCATTTGTGTTGATTATTAGTAATTTTTTATCCTTTTCTTGGTAAGTATTTTGAATGATTTAATTCAGCTCTTCTGTTTTTAAGTTACATATTGAAATTCATATCGAGATCTTACAATTATATAATTTTATTCTGTGGTTTGTCATTTTAAAGTAATGAAAGGATAATCTATGTATATATTATTTGAGAACAAAATTTTCAAACGAAAAACATTTCATTTTGGAATTCTCCGAATTTATTAAGCAGGTAAGTGTTATGATTTTTATAATAAAAATTCACTTGTAAATAATTTTTTTTTTCTAATTTCAAGATAGTTCTGTACAGAATGATTTTCTACGTTTTATTTAGAACTTCAAGATTATAAAAAAAAAACTATGAATTTTTTTATTTCAATATGAGGAATTTTTTATCGTAAGCATTTTTAGTTTATAAATAATGATTTTTTTATTAAGACTTCAAATTTTTTGATAAAAATTGTTATCGATTTTTTTTTCTTGCAAAATTAAATGACATAACATAGTGTGTCTCTGTGTATTCCTTTTGCATATTTTAATGTTTCAAGTTCTATGATTCAGAAAAGTATGGAAGGTTATGCTTAAATAGACTTTTCATATTAGATCATTAAATTTAGTAGAAGGATTTCTCTGGGATTAGGTTTAAGAAGATAAGATACATATTTTTTTCCTGTTTATTTACAAATATTTTTCCGATGTGTTTTGGATATTCCTTCGCTTAAAAAAAAATAAATAAAAAAACCTTCTATTTTACTTTCGCTTGCATAAGAAAGAATATCAAGCAGTTTTCTTTTTTAAATTTAATGAGCTACAATAAAGGAGCATTAATGCTCCGGTCCAACTGATGATCGTGTTGTTCTGTCAGCAGTCATTCGTATCAAATAACAACGTAGGTCGTTGCATTCACGCTCTGCGTTCTTATCTTTTCATTTAATGTTTGAAAAGTGATTAATTATGTGGCTCAGTTTTATTCAAAAAGGAGTTGACTTGCATTCCGTGTTGAGTTCGATTAACATCCGCTACTTCTACTTAAAGGACCACTTTCAACGTGGGTATGCTTTTCACATTAGTTTAAAAATTAAAATGTTAATGAAACAAATTATTATTTTGCATCAACAGAATGTTGTTTTATAAGACAATTTTATTAAAAGTTCAGTAGAAAAATACTAAAAATATTCATTCCCTTTAACTCTGGTGAGGCAAACATAAGCGTAGATACGTGAAGAAAAATAGTTTTTAAGGCTGAACTTGATCTTGAAATGTTGTTAAATGTATGATCCAGTTCAGATTTGGTTAAGAGAGTCTAAAATAATCTATGCAAGAGAACATTTTAAATAAGATGTCAACAAAGCCAGTGAATAACATGCGATTTCGTAAGAAATTATTTCATCATAAGATGTTAAATCATGACGGTTAACAATCCTCTCTTACATTTGGCCATATGAACTGAGACACATAAAGGTCAGCAAAAGTTGCGGTCATTGAAAACAAAGAATATTATGGTAACCAAAAACTGAATTCTCAAACCAGCGATTCGATACCTTAACCGATTCATAATTGACATCAAAGTAATACTTTTTCCCAAATCTATAGTGATTAGTTATCGCCACTATTTTTTTTTTTTTTACTGTGTATTGAACTAGAAGTGATTCTTTAAAGGTAAGAACTCGGGAAGCTTCACTAAAATAAATATTCAATTTTTCTCCACGATTAATGTTACATTTGTACCCAACTCTGACATAAGTCAAAGCATCTATAACTGCCAAAAATGCATTAAAGTGAAGAAAAATAAAAATCTATTGTTTACGCAATTGAATGAAAAGAGGTAAAAATTATCAAACACCATTTAATTTAAATGATCCAATAATTAATAATATCTTCCAGTTAATAAAGCGTTTACCTTTAAAGATGCTATTTATTCTACAAGTTATCTTGATAATTAAACCGCCTGTGTTTGGAACTCTTAATTCAAATTTTTTAAGTTCTGTTCGAGTACTATTTTTAGAGATTTGAAGAAAGAGTGTTATTCGAACACCATATTTCTCAAACCAAGTTTTTTTAATGATTTGTTATCTTAGGTAAAAGTTTGAAAAGCAGCTGCCCTTTAGTAGTTTAATTAACAAATATCAACAAACATTATTTCGAATAATTTTTCGAATCTTAATCGTGAGAACGATGTCTATAATTAAATGTGTCGTTTAAAAATAAAAAGAAATTGAAAACAATATATGCTTTTAGCTATTGTCAAGCCTACTTAAATATTATTAGAAGTGATTTGCATTTTATTAAAATTATCTTTATATTAGTTGGGCTGTAAGAATTGTGGTTTTAATTTCCAATGTTGAATGAATAAGAACAAATTTTTATTTCAGTTAAAAGTGATGAAGGTTTGGCAGGCGTTTAAAGTGTATAGAGCGGCCAAGAGATTTAAGAGAGCTAGAATGAATTCTCTAAGAGTGAGTAGGGGGGAGAGAGCTCGATATCCTTGGTACGAAGAATGCTGGACATGGATGATGGAATGTTGTCCAACTAATCGTCTTTTGAGGTATACATTTTCTAAAAGAATGAAATGATTATTTCCCTTTTTTCTCAAGTACATTTTGGTATTTTTTAATTATAAAAATGTGTAATACTTACTATAAAAAATCTGTTAGATCAGGGGTTTCCAACTTACATGTGGCCGGGGGCCGCAATTAAAAACACCACTCAAATGGCGGGCCGCAACTTTATCAAAATTTTATATAGAACTCTTTTATATTTGAAGGAACATTAAATATTACTCTCAGATTTTTATCAAAGTTTTTTTAGTATTAAAAGCCAAATAACAAGCATTACAAATAAACTTGTTTCGTATCTTCTCTTAATCAGACACTTATTGACAAGTTTTTTTTTTCTTTTAATTCTGTGATAAATTAACATTTTTTCGACTTTTTAGGAATTAAAGAAACAAAAAAATTCTCGAGCATCTGTAATTAATTTTTTCTTTTCTTTCCCGCTCATGCGATGTTCAATTGAAGGAATTTTAATGAAAGATGATATTCCTCTTTTATGCATTTTAAAATTTACAAATGTAAATAATTTCGTCCAAAATGAGTGGTTTCAAAAAGTTAAATGGAAGAATTTCTTCGAGAAAATTTCTGATATGCACTTGCTAAATTATATTCACAAAATACAAAAAAACTAAATAAAAAAGGGCAACATGTATGATTATTTTTGCATTTGAATAAATATTTTCTTGGATGCAAAACCTGAGAAATAAATTTTAAGCACCGTTGGTATGTTACATTGCACAGAAACGAAGAAATTAGGTTGTTTTAAACGAAAGAAAAGTATTTTAAACCCATATAAATTTTTTACCAAAATTGTCCGCAAAAAAAAAAAAAAAAACAACTAATATATTTTAGTTCGCGGGCCACAAAAAAAGGCTTTGCGGGCCTCCAGCTGGAAACCACTGTGTTAGATTATCGGAATTACATTTGTACTAAAAGATAAAATCGAAAAAAAGTAGATTGGATTTTTTTTTTTTAAATTCATATTCGAAAATGAATCTGTAATTGATTTTGTAAATTAAAGAAATTTCAAAAATGAATAACCCTTTCTCTTAGATCTAAATATCAACAAATGTTTTTGCTAAAAAGTGAGCAAAATTTTTCCTTCAGCGCAGAGACACCGGTGTTTCATGCCTTATTTCATAACCATAAATTATTAAAATGCTAAATATATTTTTCACTTAATTCGTTGCTATGTACATTGGGCATAGCAACAAATATAGTGAACTCCCGGTTATAGTGAACGGAAGTTTCGGTCCCTTGAAGGTTCACGGGGTTTGACCGTATATGTGCAGTTTCTTTCCAACAAGAGATGATGCAATTTCTTTCCGTTATACTTAAATAAGAATGTATAGAAATTCCCTCCCCCCTCAGAAAGCAGTGCTGTTAATTACTCTTATTGTTTAAGAAGCATTACTGAAGTTTATACTTATTTTCCATCAGTCCACAGTGGGCCAGCATCCAAGGTTTCGTGGCCAAAATTAGTATTTCGATAAAAATTTGTTTCAAAATTTTGGCTTTTTTATTTAGGGATTTTTATGTGCAGGTAAACTGAATTCATAGTTGAAATTTTGAAATACACTAAAATTTCCCAAAAAAGCAAAATGGCGGCTGAAATATGGCGAGCAAAAATAAAAAAAAGTACGTTTAAATAATTAAATAAAAGCGATGAAAATACAATGATTTTCTTAATTTTGTATTAAAAATGAAAAGCAAATTATATTTCCGAAGTAATATTACAAAATAACGCGAATTAATTACAAAATAACTCGAAAACATGAACAAAAAAAACATAATTTTTGTTTTTTGGTATATTTAGTTCACCTTTGCAATACGGGCGAAATGGGGCAGGTTTTTTCGAAAGAAGAAACAACAAAGAAGACAACAAAAAAAAGGTTTAGCTAATTACCTCGTGGAACTTTTTGGAACTAAGTTTCGAAAGTCATTCAAACATTGTAAAATGTCAAATGATAAGATATAAACTATAAGTTTATCAAGAGTATTAACTAATCCAACTCATTGAAAAATTGTACTATCATTTCAGACTAATTACTCTCATACAAATGTAACAGTAAGGTGAAACATATATGTCTGAAATAAAAATGTAAAAGTTAAATTTTAAAAAAATTTTTTAACATATTTTTCATTACATTGTACTCTTTTCGGTCCAAAAAGTAAATTATAATGTTTGGAATGATTATGAATACTTAGTTTAGGCTATATTAAAACTGCCTACACATATTTTAGTTGAAAATTTAATTTTTGACTTTTGGCCAAAGATCATGGTCTTCTGGCCCACAGTGCTGTGCTATTAATACAAAATAACTTTGTTAATAATTTGTTTATCAATACAAAATATATGAAGAAAAAAATATGAATTTGTTTAATCAAAATTCTGCGTCATAAAATGAGGAAACCCATTTGAAAATTGGTTTTTGAGTTTAATTTTTGGAAGTTGCAGGCGATTGTGCTCAAGTGGAACGATTGAAAATTTCACCTTGAAAAGTTGCTTTGGTTTTGGTGTCGGAGTGTTGTCAGCCACTGCAATGTTTTTCTTCTTTCTCAACCAATTGAATTGCAATCCTCGAATTACAAGTATCCTTTCTTGTTTGATTGGAGCTCTCTTCGCTAATGGTCTTGCATTCAGCCACGAATGCCGCTGTATGACCATGTTGGCTGTTCCACAATTATTTTCCAGTAAGTATGTCACAGTTTTATTGCAGGTTTAAATGCGATTCTTATAAGTGTAGAGTGTCTACCACTACAAAAATACAATTCCAATTCACTTGTATGTAAGACATATTCTATGATAGGGTACCTTTTCATAGAGGAAAGGTTGAGAGGGTCGATAACTACATTCCTCACATGGGTGACCTGGACGTGATGTGAACATGCCTACCTTGACGGAAACTCACACTTCGATATGAACACGCCTACTTCGATGGATGGTCCATATTGAACAGTTGACTTGCGACATTATCCACCTCCTAACGCTGTTGCTACTCAGTCTCGATCACACGCAACGTCGACCTGCATTCACTCGACCACTGTGGACAACACAGGAGCAATCACGACCCTTAACTTAATACAGCTCTCCCGGCCTCTCACAAAACAGCAATGAATCAACTAGAGGTATCCGTTCATCGAATTCTATCACAGATTTAATTCTGGTGGGAGAGTACTGTAGTGTGTCTACCACTACAAAAATACAACTCTAATTCACTTGTATATAAGACATATTAACTCGATTCTATGATGGGGTACCTTTTCATAGATGATGGTTGACAGGGTCAATAACTACTTTCCCCACACAAGCAATCAAATTAGAGTGGCCCAATGGCCCCTACCTATGTGGAGATTCGACTCCATGGCTGGTCGTCCTCCACCTGGCTCGCACCGACCACAGTGCTTGCGCAAAATATCCTCACAGTCTTCTTGTCGCCAGGCAAACCATAGGAGATTTTCTCGGTTTCCATGTAACACAAATGCGGATCATCCAAAAGGCAAATTTCTCCCGATCCAGTTCCCTTGTCTACTGGGTGGGATTCAAAACTACAAGAGTTGTTTCAACGACGGTGTGGGGAGAGTTGTTATCGACTATGTCAACTTTCATCTATTAAAAGGTACCTCATCATAGAATCAAGTTAACATGTCTTGGATACTAGGGAATTGGAATTGTGTTTCTGTTACACACTACAAACTGTTATAATATAAAGCAATCAAATTGGTTTTGATCTTTCTCACTGCTTTACTCTCTTATTTAATAACATTATTTTTTGTATTAATTAATAAACTTTCGATGTATACATGTAATAAAGTGCGTGTCTGTATGCCATGTAAACGGTGGACTCTAAGAATACGAAATTTGGTTACATGTAATTTTCATCCTCACACTTGTGCTTGACACCACCCTCCCACTCAGGGACCGATCAGGCCCACCAAATTTTCCGGGCCCCTTACAAGATATTTTTAAATTAAATTACTGAACAGTAGTCCTAACAATGAAAAATAATCTATTGAATTGCAATAAAGGAAACGAAGTATAAAAAAATATGACCAACGAAGCACGTCTTCAGGGGATACCGGCAGCGGTATCCATAAAACAAATCCTTTTCTATTGTGGGAGAAGCAAATGCCTAAAGTAACTCCCTCAGTACCCCGAAGGTTTTGTATAGAAGTCCAGGAGAAAACATGAAATATAAAGAACCAATTTAGGAAAGAAACTCAAACAAAATCATCAGAAAATAAAAACTCACTTTAACCAGGTCAAACAACGATTTCATAAGCAAACCGAATGAAAAGGAAACACTTAAAACTAAGGAAAACAACGCCCTCTATTTCAATGCGCAGATTGAAAAAAAAAAAAGGAAGTCGAGGAAAAGACACGTAACATATTAATAAAATGCTTAACTGGGGCTGCTCAGTCAAGACTTGAATTGCGCCCTGTTAAAAGAAAAAAATATAAAAAACTAGAATTCTTCAATCATTTTCTTAATTAAAAAATTAACATTACAAAAATTAAAAGAAAAATCGTTCGCAGCTTCTCGAAAACTTTCAACATTATTGCAAATATTTTTAATCCTAACCAATTGTGAAAAAACCATATTTTTAAAAATTTTATTACACAAGTTAGTATTAAAGTTGCAGAAAAAAATTACTTTACCCTTTTCTTGAAATTTCTGCTGCTTTTAAGCGCGTTTTTTTTTCAAAGAAGTTCTATCGATTTAGAATTAAAAAAATTTTTTTTGTTTTCTTTTACTATTGAATTGCATGATTCAAGAGAAACATTCTAAGAAATTTTGCAAGCAGACAATTGAAGATTATTTTTCTAAGATAAAGTTCACGTATCTATAAATTAAAGCAAAATATAAAACAACAAAACAATGTTATATCAAAATAAAAATAATTTGGTGGCCACAAGCAATTGAAATCAGTGATTTTTGCTAAAAGTCACTGATTTTTTATTTAATACTGTTTGTTGTAACAGTGTTTTATTTAATACTTAAACCAACACAAAGCTAGCCCACCTTTCATTAGACTCTTCACTACTTTTTGGGGTCCTTCAGAAATTGTGGGCCCTAGGACCATGCCTAATGGGCCTAGGCGATAATCAGCCCTGATCGCAAGGAGTGACTGGTCTGGGAGTAGGGGTTAGTGTAAGATTATGGTCACTTGGCGGGCCAGTGACCATGTATAAATTCCGCCAATGTGGGAACTTGGCAGCACATCACGCAAAAATATACCCTTTTTCTCTTAAACGAATTGACTGCGCGAAATCGGAACTGCGAAATGATGAAGAAAGTTCACAATGAGGTGTTGTCCCTGTAATAGATTCATTACACTTTGGCAAAAAATTCGTTTAATTACTTAAGACAAAAAAAAACAAAATTGTGTTTTATTACTATTAAATTCTAAATAAGATATAAAAATAATTAAAGTTGTTAAAATAACTGATTCTATAGCAGCAAATTTAATTAAATGTTCTAAAAAGCAACTTTTGATTTTAAAATTAATTCATTTTTATGATGTTTAAATATTAAACTCAATTTTTTTTTGGATGTGAAATAATATTTTTAAATGAAATTTTTGATACTTCAAAAAATATGATGACCATACTTAAAAAATTGGTGTTTCAAATTAATTATAAATAGAAATAGTATTTTATTTAAAGCAATTCATTTATTTTGAAATGAAATAAAAAAAAACTGAAAAAACTGAAAAATTAATATAGATTTCGTGTGTGTACTTTGCTTGTATGAGAACTCCACTTATACGATCATATTGAAGCGAAATAAAGTTAAAACAAAGTTTAAAATAAGAAATGTTACGTTTGGTGAAAATAAAAATTTTTTAACCCCTTCCTTCTCGCTCTCGTGAAAATGACGGGGTGAGGTTTCGCCCTCTACTTCTCTCTCCCGTGATATTTCCGGGCTGAAGTGTTCAGTAGTAAAGCGCCGATAGGTGTAATAAAAATGGTACATTCTAATTTAAAAAGTAACCGAGATATCGATATTTAATGTTTGTATCCAATATCAGTGTGATATTTGCTTGCTTAAAGCTCTATTTGATCAAGAAAAGAGTTTATTGGACTTACTTTAATATTCAATTATTTTCTATTTGCTAAGTCAGAGCAGTTTAAATAATCACCAAATATTAATTAATAGTATTAAAACTATATGCAGTTTTAATATCGATACTGTGGAAATAAGTGTCTTACTGACTATTGAAAGGGATATATATATATATATATATATAGAAGAAGAAATTTGGATTTGTTGGTGTTTGTTGCTTTTAACTTTATTTGCTTTATTTTGTGTATCTGGGTCATCAATTAAATTGTTTGTAGCCAAGTATCACCATTATATGACCGCATTATAGGTCATATATGACAATAAAAGTGTACGTAAGAATGCAACGAACAAATTTGGATTTGTNGTTGGGTTTAACAATAAAAAAATGGCTTTTTGTAGCGATTCTGAAAACCGGAAAAATCAGTTATCCGGAATAGCGATGGTCCCGATCGTTCCGGATAATCGGTTCCCTAGTGTATTAAAACTATACGCAGTTTTAACATCGATACTGTAGAAATAAGTGTCTTACTGACTATTGAAAGGTATATATATATATATACCGGAGAAATTTACTCGATAACAGTAAATTTTGACTATGAGTTGGCTGCGAGAAATAGCCGCTCGGCAAGTGATGTTAAATGTAGTTAATCTATACGAATTCCGCACCAGGCTCGCACCGACCATAGTGCTAACATAAAATATCCTCAGTGATAGAGGATCAAGGGGATAGTTTTATCAAAAAGCTTAGTTTGATCCAAGAGCTCCCTTGTTTTGTGTTGGGCTCAAAATTACTAGGTTACGGAGTTGAATATTAGTAGGCGTAAACCCAAAACTGGGTAGGCTATTCAACGACGGTTATAAAATAAAATAAGTTATTATGATAAGTGAAAGCCCGTTTGACAGATGGGAAAATGAAGAGTATATTTACGTTCTTATAGGTCGTGGTCGCGTTGTCTTGCTGGCTTATACGTATATTCTCGTGATGAGTGGACCGACGAAGAATGCTTTACGAAACGCCAATATTCTAGTGAGCAGCCTCAACTGTGGACAAGAACTGGTCGTCAAGCAAACAAAGGCCATTCTTAAAGCCATCTTTGCACCACTCGTAGGTAATGCTCAAACACAGGGTGTTCAAAAATATTTTTGATTTTTAATGAATCATGACGAATTTATCCGAAGAGTATAGAGTTATAATTGAAATTTTTGGTGGTTTTCTGGTGATAGATCATCATAGATACAATGTAGGGTTGCCACAGGCAACTGAAATGCAACTATTTTTCGCATGAGGTGACTATGGCGACTTTTTTTTGCCTGAAAAGGCAAAATATGCAACTATTTTCAGGAAAAGGAAACTATTGGGAGACTTTTCTGAACTCCTAGCGATGTTTTTTTTTTTATTATTATTATTTTTAAAGCATGAATTGGGTGGAAACTCTGCACCCCACAAGATAGTTTCTGAACACTCGAAACTTTATTTTTCTTAAAAAAATAAAAAATTTTGAATTGCCAATTTAAGTTTTCACTTTTTAATTCGTTCAATCTGCACAGACTCCATTGTAAGTCTATTTCATTTCTCGACCGCCTGTTCAATGATTATTGCTACGAAATTCAGCATGATTAAAAAAAAAAAAAAAAAAACTACATAGCCATNCAATTTAATACTATATTACGATGCCTGAATTTCGAATTTAAGTAATCACTTTTCATATATATATATAAACATTTACGTTTAGATAAAAATTATCATATTTGCCACCAACTTGACTGAATGGATCATAGTGTATGACAAATAAGTCATTAACAAAATTTTAATCATATTTTTTATGAATTTTTGTTCTTATTTAGGCAACTATTTGCCTGTTTTTGGCTACTATTTTCATGTTTTTGGCTACTAAAAGCAACTATTTTGTTCATTTTTTTATGTGGCAACTCTGTAATGGCTTTTCATCCTAAACTTCCATGAAAATTCTCAATTCTTCAAAATTGACCATCACCAATTGACGCAACTTAATATTGGGCCAAACCAACTAATATGAGCAAAACCAACATGTTTTTTTTCTCAATAAAAAACAAACTTACATATCATGAATCAACGTCTCCTTCATTTTTAAAATCCGTCTCAATTCTTGAGGGTACCACCATGACCAGGAATTGAATGTTGGCCCAGGGCAATCAAGGTTTAATAGTTCTAACAAAAAAATGTGAATCAAAATAAACCAAAGATTATTTTATTAGTTTCCAACTTAATATCGGGTTGAGTGAAAAGTTTTCCACCGAGGGGCGTTACCTCGGCTCCAACAGCAGCCATTCCCGTAGTAGTTAATCTTTCTCCAAGCTGGCATTCCAAAGGCTGTTGTGTTTATCTATTATCGTGTGCACCAAAACAGCATTTCAAAATGGTCACGTGAACAGATCAGATGTACCATGAAATAAACTCGGTGCAACTGAATGCCACAAAAAAAAGTGTTTCTTATAATACAGTCAAAATTTGGTTTTGAAAGCTGGGAACATCGAAGATGAACCAAGTTCTTTTAAGGTTGATTGTGACCAGTTAAAGCAACAAGACAGAAATGTTTTTTCAACAGGCGTTAGAGCTTTGCTGTTTTTGTATGTATTGATCATTTTACTTCTTTTTTGGATGACATTTTTTTTTACTCAACATAATATTACCCATTGGCAAAATGGGTGTTGTTTTGGGTTTGATGGCGAGAGAACCTTATTTGGACGTCATCACACTTTTCAACTGTGCTCAAGCGTAATAGTAAACAGTGCGCATGCGTCGCTATGGCGACCCCTGCTGTTTGATAACTTTTTTTTAAAAAATTCTTTTTTTTTTTTCAGTTTTAATTTTGTTATGCATTAAGTGGGTGAGTTTATTTTTTAGGTATGGGGCCAGAGAGATCCCATAAATACTTCTTGAGTTATGAATAAAAAAGAATTTCATCATTTGAACTATATTTTTGTTTTTATTGTTTTCATAAAAAATCAGAAATTCTAGGCTATAGTTCAAAGTGGATCGTTTTCAATATTAATTCAGGTGAATATCACACATAAAGAGGGTCCCAAACTGAGTGACTCTGTCCCTAAGGTTTCAGTTGAAACAAGAAAAGAAAAAAAAAACGATGCCATGGAATAAACTTACAGAGGCTGCACAAAAAATTAGACAACAACCATTTTGCCATAAGGGTAACCTGTGATCGCCTTTCGGTGATCACGATATTTTTTATAATTAAAATATACCAAAATATATATATTTTTAAATTAATTTCGTGTCAAAAGAAAATAAGGAGAAAACTTTAAATCAGAAAATTATTGGGTAATATTAGGAGACTGTTTTTATTGACACTCTTTAATGGAAATACCCATTTCGCTTTTTCCTACACCTAAAAAATGTTTTACATTTTAAAGCTGTTAGAATTAGTATAAACGTATATTCATTTTTTAAATTTCTATAATTGAAAAAGAAAGTAGGGTCAAAACTCTAAAATTTAAGAAAATTATCTCTTCTTATTTTTTGATGACCACCAGGATTGATCATCTCTCCTTGTTACAAATCATTCCAACTTTATGGATCAAAAAATGGTCTTTTGATCGCAAACGATTTCACCTCACTTGAATGGAAATATTATAACTGTTTTGTAATAATTAAGGCCCGGATTTTGATGACATTTGCATTTTTTTTGCATTTTTGGACATTTTTTGCCCTTTAGAGCATTTTTTTGGATTTATAGGGCATTTTTCATTAAATTTGTTGGCTTTTTTTGCATTTTAAAACATTTTTAAAATTTTTGTTNCCAAGTTCTTTTAAGGTTGATTGTGACCAGTTAAAGCAACAAGACAGAAATGTTTCAACAGGCGTTAGAGTTTTGCTGTTTTTGTATGTATTGATCATTTAAAATTTTTTTTGATTAAATTTTTTTTTTACTCAACATAATATTAACCATTGGCAAAATGGGTGTTGTTTTGGGTTTGATGGCGTGAGAACCTTATTTGGACGTCATCACACTTTTCAACTGTGTTCAAGCGTAATAGTAAACAGTGCGCATGCGTTGCTATGGTGACCCCTGCTGTTTGATAATTTTTTTTTAAGTTCTTTTTTTTCAGTTTTAATTTTGTTATGCATTAAGTGGGTGAGTTTATTTTTTAGGTATGGGGCCAGAGAGATCCCATAAATACTTCTTGAGTTGTGAATAAAAGAGAATTTCATCATTTGAACGATATTTTTGTTCTTATTGTTTTCATTAAAAATCAGAAATTCTGACCTATAGTTCAAAGTGGATCGTTTTCAATATTAATTCAGGTGAATATCACACATAAAGAAGGTCCCAAACTGATTGACTCTGTCCCTAAGGTTTGAGTTGAAACAAGAAAAGAAAAAAAAAAAACGATGCCAAGGAATAAACTTACAGAGGCTGAACAAAAAATTAGACAACAACCATTTTGCCATAAGGGTAACCTGTGATCGCCTTTCGGTGATCACGATAATTTTTATAATTAAAATATACCAAAATATATATATATATATTTAAATTTATTTTGTGTCAAAAGAAAATAAGGAGAAATCAGAAAATTATTGGGTAATATTAGTAGAGTGTTTTTATTGACGCTACACGTAAGAAATGTTTTACATTTTAAAGCTGTTAGAATTAGTATAAGCGTAAATTCATTTTTTAAATTTCTATAATTGAAAAAGAAAATAGGGTGAAAACTCTAAAATTAAAGAAAATTATCTCTTCTTATTTTTTGATGACCACCAGGATTGACCATCTCTCCTTGTTACAAATCATTCCAACTTTATGGATCAAAAAATGGTCTTTTGATCGCAAACGATTTCGCCTCACTTGAATGGAAATATTATAATTGTTTTGTAATAATATTACGATTCAGAAGTTAATTATTATTCCCTTTCATTGCAGTTATTGTTGATGCCATGCGAGATATTTTAAAAGCTTTGAAATCTTTCGCTATCCAGGTAAAAGAAGCTTTCATCGCCATTCGTGATTTGTTTCTGGAAATCAGTGAGTTTTACAAATACTAAAATGAGTAGAAAGAAATATGAAGGAAAGGAATTCGAAACAATACTTCTGTATCGATAGTTCATATTAAAAATTTGTTACCCCTCCAATACAGGCGGGATTAAAAGGATGCGTATTTAAAAAAAAACACGTTAATAAATCAATCTGCACAATTGAAGTAAAAATTTTGCAAGGCTGAAGCGTTTTTTTTTAAAAGCTGTGACAGAATAGAGAGTTATTATTGTAAGAAAGAAGTTCCAAAGTATTGTTTCTGCATCCTTTTTATATTTGAGCTGTTGTTTTCAACGTTAGTATAATCTATATGAAAGGAATCTTATGCTTCTGGACTATAGTTCGTTCACCAGGAGTTGGCACTTGGCTCCACCTCTTCGGACGAAGAGTTCACTTCAACCCTTAATGCACGCCAAACGCAAACAGTGAATTATTTTTCAATCACCCACTTCGCTTTATCATCTGCTGTTATAACTTTCGTTACTCTAACTGATTAAATACAGTGTGGCGAGCCGCGATGGCTCAGGGGATAGAGCGTTCGCCTTCCAATGAGGTGAACCGGAGTTCGATCCCGGCAATGGCTGGTCGATGCGAATTCCACATCCGGCTTGCACCGACCACAGGGCTGACGTGAAATATCCTCAGTAATAGAGAGATCATGAGTCCCCTTGCCGTCAGGCTAACCGTGGGAAGTTCTCGTGGTCTTCCTCTCTATGTAAAGCAAATGTGGGTTAGCTCCATCAAAAAAGTCCTCCACGAAGGCAAATTTCTCCCGATTCTTGATCCAGGAGTTCCCTTGTCTTCTGGATTGGGTTCAAAATGACAAGGCTGCGGAGGTGAACATATTAGTAGTCATAAACCCATGAAATTGGGTCGGCTGTCCAACGACGGTTATAAAATATAGTGTGGCAAAATGGACGAACCATTTACTCAAAAGAGAGAAACATCATATAATGTTTCAAAAATGCACATAAAGATTGCATAATTGCTCAGGATCCCAAAAATAGCGTCGGACACTACGTGATGAAGGCGGAGCCAATTCCTGGTGAACGAACTATTGTTATGATACTTGTTTGTGTCTTTTATTTATGTTGTCTTTTTATTTATATTAAAAAATTGTTTTGTTTCTTTTTCAGTTGAGGCTATCAAGACAATATTCGAATGGCTTATGAGAATCGTGAGTGTGTGCAGTAGTCGGTATGGCAGCCCCTATAATCGGTGTTTGAGGGCTTTCGACGACGCTAAAGAAGATTGCATGGGTAAAATGGGCGCCTTCAGTTTTCTCTGCAACATAGTAAGCAGCGTGCAGTTCGTATGTGAAGTCGCAAGAAGTAAGACTACCTTTCTTCTTGGTCATAGCCCGTTTATATAGGTACCCTCTCTGAGATATTAACTTGGAGGATTTTGTGACCCGATAGATTACTTTACCCCAGTCACCATGAACTAAAATGTAAATTGCTTTAGAAAATAAGTTTGGTACTTTTTGAAACTTGAACTAAAAAAAAATATCGACTCCTTAAAAATATTCTTTTCTTGCAAAAATAAAGCGAAGAAACTCGTGAATAGCCAACAGTAAGCAACATATCATGTTCAATTCAACATGCAATAATCATAACTAAGGCCCGGATTTTGATGACATTTGCATTTTTTTACATTTTTTTTCCTTTAGAGCATTTTTTGAGATTTATAGGGCATTTTCTTTAAAATTTTGGGGTGTATTTTGCATTTTAAAGCATTTTTTAAATTTTTTGTTAAATTTTTCTAATTTTTATTATTTTTTATTATTACACTGGCTTCCAAACAATGAAGAAAATTTCTAGGATATTAACAGGTGAAGCAACATCTTTTCAAATTGAAGAAGAATTGTCAGTAAGTGTGACCGTCCTTTTCAAGTACGCACCAATAACATCAGTAGACGTTGAAAGAAGCTTCTCCTGGTATAAAAATTTGCTTTCAGACAAGAGACGCTCGTTTACATTTCAAAATATTAAAAAAAA